TCTCCTTTTGTCTGTCTTTGTCTTTCTTTTTGTGTCTCCTTTGGTTTGCTGCCCTCACCCATCGCAGCAATTCTTTCGCTCTTGCTGCTGCTGCTGCTGCTGCTGCAGGTATATTGCTGAGGCGCTGGCTGTTGCGCGAGACGAAGAGCTGCGCTTTGAATTGGCGCTGGCCATCGGCAACCTTCAGATGGTGCGCTGCTGCTGCTGTTGCTGTTGCTGCTGTTGCTGCTGCTGCTATTGCTGCTGCTGTTGCTGCTGCTGCTATTGCTGCTGTTGCTGCTGTTGTTGCTGTTGCTGCTGCAGCCGCCGAACAGCAGGTGGGGTTGCTGCGTGTTTGTGCTTTGCTGCTGCAGTGCGCCGACTTAATCCGCAACAGCAGCAGCAGCAGCAGCGCAACGAAGCGGCAGAACTGGGCAGCAGTTGGAGACGCAGCACTGCAGAAGGGCTCCTTTACTCTTGCTGCTGCTGCCTTCTGGGTAAACCCTAAACCCTAAACCCTGAAGGCTACTGCCTTCCCTATGCAGCCTCTTTGTTCTGCTGCAACGGGTCTGCTGCTGTAGCCTTGTTGGTGAAGCTCGTCTAGCGGCTGCTGCTAGTGCTGCTGCTGCTCCAGCTAGTGCTGCTGCTGCTGCTTATGCTGCTGCTGTCAGTGGGGTGTATTGTGTGTGTATGTGGGGTTTGCAGGAGTGCGGAGATTACCCGAGTTTGCTGCTGCTGTACAGCAGCAGCGGCGATGTGGAGCGTCTGCGTGAACTTGCAGCAGCAGCAGCAGCAGCGCAGCAGCAGCAAGTGGCGTTTATGTGTTATTTGCTGCTGCAGCAAACGGAAGACTGTGTTGATTTGCTGCTAGCAGCAGGAAGAGGTCCTGAAGCTGCTCTCTTCGCCCGCACCTACTGCCCGTCTGCTGTAGACAAAGCAGTAAAGGTGTGGAGAGAGTCACGAACTGCTGCTGCTGCTGCTGCTGCTGCTGCTGCTGCAACAACTACTCGCACAGCTGCCAATAATACAGGAAAGACCAACGCACTTAGCCGCCCGCCGGAGGAGGTGAGTGGGTTTAGGGTTTAGGGTTTAGGGTTTAGGGTTTAGGGTTTACGGTCTAGGGTCTAGGGTTTAGGGTTTACGCTTTAGGGTTAGGCGTCTAGGGTTTAGTGTCTAGGGTTTAGGGTTTAGGGTTTTGCGATGCAGCTTCCTGCATATCCTTCGGAGCGGAGCGATGCCTTCCCTAACTGGGAGGCAGCCAAGCAGGTGGGCGCTAGCTACCCTAGAGCAGCAGCAGCAGCAGCAACAACAACAGCAGCTGCAGCAGCAGAAGCGGCGTGCAAGCGAAGCACTTGTTTAGAGGCAGGCAGCTTTGGTGGTTGCGCTAGCCAGGAGCTAGCTAGCCAGCCAGTAGCTAGCTAGCTAGCCAGTAGCTCGCTAGCTAGCTAGCTAGTATCTAGCAGGCCATAGACTAGTTAGCTAGCTAGCCAGCAGCTAGCTCGCTAGCCAGTAGCTCGCTAGCTAGCCAGCTCGCTAGCTAGCTAGCCAGGTGATGGGTGCGTGGGGGTGTTTGCATCAGGCGGAGATTGAAACAAAAGAATTATACAGAAGAAAGGTTGCAGCAGCTTCATATAACAAAGTGCAGCAGCTGCTTGAAGCAGATGTGCTGCAAACTATCCAGGAGGCAGGGCCAGATGCCGTGAGGGTTTAGGGTTTAGGGTTTAGGGTTTACGGGTTTGGGATGAGGGTAGTAGGCATTCCTGAGGAGAGAGCAAAGGAGCAGCAGCTGCACGAGCTGCTGCTGCTGCTGCGGGTGCTGCTTGTTCCCCCCCTCTACTTGCTGCTTCTGCTGCTGCTTCTGCTGCTGCTTCTGCTGCTGCAGCTGCGCGACATGCTGTTAAGCGACGTGCTGCCGATTTCTGCAGCAGAACCTCGCAACGCATCCAGTGAGCTGTGGAGACACCTGTTGTGCCTGCTGTTGCTGCTGCTGCTGCTGCTGCTGCTGCTGTTGCTGCTGCTGCTGCTGCTGCTGCTTTAAAGGAAGACAGGGGGCCTCTTCGTTTTGCTGTTTGTGCTGCAGCACATCTTAACGGAGACGTCTTGAATTCCTTCGCAGCTCGCGGCACTGCAGCAAATACAGGTCCTTCTTCACTAGGGATTGCTGCTGCTGCTGCTGTCATTGCTGCTGTTGTCACTGCTGATGCCTTTGCTGCTGCTGCAGTTGCTGCTGCACTTGCCGTTGCTGGTGTTGTTGTCGCTGTTGCGCTGTATAGTGTTGGTGCGATTGCTGCAGTTGTTGCAGCAACAACAGCAACAGCAGCAGCAGCAGCAGCAGCAGCAGCAGCAGGATTATGTGTATCTTTTCCCTAACTCTGCATCTCAGTTCTTTTGTTTGTTTGCTGCAGCAGCAGCCGACAGTTCATCACCCATGACTGCAGCAAATGCGACGCCGTCTCCTTCCTCAGATGAATGGCAGCAGCAGCAGCAGATGCAGCAACAGCAGCACCTGCAGCAGCAGCAGGTGCAGCAGCTGCAGAAGGAATCGGCAGTCTTCTCGCCTCAACAGCACGGCGACTTCACCAATCAGCAGCAGCAGCAGCAGCAGTTTGCTGGAGCCTTTGCAGCAGCAGCAAACCCCTTCACCAACGCAGCACTAGGAAAGGAGTTTAATAATATTTCGTTAGGTAGCCCTGGCCTCTATGGGGATGCTCAGCAGCGCTCGCTGCAGCAGCAGCAGCAGCAGCAGCAGCAAATGCAGCAGGAGCTGCAGCAGGAGCAGCAGTACCTGGCGAAGCAGCTGCAGCAGCAGCAAGACTTTCTAGAAGAAGAAGCCAAGCGATTAGATGGCGATGAGTGGCAGGAGACTGCTGCTGCAGCCGAAGGGGCAGGAGGAGCAGCAGCTGTTGCTGGTGCTGCTGCTGCTGCTGCTGCAGAAGAGGAAGCAGAGCAGTACTCCGCAGACGTTCTCTAAACAAAGTGCATAGAAAGAGACAAAGAGAGACAGAGACAGCTAAAAGACTATAAACAAATGCATATATTAACTCAACAGCACAGCTTGCTCGCAACTCCTTACCCCCCAGTGTACTGCAGCAGCAGCAGCAGCAGCAGCAGCAGCAGCAGCAGCAAGTTCTGTTGCTGCAGCCGTTGCTGCAGCAGCAGCTGCTGCTGCTGACGCAGCTGTTGTTGCAGCTGCAATTGTTGCTACCATACGTAGAGTATGAAGTATCTCTTTGCTGCTGTGTGCAGCTTCTGCCTTGCTGCTGCTGCTGCTGCTGCCAATGAGGCACGGCAGCAGCAGCGACAGCAGCAACAGCAGCAGCACCAATATAAACAGCAGCTGCCACCGAGAGGGCCGCAGCAGCAGACCACAGGCAGCCGGTGCTGCTGCAGCACCCGAAGAGGCGGCTCATGGTTTCGCTGCTGCTGCTGCTGCTGATGCTGTTGCTGCTGAAGGCTCCCAGGCATCTGCAGATGCTTTTAGGTGTACAGACACCTCACACTAGCAGCAACGGCTCCCAACGTTTAACAGCCCAGAAACCAGCAGCAGCAGCAGAAGCAGCAGCAGTAGAAGCAGCAGCAGCAGCAGCAGCAGTGCTATTGGAGGCAGCCGTAGCGACACCAGTGGTAGCAGTCGCCCCAGCAGCAGTGGCAGCACCAATAGCAGCAGCAGCAGCGACCGCAGCAATAGTAGCAGACATAGTAGCAGCGGCAGGAGAAACGGCAGGAGCAGCAACGGCAGCCCCAGCAGCAGCAGCAATAGCAGCAGCAGCAGTAGCAATAGCAGCAGCAGCAGCAAGCGAAGAACTACTCGCTTGCCTTGTTTCTTTAGATTGTGAGGGTGAAGCTGGGCTCTACGTACACCTGAAATATAAATAAACCTGTTTTAAAAACAAAAGTTAAATATAAACAAAATATTATTTTATTTTCTTCATACATACATTTATATGTAGACACCCCGACGCTGCTGCTGCTGCAACTTGCATGTGTATGCCTGTATAAGTAAATGAATAAACAATTAATAATAAACAAATAAATATATAAATAAATTAATAAATAAATAAGAAACAGAATTAATAATAATCATCATTATTAAGAGAATGCCGCGCTGCTGCTGCTGCTGAGGCCACGCGACTGCAGCAAAGAGACCAATGGACCAATTCGCAGCTGCAGCAGCAGCAGCAGCAGCTGCTGCTGCTGCTGCAGCTGTTGCTGACTCGTGGTATCTGTATTTCTAAAAGCTCACAGCTGATTTTTTCGGTTGCTAGTAAACACTAAGGACTGGCAGCAGCAGCAACAACAACAACAGCGGTAGCAGCAACAGTGGCAGCAGCAACAGTAGCACCAGCAGATGCAACAGCAGCAGCAGCAACAGCAGTAACAGCAACAGCAACAACAGCAACAGCAAAGCTTGGCTTGTGACTGGATATCATATGCCTGAAATGTTTTGGCCGTGGCCAGCCGCAGCAGCAGCAGCTGCTGCTGCTGTAGCTGCAGCAGCAGCAGCGGCAGCACCCAGCGCAGCAGAAGCAACAGAGCGCCCACTAGCAGACCAGAGGGGAGTAAGTGAGGCGTCCTCGTTTCAATGGCCTCTTCAGCCTGCTTCCTCTGCTGCACCAGCAGCAGCAGCAGATGCAGCAGCAGCAGATGCAGCAGCAGCAGCAGCAGCAGATGTGGACGAGCCCATCTGGAGGCTCTTCAGAGACTCTGATGACACTGCTGATCTGCTGCTGCAGGTGACATCGCGCTGCATGCAGCATCTTCTCGTTTGCTGCTGCCTCCGAAAGAAGCAAGCAACCTTCCCCTGCATACCGAGCAGCAGCAGCAGAAGCAGCAGCAGCAGCAGCAGTGGCGGCAGCTGAGTCTTGAGGCCCTATGAGAACAGCAGCACTCTTAGCCAGCGCCCGCTGCAGCAGCTAATCAAGCAGCAGCGACTGTTGCTGCCGCAGCAGCAGCATTATCAGCAGCAACTGTTACAGGAACAGCAACTGCTGCTGCAGCACCAGCTGCTGCAGTAGCAGAAACTGCTGCAACTGCTGCAGCTGCTGCAGCTGCTTCGTTTAGCGAGGACGCTAGTGCTTCTAAGTCAAACGACTACTTCCCCTTTTTGCTAGCTGCTGCTGCCTGCTGCTAGCTGCTGCTGCCTGTTGCTAGCTGCTGCTAGCTGCTGCTAGCTGCTGCTAGCTGCTGCTGTCTGCTGCTGCCTGTTGCTAGCTGCTGCTGCTGTTGCTAGCTGCTAGCTGCTGCTAGCTGCTGCTAGCTGCTGCTATCTGCTGCTAGCTAGGGGAACGAGAAACTTCGTATTAGTGTGAAGACAACTGTTGCTGCTGCTGCTGCTGCTGCTGTTGCTGCTGCTGTTGATGCTGGTGCTACTTTTTGCTTCTATTGCTGCTACCTGCTGCTGCTGCGGTGCAGCAGCAAAAATGTAGACAGGGTTTAGGGTTTCGGGTTTAGGGTTTGCTGAGCCTCCCAGGCGACGGCTCAAGAAAACCCTGTGTAAGAAAATTCTCACCGCAGCAGCAGCAGCAGCAGCAGCAGCAGATGTATAGAGGAGCCTCGCAAGTTCGCGGGTCCTCCTTAACCTGCCGCTGCTTGCCCGACTGTAATGCCTGTTGTTGCTGCGTTTGCTGCTGCTGCTGCTGTTGCTGCAGCACTCGGTGGTTTGCTGCAGCGCCAGCAGCAGCTGCTGCTGTTGCTGCTGCTGCTGGTGCTGTTGCTGCTGATGGTGCTGCCCATGCTGCTGCAGCTCCACCTACTTGAGTTGTTTTTCTGCTGCTGCACCTGCTGTAGCAAGGAGGAAGAAGACCTGGAGAGCAGCAGCTGCTGGCTGTTGCTGCAGCGCTTGCGCTTGCTGCTGCCGCTGTTATTTATTACCTGCGTTCGTGTAGGTGCTGTTGTTGCTGCTGTTGCTGTTGCTGCTGCTGCTGCTGCTGCAGCCGACGAGGTATAAGCCAAACGGCTCCATATAGCAGCAGCAGCAGCGCTGGCTGCTGCAGCTACTACACGAGGAAACAGTCAGAGTGCCGCTGCTGCCGCTGCTGCTGTTGTTGTCGCTGCTGCTGCTGCGGCTGCGGCTGAATCGAAAAGAGTCGAATTGTTGCTGCTGCTGCACCAAGAAGTGTGCAGCAGCAGCTGCTGCTGCTGCAGCAACAGACACGTTATACCTTCACGGCTGCTGCCTGAACTGTTGCTGCTGCTGCTGCATCCATGAAAGCAGCAGCAGCAGCAGCAGGTGAGGTGTGCTGCAGCAGCAGCAAATGACACCCAGACTCGCCCCCAAACAGGATTCCTGTTTTGGGGCAAAAGGAGAGACACGAGAAAAAGGAGACTGCAACAGCAGCAGCAGCAGCAGCAGGAGAGTGCTGCTGCTGCTGCTGCAGCAGCAGCAGATGGTCCTCATTTACTCCTCGCAAGGCACAGGGAATTCATCTTGCCGACGGCCGCTGCAGGCCAGCAACGAATCCGCGCAGTTCTTCGTGTTGCACTGCAGCAGCAGCAGCAGCAGCAGCAGCAGCAGCAGCAGCAGCAGCACAAATATGCGGGAATGAGAGTTGGCAGAAGATATACGAGAGACACAATCAGTCGGGCAGCCGCACCAGCGACATAAACAGCAGCAGCAATAACAGCAACAAAAGCAGCAACAGCAACACCAGCAGCAGCAAGTGCAGCAGCAGACACACCCACAGCAACAGCAGCGGCAGCAGCAGCGACATTAGCAGTAACAGCAGCAGCAGCAACAGCACCGACTTCACAAGCAGCAGCAGCAACTGTTATCTCAAACACGAACAGCAGCAGCAGCAGCAGCAGCACCAACAGCAACAGCAGCGGCCGAAGCAGAAACAGGAACAGCAGCAGCAGCAGTTGCAACAGCAGCAGCAGCAGCAACTTACGTCGATGCAGCGTTCAGAGCAGGTGTTAATGAAGCAGGACCTCCTGCATGTGGTTGCAGCGCATGCAGTGGCAGCCCCGAAGCAAGCAGCACATGCGGGTGAGATTTGCTGCTGCATTTGCTGCTGCACCTGCTGCAGCAAACAAGCTGTTGTCCTCTCTTTATCCCCAAAAGCCTTCCTCCCGCACTCATCTAACACTCGAAAGAAATACGTAGAAGGGTGCAGGCCCCGCCTAGTCGGAGCAACAGGAGCAGCAACAGGTTGCAGCGCAGGCAGGGTCAAGCCGATGCTGCTGCTGCCGTCAGCTGCGGAAGCTAAGGCAGCAGCAGCAGCAGCTGCTGCTGCTGCTGCTGCTGCTGCTGCACCCGCGTACTGGGCTGCATGCGCTGCCTCCCGAGCTGCACGCCCATTCAATGATATCGCAGTGTTCATCTTCTCACGCAGTGCACTGCTGCTGATGCTGTTGCTGCTGCTGTTCGTGCTGCTGCTGTCGTCCTTGCTCCCGCTACCCTTGTTGCTGCCCTCCACCCAAAGGCCGCCTGCCTTCTTGCTGTTGTCAGTCTTGCTGCTGCTGCTGCTCCTGCTGCTGCTGCTGCTGCTCTTGTTGCTGCTGGCGGCGGTTTCGCTGCTGCTGCCGCCGCTCTTGCTGCTGCTGCTCTTGCTGCTGCTCTTGCTGCTGCTGTTGCTGCTGCCGCCGCTCTTGCTGCTGCTGTCGTTCTTGGTGCTGTTCTCCTTCTTGCTGCTGCTTTCCTTCTTGCTGCTGCTTTCCTTCTTGCTGCTGTTCTCCTTCTTGCTGCTGCTCCCTCCAGACGACGAGGCCTCTTGGGGTTCGTCTTCAGCAAGTGTAGCAGCAGCAGCAGCAGCCGCACTTGTTGCTGCAGTCACGGCTTCATGAGCCCTGCCTGCAGCAGCTGCTGCTTCTGCTGCTAAATGCTGTATCGTGATGAATGCGCTGGCGGTGCCATGGCCAGCGTGCGGTTTCTGCTGCTTCAGCTGCTGCTGCTGCTGCTGCAGCAGCAGCAGACTCGACTGCTGAGGGGATTGCCGATAGGGAATCCAAATAATCTTCATGTCTTCCGCCGTACAGCCGCCGCCTTCTGCTGCTGCTGCTGCGCCTGGTGCTGCACCTGCTGTACCTGCTCCACCTGCTGCTGCTGCTGCTGCTGCGCTGCTGCACAGCAGCAGGAAGGCACCGAATAGCTGCAGCAGCAAACGCTGCTGCTGCAACGCATAGCACTGCTTCTCCGCCATCGAGAAGTGTTCTGCTGTCACTGACGCGCAGCTCTGCTGCTGCTACCCCGTCCGTTGCTGCTGCAGGAAGAATGTTGTTGGTGCTGCTGTTGCTGCTGCTATTCTCCCCTTCGCTGTTGTCTGCGCAGCAGTTAAGTCTGTTCCTGCAGCTGCTGCAGCTGCTGCTGCTGCTGCTGTCAGTGATGCTGCACGCGAGTGACCTCAGCGAGGGAGAAGGACGAGCAGCAGCCGTTTGCTGCTGCTGCTCCTGTTGCTGCTGCTGCAGTTTCCGTTGGAACAGCTGCTGCTGTTGCTGCAGCAAGTACTTCAAGATCTGAAGAACCTCTCGTTGGCCTCTGCCTAGAGAGGAGAAGGAGCTCGCAGCAGCTGCTGCACACGCTGCAGCAGGAAGTTAACAGAGCAGCGAGAGAGAGCAGCAGCAAAATAAAAAAAAACCTTATTGATGCTGTCTCTCCTGATAAAAAAGCAAAAAAAAGACAGATTAAGAAAACTGACAGCAGCAAATAGCAAGACAGCCAGCCTAACGCAGCAGCAAGTCACACCAGCAGCGACGCGAGCTGCTGCTGCTGCTGCTGCTGCTGCTGCTAGAGGGACACCGACCGCAACACCCGTACATCCACACACCACTTGAGGTGTTGGGTTCTGGTGTATGTACACCTCGGATTAATTAATTTCTACTTAACTGGCGGCTCTTCCCTTTAGGGGCCCTCAGGGCCTCTAGTCGGCGGCGGTCAATGAGCAGCAGCAGCAGCAGCAGTAGCAGCAGCAGCAGTAGCAGTAGCAGCAGCAGTAGCAGCAGCAGCTCCAGGCCTCTCGGCCACGAGCAGCACCGTAGCCGACACCTCAGCTGATCGTGGCAGCGGCAGCAGCATTAACAGCAGCAGCAGTTGCTGCAGCACATGCAGCAAAGTCACGAACGGAGCACCGCCTGAAACTGCTGCAGCAGCAGCAACAACAACAGCAGCAGCGGTACCAGGCAGCGATGAGTACGCAGGGGAATCTCGCTTTAGCCGCAGCGGTGTTGCTGCTGCTTCTTGCTGCAGCTCTGACCCCAGCATCAGCAACAGAGCCAGGAGGCGCCACAGCAGCAGCAGGAGGCAGCACTGCTGCTGCTGCTGCTGCTGCTAGGGAGCTTGAGCTTGCTGCTGCAGATGAAGTATATAACTTCCCGCTGCGCCGCTTGGCCTTTGGCTCTTGCTTCAAACAGAAGCAAAGCTGGGAGACCGCAGCAGAAGCAGCAGCAGCTGCTGCCGGTGCTGCTGCTCCTGCTGCTGCTGTTGCTGCTGCTGCTCGGCGTGAGAAGGTGTTTGAAACAGTCGCGGCTAAGAAGCCAGACGGGTGGATCTGGATCGGCGACGCAGGATATGCAGGTCTGTTGCTGCTGTTGCCGCTGTTGCTGCTGCTGCTGCTGCTGCTGCTGCCGATGGCTTATCCTGATCCTGTTGTTGCTGCTGCTGATGAGTTGATAGTATTTGCAGTGCCGCTGTACTGTCTATCGCTGCAGTTTGCTGCTGCTTCTGCTGCTGCTATTGCTGTTGCCGCTACAGCGCGGTGTTTGTTGTTGCTGCTACTGCTATTTGTATCTGTGCTGCTGCAACAATTGCTGCTGTTTGCATGCGTCTATGTGCTGCTGCATCTGCTGTTGCTTGTTGCATGCGTGCCGCTGCTGGTGCTGCTCCTGTTGCCCCTATGCCTGTTGCTGCTGCTGCTGCAGCGCGTTGCATGCATGCATACATGCTTGTTGCATGCGTGCCGCTGCTGTTGCTGCTGCTGTTGCCCCCATGCCTGTTGCTGCTGCTGCTGCTGCTGCTGCAGAGGGACCCGATGTAGCATCAGTGGAAGCGTCTCTGTCTGCGGTGTCTGCAACTCAAAGTTATAAAACCCTCAAAGCAAATATCTCTTTTCTAGATGGTACCTGGGATGACAACGACTTCGGTAGCCCCAAACCCTAAACCCTAAACCCTAAACCCTAAACCCTAACCTTGTAAATGGAAACCCTAAACCCTAAACCCTCTCAAGGAGGCAGACCATGTTGAGGGCAGACGCTGTCGGTTGAATTGCTCGAGGAGCTCGCCTAAGCTCCGGGCTTAGATAGTTATTAGGGTTTAGGGTTTAGGGTTTAGGGTTTAGGGTTTAGGGTTTGTGCAGGGATGAATGACGGAGGAAAGAATCAAAAGGACAAAGACAAATTGCTGCAGCAGTTTTTAGGGTTTTTAAATGTGAAGGCGGAGAGCCCGAGAAGACAGAGACGGGGGCTGTACTCAGCACACCTCTTCCCCTGGCCGCAGCAGCAGCAGCAGCAGCAGCAGCAGCAACAGGCAGAGCAGCAGCAGCAGCAGCAGCAGACAGAGCAGCAGCTGGAGCAGCAGGAGGGTGTTCGTTTGCTGCTGCTGGACACGCGCATGCATCGAGACTTGCATGCATTACCAAGCCCCGCGATGTATTTCTTACATTCTCCTCTCTCTCCTCTTTTGTCTCTGGCCGGTGCAGCCAGTCGCTTCTTAGTGCACCTCCTCGGGTACTCTAAACCCTAAACCCTAAACCCTAAACCCTAAACCCTAACTTGCAAGGAAGGCTTTCTTCTTAATTCGGGTCTGAGACGTGCAGCAGCAACCCCACAGCTTCTCCGAAGATGAACGCCGTGACGCCTGTAGCTTGCTCCTTAGACTTTAGGGTTTAGGGCTTAGGGTTTAGGGTTTAGGGTTTAGGGTTTGTGTGCAGGGTGGGGTATGAATACGAAGCAGATGTTTTAGGAGAAGAGCAGTGGGAGTGGCTCGAGGCGCAGCTGAAGCACTCGCGGGCTCAGGCGCATATTGTTGTTTCTTCTATTCAGGTAAACCCTAAACCCTAAACCCTAGCTTCCATCCAGGTAAACCCTGAACCCTAAACCCTAGCTCCAGGCGCGGCACAATGCCTACACCTTAAATCCTTAACTCTGCAAATCCTAAACCCTAGAACGGAGACCTAAACCCTAGGGCTAACCCTAAACCCTAATTCCTACACTGTCTCTGCCAAACCCTAAACCCTAAACCCTAAGCTGCAAACCCTCAAGCCAAGTAGGCGTGTCTTGCGCTGTTTGTTTTGCTGCTACCATTCTTGCTGCTTCTGCTGCTGCTGTTGTTTCTGTCTGCCGTTGCTGCTGCCTTTGCTGCCTCTGATACTACTGCTGCTACTACTGCTACTGCTGCTGCTGCTGCTGCTACTGCTGCTGCTGCTGCTGCTGCTGCTGCTGCTGCTGCTGCTGGCAGGTGTTGACGGGGCTTCCACTGGTTGAGAGTTGGGGTCTCTTTCCTGTGTCTCGTCTTCGTCTTTTGTCTCTGTTTGCACGAACAAAGCCAAAAGGATTAATGCTCCTCTCTGGCGATGTTCATTTTACTGAAATGCTCGGACATCAGGCAAGAAACAAAGCCCCAAAAACTCTCCATCCATCCATGCATGCAAAGATGCATGCACAGATGCATGCATGCATGCAGAGATGCATGCAGAGATGCATGCATGCATGCACCTGTGTATCCATGCAGAGCTGCATGCAGAGATGCATGCATGCAGATATGTATGTATGTATGCATGCATGCATGCAAATATGTATGCATGCATACAGATGTGCATGCAGAGATGCATGCGTGCAGATATGCATGCATGCATGCAGATATGTATGCATGCATGCATGCACACATGTAGCGCAGCAGCAGCAAACCACCCGCACCACATGCAAGCAGCAATAATACCCTTTCCGGCGAAGTGAAAACGGAGTTATGAAGATATGTTGCATTGCTGCTGCTGCTGCTGTTGTGTTGCTGCTGCACTTGTTGCTGCTGCACCCTGTGGACTTGCTGCTGCTGTACTTGCTGTTGCTGCTGCACTTGCTGCTGCTGCTGCTGCTGCAGGATGGAGTGATAGAGCTAACTAGCAGCGGCCTGACGCATAGTGTGGGGGATTCGCTGCTGGGGCGGCTGGTGCTGCTGCCGCTGCTGCAGTGGATATACACCTCAAGACTGCAGCCTGAAGCCTTCTCTCTTCGACGAAACTTCGGCCTCGTAGACTTTAAATACCCAGACACCCCAGGTGCTGCTGCTGCTTGCTGCTGCTGCTTGCTGTTGCTGCTTGCTGCTGCTGCTGTTGCGTGCTGCTGCTGCGTGTTGCTGGTTTAACTGCTGCTGCTGGTTGCTGCTGCATCAGCTGGTGCGGCTGCTACTTCAGCTGCTGCTCCCGCTGCTTGCTTCTTCATCCGCTGCTGCTGTTGTTGCTGTCGCTTCCGTTGCTGGTTCTTCTTCTAGCGCTGCTGCTGCTGCTGCTCTAGATATGGTAGGTTGGCTGCTGCGTGGTGGTGTTACCTACTGCAGCTGCTGTTGCTGCTGTTGCTGCTGCTGCTGCTGCCGCTCGTAGGGGCTGGCCTAGAAGCCACCTTGTCTTCTATTGACGTGGAGTCGGGGGAAGTGCTGCTGCAGCAGCAAATTAATCTCACTGAAGCAGACAAAGGAGACAGGTGGCGTTTGCTGCTGGAGACAGTCCCTCACGTAGTGAAGCCGCCGAACTTGCTGCAGCGGCTGTTGCAGCTGCTGCTGTTGCTGCTGCTGCTGTTGCTCCTGCTCTTGCCTCTCTCTCCTCTACTCCCCAGAACAAAAGAGCTGCTGCAGCGTCTCTCTAAAGGCATGCAGCGGCGACGAGCCTATCAGCCTGTGGTGTCTCACGAGACACCAGACAGCAGCAACAGCAACAGCAACAGCAACAGCAACAGCAACAGCAATAGCAACAGCAGCAGCAGCGTGGCTCGAGGGAGGCGCAGCAGAAGCAGCAGCCCGGTGTTGCTTAACCAATCTTAATTTTATCCGCGGTCCTCTGCCGGGACTGTCGACTGCCTGCTGCTGCTGCTGCTGTTGCTGCAGCAGCAGCAGCAGCAACAGCAACAACAATAGCACTTCAGAAACAACTTGTGCGGCAGCAGCGACATTTTGTCGCTTCTGCTAACGAAGGGATGATTAAAGCTGCGAGATGCGTTGCTGCTGCTGCTGCTCCTGGTCCTGCTGCTGCTACAGCTGTTGTTGTTGCTGCTGCTGCTGCTTGCCACTTGCTGCTGCTGCTTGCCTGTTGCTGCTGCTGGCCTAGACAGAGACAAAAGGAGACACTATATGACAGGGACAAAAGAGCGAAGCAGTGAATGGGAGATATTTGAGTGAACCCTGTCCTTAGAAGCGCTGTGTTGCTGCTGCTGCTGTTGCTGCTGCAGCTGTAGTTGCTGCACCCGCTGCTGCAGTTGTTGCATCACCTGTTGCTGCCGTTTTTGCTGTTCCTTCGAGCCCAAAGTCTGCCTCGGAAGCAGCCACTTCCCTGGCTGCAGCTGCACGAATATGAACTCTAGCAGCAGCAACAGTAGCAGCAGCAGAAGCACCAGACACACCAGCAGCAGCAGCAGCAGCAGGTGCCGCGTGGTTTTATTAGCAGCAGTAGGAGTTGTTTGCATTTTCGTTGCTGCAGCAACAGGTGCTGAAACAGCAGGAGCTGACAAGCAGAAGCTGCACCAGCAGGTGCATCAGCGGCAGCAGCAGCAGCAGCAGCGGCAGCAGCAGCAGCTGCTGCTGCTGCAGCATTAGAAGTTGAACTTGAGGATAAGTTCTTTCATGGGTTTGTTGGCTTGAGCGGAGACACCGCGGAGACCTGCGAAGGCACGGGAGCTGCGCTGGCCAGCAGCAGCAGCAGCAGCAATTGGCGTGTTTGTTGCTGCTGCTGCAGTGGTAGCAAACTGTGTCTCTGCATCGGTGCGGAAAGAAGACAGCAAAGTTTGCATCCCTGTGCTGCTGCGGTTTTGCTGCTGCACCTGCTGCAGCACCTGCCTCCGCAACTCCCACTCGTTGTAGCTGTAGCTGTTGCTTATTGCTGCTGTCTGCTGCAGCAAATCTTCTGTGTCTTGTGCCGCATCTGCTGCTTTCCCTCTGCTCAGCCGTACGTACAGCTCAGGCCGGAACTCCCAGTCGAAACCCTCGCAGCTCTGCTGCTGCTGCTGCTGCTGTAGGCGCTGCTGCAGCTCCTGCAGCTCCTGGTGGTACGCCCACACTAAGAGAGCCTTTAGGTCCGGTCTGCAGCAATAGCAGCAGCAACAGCAGCAGCAACAGCAGCAACAGTAGTAGCAACAGCAACAGCAACAGTAGCAACAGTAGTAGCAACAGCAACAGCAACAGCAACAGCAGCAGCAACAGCAACAGCAACAGCAACAAGGGCAGCAAACGCTTGAGCTGCAGCAGCACAAATTCACCAGAGTTTTCCATAATGTAGCTACAGAGACACAGCAGCAACAACAACAGCAGCAACAACAGCAGCAGCAATAACAGCAGCAACTGCACCGGCAACAGCAGCGGCAGCAGCAGCAGCACGAGCAGCAGCAAAGGCGGCAAAAGCAGCAAACACAGCAACAGCAATAGTAACAACAGCAACAGCAGCAGCAACAACAGTATCAAGGCCAGCACCGGCAGGAACAAGAACAGCAGCCACGCCAGCAACAGCAGCAGCAACACAAACAAAAGCAGCAGCAGCAGCAGCAGCAACAGCAGCAGAATCAACGTAATCAATCTACTCAGGGAAGCGCTTCTCAACTCCTAGGGCGAAGATGAGGGCAGGCATCTTCTGCACAACAGCAGCAAGTTGCTGCTGCAGCAGCACCTCTGGCTGCACGTGTGGCTTCTGCTGCTGCAGCTGCTGCTGCTGCTCCACGAACTCTCGAAGCCGCCTCGGGCTGCTAAAGAGATAAATCTCCCCATTCACTTCAACAGCCCCTGCAGCAGCAGCAGCAGCAGCAGCAGCAGCGGGCAAAGACAGGAACCTATCCTATTTGCTGCTGCTTCCAACGGGAGTCCGCGGGGTGCAGCAGCAGCAAGAGCAGCAGCAGCAGCAGCACGAGCAGCAGCAGCACCTGTATGCGTGTCTCCTGAGATGAGGGCCCCTTCTTGCAGCAGCGTCTGCAGGCAATAACCCCCAAGTTCCGCTGGCTGCTGCTGCTGCTCCAGCTCTGCTGCAGTGAGTATCTTAAGCCCGCTGCTGTTGCTGCTGCTGCTGCTGCGGGTTATAGGCTCGTCTTGCCGCTCTGGCTTAGTTCGTCTACGCAGCCGCAGAGCAGCAGCATCAAGCTTTGTGGTGTCTGGGGACAGCAGAGCTGCTGCATGCTGCTGCAGCAGCAGCCGCAAAGACGTTAGCTGCAGCAGCGCTTGCTGCTCCTTGTACACCCCAAGATAAGCAGCACCTGCAGCAGCCAGGTGTCTATACACCTCGTCCGGAGGTGCTTCTCCTTGGTGCTGCTGCAAGCAGCTCTCCACTGCAGCAAGCTCCTCCAAGCACATTGCTGCTGCTGCTGCTGCTGCATCGTGCCGCTGCTGTTGCTGCACCAGCAGCGCCTGCACAAACCGAATCTGCTGTACTTGAAAAACACTTTCTGCTGCGATCACAGCAGCAAGCTTCTTATCAACTCCTGCATCAGCATCAGCAGCAGCAGTAGCAGTAGCAGCACTAGCAGCAGCTGCAGCAGCAGCAGCAGGGGCAGAGGAAGCAGCAACCTCGTGCTGCTGCAGCTGCAGCAGCAGCAGTGAGAGAAGCGGTAGCAGGGTTTGCTGCAACAGAGCCAAAGAACGGGGTGGGCTCGTCCATCTCCTAGGGTTTAGGCTTTAGGACTTAAATATAGGGTCTAGGGTTTAGGGTTTAAGGCTTAAGGTTTAGGTCTAGTGTTTTAGGGCCTAGGGTTTAGGGTTTAGGACCGAGGGTTTAGGGTTTAGGGTTTAGGGTTTACCAATCGATTCTCTTTGGGCTTTGCTGATGCTGAAGATGTTGCGAATCCGCTGCAGCGCATCTTGCCCCGTAACTGCTTGCTGCAGCAGCTGGTGCTGCAGCTCAGCAGCAACTGCAGCAGCAAGCTCCTCGGGTGGGATGAGCCAATCGAACTTCTCAGCAATAGCAGCAGCAGCAGCTGCTGCTGCTGCTGCTTTTGCTGCTGCCGCTTTTGCTGCTGCTCTTGATTTCGCGGTGGTCGGTAGTTTTGCTGCTGCTGGTCTTGCTGCTGCTGCTCCTGCTGCTACTGTTGCTGCTGCATTTGCTGTTGTTGCATCTGTTGCTGCTGTTGGTGTTTCTGCTGCTGGTGGAACAGCTGCCTTTGCTGGTGGTGCTGCTGCTGCGTCGGCCGCTGCTGCTGCTTCCGCTGCTGCTGCTGCTGCTGCTGCTGCCCGGCGCTGCTGCAGCAGCAAAGCAGCAAGGACAATGCAGCGCAACTCCTTGAGGTGCTGCTTCCGCAGCTGCAGCGGCAGAGCAAAGATACAGGGGAGACGAGTGATAGGGAGAACGGAGTCTAGGGCCTTCTCGACAAGCTGCTGCACTTCTTCTGCTGCTGCTGCTGCTTCTTCTGCTGCTGCTGCTGCAGATTCCAGCGGGGCCCGCGCTGCAGCAGCTGCTGCTGCGTCTTCGCTCACAGCTACAGCAGCAACCATTGGCAGAGATACAATACAATAAGATAAAAGATGCTGCCGCAGCAAACACACAAATTCGGGTCTCCTCAGCTTCGCATGATCTGCATGCAGCACCTGCAGCAGCAGCAGCAACAGGAGCAGCAGCAGCAGCAGCAGCAGCAGCAACAGGAGCAGCAGCAGCAGCAGCAGCGGCAACGACACAAGGAGCCGCAACAACAGCATTTAGGGATCGGCTCAAGAGCAGCACCACGATCCAGTAAACCACTACTACAAGCAGCAGCATCAGCAACAGCACCAACAGCAGCAGCAACAGTAGCCGCTGCTGCTGCAGAAGCAAACGCATACCAAGGCGGCAGCTTCCTCCACTCTCTTTGTTTGCTTTGTTTGCTGCAGCGCATCAGCAGCAACTAAGTCCAGCAGCAGCGCCTCAAAGCTAACTTGCAATGAGAGAGCAGCAGCAGCAGGGTCGTTACGCTGCTGCTGCAGCAGTGAAACAGCAGCAGCAACTGCTGCCTCCGCTTCCTCCTGCGACGGTAGTTTTGCTGCGGCTGAGGAAAAGCGGAACAACTCAACGCCCTCCTCTGCTGCTGTTGCTGCTGCTGCTGCTGCTGCAGCAGCAGGAGGGAGTGTCAGCAACAAGTACGCTGCATGCGCAAGGGAGACAGCAATGCCTGCAGAACGAGCAGCAGCAACAAGCTGCTGCGACAGCTGTGGCAACACATCCCTAAAGAAAGGCCTCTCCAATGGCATTAACTGTCTCTGCTGCTGCTCCTCCTCCTCTTGAACGGAGGCGTCAGCAGCAGAAGAAGCAGCAGCAGGAGAAGAGTCAGCAGCAGGTGCTGCAGCAGCAGCTGCTGCTGCTGCTTCTTCTTCGCTGTGTGCTGTCTGCAGCGCCATTTTCGGTGTCTGTACACCTCAGTGCTTCCCGCTGCCTCACCTCAAATCGGCACTAGACTTACACTGGTTCTGGTTCTAACTGGCTAGCTGCTGCTGCTGCTGTTGCTGCTGCTGCTGCTGCTGCTGCTATTGTTGTTGCTGCTGCGGCAATTGCTGCTGCTGCTGTTATTGCTGCTGCAGCTGCGGAAGCTCTCTTTGCAGACAGCCCTTTTGTCTCCGGCTGCTAGCACTCTTCTAAACGCTGCTTCAATAGGCCCTAGGATCTGCGGCAGCAGCAGCAGCAACAACAGCGGCAGCAACAGCAGCCGCAACAGCCGGGTCACGAGAAGCAAGTCAACGTCTCGTGCGGCTGATGAAGAGAGACAAGCACTCCAGTGCTTGCTCCCGCTTACATGAGCTAGGCAGCAGCAACACCAGCAGCAATGCAGCAGCAACAGCAACAGCAATGCAGCAGCAATAGCAACAGCAGTACTAGCAGCAATAGCAACAGCAGGAACAGCAGCAGGTAAACCGGCAGCAGCAAGGCCAACTAACTGCTCACAACTAGTTTGCGCATATTAATTGTGAGCAGTTAGTTGGCAGCTACGGGGTGTATCAGCAGCAGCAGGTCTGCAGCAGCAGCAGCAGCAGCTGAGAGGAGTTCTGCAGCAGCAGCGGGAGCTGTTCCGCTCCTACAAGCAGCAGCTGCACATGCGGCTGCAGGTGCTGCAGCAAGAGAATGCGCAGCGAGCACTCTGCAGTCAACGAGCAGCAGCAGCAGCAGCGGCAGCAGCAGCAGCAAATGCTGCTGCTGCTGCATGCGGAGCTCCAGCACGGGGAGACAATCAATAATAGAATAATGTTGTCTGCTTAAAGAAATAATAATTAATTGAATTACTACTTCGTTTGCATTATAAAAGACCTCCAAAGAGGCTCATGCAGGGCCTCCGATCCTCTGCAGCAGCAGCAGCAGCAGCAGCCGACTGCAGCAGCTGCAGCAGCAGCAGCTGCTGCTGCTGGTATCTTGCGACGGGCTGGCTGAGGCAGTGTGTCTGCATGCAGGAAGTTTGCAGCGTTTAGCAGCAGCACAAAATAGGCAGAAATATAAATACAATTGGTGTCAGTTTGTTGCAGCAGCAGCAGCAACAGCAGCAGCAGCAGCAGTAACAACAACGGCAGCAACGGGAGGCTAATAGGCGCGTGTGTTGCTGTGTACCTGGAGCTTCAAGCTGAGCAGCAGCAGCAGCAGCAGCTTCTTTAATTTATTTATTTTTTAAACATGTTTACGCTAGACCGTCTAGCAGACGCAGGGGCGTTGCAGGGCTGCTCTCCTGCTCCAGCAGCAGCAGCAGCAGCAGCAAACGCTGCAGCAAACCCTGCAGACACTCGAAACCCTGTTACCACCACTTCCTCGGTCCTCGCCCTCACTTACAAAGACGGCGTCATTATGGTCGCCGACACCACAGGTGCTGCAGGCCAGGGATTAGGGTTTAGGGTCTAGGGTTTAGGGTTTAGGGTTTAGGGTTTGCTGTGGAGTTTGCAGCAGGTGTAGTAGTTAAGTTGCGCTCTCTAAAGATGGCGTACGAGAGCTGCTCCTGTGGTTTATGGTTTTGCCTTCAGCCTTGAGGGTTCAGGGTTTAGGGTTTAGGGTTTAGGGTTTAGGGTTTGTGTGCAGTTTCATACGGACGGATGGTGCGTTTCCGTGGGCAGCCGCGTTTTATTTCTTTAAACAACAAAACCCTCATTTGTACATCTGGAGAATACTCAGACCATCAGTTTCTTGAGCGGCAGCTGCAGGCGCTTGTTGCAGAGGACGCCGTGCATGCAGGCAGCAGCAGCAGCAGCAGCAGCAGCAGCACCGGGGATGCGCTTCTTACCCCCAAAGCCGTAGCTAACTACACCGCTCGCACCCTCTACAATAAGAGGTGCCGCTTCAATCCATACTGGCTTTCAGTTGTTGTTGCTGGGCATATGGGCGCTCCTAAAGGCATTCACGAGCAGCAGCAGCAGCAGCAGCAGCAGCAGCAGCAGCAGCAGCAAGGGGAGGGGAATGCAAAGGAAGGAAATGAAATGTATTTGGGGGCCATTGATCTCCTTGGCACCTTCTTTGAAGAAAAAGTTGTCGCTACAGGTGCCTCTGCTGCTGCTGCTGCTGTCCTGCTGCTCTTTTTCTGCTTCTGTAGCCGCTGCTGCTGTTTTGTTGCTGCTTCTCTGCTGCTGCTGCTGCACAAGCGATATCCTCTGGCTTTGCAGCGTTCGTTTGCTGCTGGCTCTGCGTGGATGTGTGTGCACTTAGTCTAATCCTGCAAGCTCAGCTGCTGCTGTTGCTGCTGCTGCTGCTGCTGCTGCTGCTGCATTCGCTGCAGGTCTTGGACGGTACTTTGCCATTACTTTGATGAGAGAGAAACACCGCCCGGACATGTCTGAGCAGTGAGCTGCTGCTGCTGTTGCTGCTGCTGCTGTGGCTGTTGCTGCTGCTGTTGCTACTGCTGCTGCGGCTGCTGCTGCCGCTGCTGTGGCTGTTGCCTTTGCTGTGGCAGTTGCTGCTGCTGCTGTTCGAGCATCGATTTTACTTGGGCGTTTGCTGCAACATGCCGGTGCAGTTTCTGCTGCTGCTGCTGCTGCTGCCTTTGCTGCAGGGAGGCGCGGGAGCTGCTGGAGGAGTGCATGCGGATTTTGTTTTACAGAGACTGCGCAGCCTCAAATGAGGTATAACCAGCATCAACCGCTGTTGCTGCTGCTGTTGCTGCTGCTGCTGTAACTCTGCCTGCTGCATGTGCTGCTATGTTTGCGCTGTTGCTGCTGCTGCTGCTGCTGCTGCTGCAGGTTCAATTTGCTAAGGTAACGGCCTCAGGGGTTACAATCGACGAACCCAAAAAGCTGAGCTCCAGATGGTACGCCACAGCAGAAGCAGCAGCAGCACGTGCTGCTGCAGCAGCAGCGTGCTGCTGCAGCAGCAGCGTGCTGCTGCAGCAGCAGCGTGCTGCTGCAGAAGAAGCAGCATCAGCAGCAACAGCTAGCGACAATTTAGAGCCTCACGGGAGTTTGAAGTTCGTAGCAGCAGTTTTAATCCGTATTCATCCGATCTTGCTGCTGTTGCGCTGCTGCTGCTGCTGCGATGCTGCTGCTGCTGCTGCTGCTGTACGCAGGGACTTTGAGGCGTACACGAAGAAAACAATTGATATGGACTTGGCTGGCTGCTCGTGGTGAGCTGTTAGGCTGCTGCTGCTGCAGGTGCTGCAGCAGCAACAGCAGCAGCAGATGAGCAGCAGCATTTGCTGTCCCTTCCACAGCGGCAGCTGCTGCAGCACCAGCTAAGGCAGCAGCAGCTGCAGCAACGACAGCTGATTGCAGCAACGACAGCTGATGCAGCAGCATTGGCAGCAGCTGCTGCCTTTCGGTTCTTTTGCTTCTTTGTGATGAGATGCCGCTGCAGCGGCTAAACCCTAAACCCTAAACCCTCGAAGTCTTCTACTGCTTGAACTGTTGCACTGTAGATTTGTTGTGAGTGGATACAGCCCGCAAGGGGCGTGCTGCTGTGAGCAACGGCAGCAGCAGCAGCGAGAGCAGCAACAGCAGCGAGAGCAGCAACAGCAGCTGCAGCAACAGCAGCAGGAGCGCTCGAAGTAATACCGGCCTTAACTGTAAAATGCATTCTTCCTGTTAACTGATTGCTCATCAAGCTTGTGGCTAGCTAGGCAGCTAGCTAGCCACTAGGTAGCTAGCTAGCTAGACAGCTACATAGATAGGTAGTTAGGTAGATAGCTAGCCACGTAGATAGCTAGCTAGCAACTTAGCTAGCTAGCTAGCCAGCCAGCTGCCTAGCCAGGCAAGCAAGCTAGCTGAGGGGTAAGGGGCTGCAGCCGGCCCTGCGGTGCAGCAGTAGCAGCAGCAGCAGCAGCAGCGCCAACTGCGCAGCGTAGCTAGCTGCTGGTCTCAAGTAGATAGCTGCTACTAGCGGCCTGCTAGCTAGCTGCTGCTAGTCCTTCGGTGGCTAGCCAGCTAGCCAAGCAAGGCCTCGATGCAGCGGGCTCTGGATGCCCCCAGAGGAGCTGCTGCTGGACCCAAACGCGGCTGGCTAGCTAGCTAGCTAGCTAGCTAGCTAGCTAGGGAATCCAGCAAATGCCTTGCTGCAGCTAGCTGCAGCAAGCTGCAGTTAGCTAAGGGTCGGGGCGGCGGCCATGCCGCCGGCGAGCAGTTCCAGGGAACTCCACAACAGCTCCTAAACAGCAGCAGCAACAGCAGCAGCAGCAGCACAAAGCATGCAAAAGCAGAGGCAGCGGCAAGTGCAGCAGTCATGACAGCAGCAGCAACAGCTGTGGGGCCCGGGGTGTCTTACCTGCTGCACTGAGAGCCAAGTTGGGCTTCGGGTATTTAAACCGCGCTGTCTCCGCGTACACCTTAAACCTGCAGAAGCAGCAGCAGCAGCAGAAACCGCAGCAGCAGCAGCAGCAGCAACAGCAGCAGTAGCAAATTGAGCATCTTCAAAGGCAGCTCGCAGGCGCACCAACAGAAAGAGCAGCACAAGCAGCAGTAGCAGCAGCAGCAGAAACCGCAGCAACACAGCAGCAATGCAGCAACAACAGCAGCAGCAGCGCAGCAACGGTGCAGCAGCAGGAGAGCGTATGAGGTGTACGCACAGCTCTAGAACCTTGAGGGCTTTGAGGGAGTCTGCTGGCCTCCAATTTTTATTTTCTTCTACGCACTGTTTGTGCTGCTCTGCTGGCAGCAGACACCGCCGCTCAGCAGAATATGCAAAGCGGCGCACACACTGCAGGTACGCGCTCCTGCAGCAGCAAATGCAGCAGCAGCAAATGCAGCAGCAGCAAATGCAGCAGCAGCAAATGCAGCAGCAGCAAATGCAGCAGCAACAAATGCAGCAGCAGCAAATGCAGCAGCACCATCAGCAGGAAGTGCATCCGCAGCAGCAGCAAAAATGCAGCAGCAAGTACAGCAGCACCAGCAGCAAGTGCAGCAGCAGCAGCAGCAGCAGCAGCAGCTGACCATGTGTCCATGCATGGGTGGAGTTTGTGGTTGCTGCTGCTCTCTGCTGTTCGCATGCGCCTGAGAATGTCTGCTGCTTCCCAGTGGCGTATCTGACGGCCGTAGGGCACTAATGACAAAGAAGGCCGCAGAGCAGCACAAGTCGCTCGCTTGCTGCACCCATTCATCTTGCTGCTGCTGCTGCTGCTGCTGCTGCTGCTGCTGCTGCTGCTGACGAGCGTGATGATGATGATGATGATGATGATGATGATGATGGAGGCTGCTGGTGCAGACTGCTGCTGCTGCTGTTGTTGTATGCTGCAGAATGATGCTGCTGCTGCTGATAGTGATTACTGGAACGATGCTGGGTTTTGCTGCTGCTGCTGTTGCTGCTGTTGCGGCTTCGGCTGCAGCAGGAGCTGTTCCTGTTGCTGCTGACGCAGCAGTTGCTTCTGCTGCTGTGAGGGTTGCTGCTTCGCCCAAGAGGCAGCAACCCAGCCCTGCTGCAGCAGCAGTAGCAGCAGCAGAGGCCTCCAGGTGACCCCCAGTTGGGGCCCCCGTTGCTGCTGCTGCTGCTGCTGCAGCTGATGCAGCAAAGAGCGTCCGTGTGAATTTGTTCGGCTGTATTTGTGTGAGATGTTTTTCTATGCTACGGTGTATAGTCGCCGTGTGTGCAGGCGCTGCTTTTCTGCAGCAGCAGCAGCAGCAGCAGCAGCAGCTGGCTGGCGCTACCAGCCCCAGGGCTCTAAGAACAACAACCCCACCCTCTCCCTTATTTGTATTTTTTATTTAGGGGTTTAGGTAGGAGCAGCAAAATAAACGAGGAGAGGTTTGAAGACTCCTTGGTTTAGCTGCAGCAGCGAGGGCAGCGGAAGGATTGTCTTCAGCAGCAGCAGCAGCAGCAGCAGCTGCGCAGCAAGACACAATAACCCAACGCAGCACATGCTGCAACAGCAGCAATAATAACAGTAACAACAACAAAAACAACAGCAGCGACAGCAACAACAGCAGCAGCGACAACAACAGTAACAGCAACAGCAGCAACAATAACAGCAATAGCAGCAGCAACCAGAACAGCAGCAGCAGTAACAAGAACAGCAGCAGCACACAACAAAAGCAGATCAATACCGCCGCTGCCGCCCGCAGCGGCGGCAGCGGAAGGCGCGTGCCTCCGCAACTGCAGCAGCCGTAGCTGCAGCAGCAGCAACAGCAGCCGTAGCAACAGCAGCAGCAGCAGCTTGTGGTGCCATGTGGGAAGAGATTGCGGATGCAGCTGCAGCGGCAGCAGCAGAATCGACTCAGTGTCCGCCCAAAGGTGCTGCAAACACGAACGAAGCAGCAGCAGCAGATGCAGATGCAGATGCAGATGCAGATGCAGCAGAAGCAGCAGCACATGATGATGCTGCGCGAGAAGCAGCGTCAGCAGCCACCGTCTCCCCTGCAGCAGCAAATTCATCTTCATCAGCTACAGCCTACATGGGTGCACTCTCCTGCTCCGCAGCTGCCCAACCAGCAGCAGCAGCACCGGCACCAGCAGCAGCAGCAGCAGCAGCAGCAGCAGCAGGAGGTGTCGGCCGCATCCGTTTGCTGCCTGAGGAAGTGGTGCGGCGTATAGCAGCAGGAGAGGTAGTAAGCCGCCCGTCTGCAGCTCTGAAAGAGCTTTTAGAAAACAGTTTAGATGCTGCAGCTCTGCGGGTGTCTGTACACTGCGTAGGCGGAGGGATAAAGCTGCTGCAGGTTTCTGACAATGGCTGCGGTGTTGCTGCATGCGATTTGCCGCTGCTGTGCATGCGACACTGCACAAGCAAGCTGCAGCATCTGCAGCAGCTGCAGCAGCTGCACTCGTTTGGGTTTAGAGGAGAGGCGCTTGCTGCTCTCTCTATGGTTGCTCGGCTTAGCATAACTACGAAGCAGCGAGGCAATCAACACGGCTTGCAGTGTACATACACCTCAGGCGTTCTTTCAGAGGAGCCGAAGCCCTACCCCAGGACAGCAGGCACAACAATAAAAGCTACAGATTTATTTCATAACTTGTCTGCAAGAAGAGCGCTCTTCCTCTCTGCTTCTGCTGCTAAAGCACCAGCAGCAGCAGCAGCAGGAGTAGCAGCAACAGCAGCAGCGCCAACAACTGCAGCAGCTGCAGATGAATATCTACGCTGCTTGCAAGTCGTGTCGCGCTACGCACTTAATAATCCACATGTTGCATTTAGTATGCGGAGGCAGCAACAGCAGCAGCAGCAGCAGCTACCTGATCTCAACACGCATGCATTCGGGCTGGCTGAGGCGAAGCAGCTTCTGCTGCAGCTGAGAAGACAGCAGCGCAGACAGCAGCAGCAGCACGCACAAGCCACCAACACCAGCATGGACACAAGCAGCAACAGCAGCAGCAGCATGAGCTGCAGCTGCTGCTGCACAGAAGAAGAAGAGCGGCTACCCACAGAAGCGGAGTTGCGGCTGCTGCGAGGCATCGCTTTGCTGCAGGGAGGGGCCCTTAAAGTGATTGAGCGGACGCATGGTGCAGCAGTAGCAGCAACGCTGCTGCCTATACACCTCAAGTCTAAGCTGCCCGCAGCTGCTGTCAGCTTCCTTCGCAGCCAGCAGCAACAGCAGCAGCAGCTGCTGCGGGAGCTGCAGCAGCAGCGGGAAAACAATGACAATGATACTCCTGCAGACACTACCACCACCAGCAGTAACAGCAGCAGCAGCAGCAGCAGCAATAGCAGCAGCAGCAGCAGCAGCAGCAGCAGTAGCGATAGTAGCAGCAGCGAGAGTGTCTGCCCGTTGTTACGGGAGTTGGCGTCGTTGCTGTCTGCTGGCGACGTTGGTTGTGGCGGCTCTCTTGCTTCTTCTTCTGCTGCTGCTGCTGCTGCTGGCATGCCTGCTGCTGCTGAGGTGTATCTACACGACTTAAAGGAGGGGGAGTGGCGGGTGACGGGTTTAATCTCAGAAGCAAACAAAGGACAGAAAAATGCATCTTTCTGCTTCTTCATCAACTCAAGGCTTGTTGAATGCCCTGCACTTAAGTCCGCCAACACTGCTGCTGCTGCTGCTAATTGTTCTGCTGCCGTTGCTGCTAGGCGTGCTGCTGGTTGTGCTGATGCTGCTGCTGCTGCTGCTGCTAGCTGCTTCTGGTTCTGCTGCTGCTGGCTGCGCGACTTGGTTTGCTGCTGCCGATGCTGCTTCTTCTGCTAGTTCTGCTGCTAGTTTTACCGCTGGCGGTTGTGCTGCTGCTGTTGGTGTTGGTTGTGCTGCTACTGCTATTGTAATGGCTTGCCGCTACTGTTGCGTTTCTGGCTGCCGCAGCAGCAAGTGGTTTTGTACTTGTGCTGCTGCTACTGCTGCTGCTGCTGCTGCAGGCGGAGCGTGGAAGGTGTATACGGGCAGCTGATGCCTCGGGGCCAGCGGCCTTTTGTTTATTTGTCTCTTGAGCTTCCTGCTGCTGCTGTTGATGTGAATGTACACCCCAGCAAGACGCAAGTCCGCTTCCTTCATGAAGACCTCATCGCAGAGCAAATCGCTCAGGCCCTTCTGGTTAGCCCTGCTGCTGCTGTTGCTGCTGATGCTGCTGCTGCTGCAACTGCTGCGGCTTGTTGCGCCAGGAGCTTCGGAGGTTGTTGATGCTGCTGTGACTTCTGCTGCTGCTGCTGCGGGGTCTCGCTGGAGGTGGTTGATGCTGCTGTGGCCTCTGCTGCTGCTGCTGCGGGGTCTCGCTGCTGCTGCTGCTGTTGCCTACTTCTGGCCTGGACTGGCGTGTCTGCTTGGCTTTGCCGCGTTCGCTGCAGTTGGGGTGTATTTCTTGCATTTGTTGTTGTTGTTGCTGCTGCTGCAGGAGATCCTTAGTGGCCAAACCTCTTCAAAGGCGCTGCTGCTGCAGCAGCCGGTCCCGGCTGAGCCCCAGCTGAAGCAGCAGCAGCTCGTGCTGGTGTCGCAGGGCGAAGCCACGCAGCAGCAGGAGAAGGGAGACCCTCTAAACCCACGCAGCAGCAACAGCAGCAGCAGTAGCAACAGCAGCAGCAGCAAGCCGGCGCTGAAGCCGACAAGGACCCGAACAGACGCGCGGCAGCTGCCGCTCAGCGCCTTCTGGCAGCACGACCTTTCTTCACAGCAACAGCAGCAGCAACAGCAGCAAAAGCAGCAGCAGCAGACGGCATGCAACAGCACCAGCAACATTTCTACAGCAGCAGCATCGCAAGAGAGTCCTCATGAGATGCAGCTGATTCCTCAGTCGCAGCAGCAACAGCAGCAGCAGCAGCAGCAGCAGCAGCAACACGAGGATCAATCTGTGGACGGAGTGCCTGCACCAATGGAATCAGCAGTGCAGCGCAAGGAGGAGGAGCAGCAGCAAGACCCTCCGGCAGCAGCAGCAGCAGTGCCTGGCAGCAGCCAGCAGCAGCCCGTGCTGCGTCTGTTTGATGACAGAGCGCAGGGGGGACACATACTGGAGAGAGTTGCTCCAGGCTGCAGCAGCAGCAGCACCAGCTGCGGCACTAGGCGGACGGATGCCGGGAGACTCCGCAGCGTGCGGCAGCTGCTGCAGCGCTGCGCAGAGGCTGCAGCAGACGAACCAGCCAACGGCAGCAGCAGTAACAGCAGCAGCAACAGCAGCAGCAGCAGAGACAGCACAACAGCACTGCAAGGGTGTTCGTATGTTGGAGCGGTGAACGCCAGGATGGCGCTGCTGCAGCGAGGAGACTGTCTCCTTCTCGTCGATCTCCCGGCCGTCGCCAGAGGTCTAAACCCTAAACCCTAAACCCTAATTGAGTTTAGCCTCAGGGCCTAAAGCGCAGACCTTATTTTGTTTGTCAGTCCTTCCGCTGCGTTGGTAGAGCCAATTCCCAGTGTTCAGGGTTCAGGGTTTAGGGTTTAGGGTTTAGGGTTTAGGGTTTGTGGTGTGTTCAGAGTGCGTATATCAATCCATTCTGCATCGCCTGGGCCGACTACCAGTGGTGCGTCTGCAAGTGCCTCTCAAAGTAGAAGCAGCCCTCTGTGCTGCGCTGCAGCAGCAGCAGCAGCAGCAGCAGCAACTACTGCAGCAGCAGCCACAGCAACAGTTGCAGCCGCAGCTGCAGCAGGACCTGCATCAGCAGCAGCAGGAAGCGCGTGCGCTGAGCTCGATGCTGCTGCAGCGGCGCGCGTTGCTAGCAGATTACTTTGGGTTAGTGCTGCAAAGAGACAGGTCTCTCTCTAATGGAGACAGCTGTCTCCTCGGCCTGCCTTTGTGCTGCGGCCGCCACCTGCCTTCTCCTTCTCGCCTGCGGCACTTGCTGCTTCAGCTGGCTACCGAGGTCTGCTGTTGCTGCTGTTGCTGTTGTTGCTGTTGTTGCTGCTGTTCTTGCTGCTGCTGCTGCTTTAGCTGCAATCATCTCGTGGAGCTTGCTGCACCCCAGTGGTGCTGCAGCACCACTGGGGCGCCCTCTGGTTAGCTATTCCACCTTTGCTGCTGTTGCTGCTGCTGCAGCTGCTGCCACTATTGCTGCTGCTACTGTTGCTGCTGCTGCTGCTGCTGCAGGTAAACTGGAATGAGGAGTCTGCGTGCCTGCAAGGCATCGCTCGTTTGCTAGCGGACGCATACACCGCAGTTGAGGACAGGGATGAAGCAGCAGCAGCTTCTGCAGCTTCTGTTGCTGTTGCTGCAGCCGCGGATACGGCGCAGCGGCAGCAGATGCAGCAAGAGAACAGCAGCAGTTCTCTTATGCTCCAGCAGAAGACATTGCTTCGTGAGGAAGCAGCAGCACACAAGTATGCTTGGCGAGGTGGCGTTGCTGCTGCTGCTGTTTTCTTGATGCTGCTGCTGCTTGGCCCCTATGTTCTCTCCTCTGCAGGCACCACTGCTGCTGCTACTGCTGCTGCTGCTGCTGTTGCTGCTGCGCAGGGGCTGTGGGGATTTGGAGCAGCAAATGGCTGCAAGCGCAGAGACACGACGAATGTTTAGCAGCGTGCTGATGCCTGCTCTTCGCTTCTACTGGAAAGCGCGTTTACCAAAACGGTATTTGCTGCCGCTGCTGCTGCTGCTGCTGCTGTCTCCTGTTACTGCTGCTGCTTCCTCCTGTAGCTGTTCCTGTTGCTGTTGCTGCAGGTGCTGCTGTTGGGGGGCTACTGCCGTTGTGTTGCTGCTGCTCTAGTGTTGCTGCACCTGCTGCAGTTGCTGAAGCTATTTTCGTGGAGTTACTGCTGTTGCTGCAACTGCTGATATGGCTGCTGCTGCTGCTCTGGGGGCTACTGCTGTTGCTGCTTTTGAGGTGGTTTCTGGTATCTGCTGCTGCTACTGCTGCTTCAGTTGCTGTTATGGTTGCTGCTGTGCGTTTTCCCTATTGCTGTTGCTACAGTATGGCTTTGCTGCGTAGATTTTGCTGCGCTTATTAGTGCTTCGGCTTGTTGCCTGTTTGTGCGGACTTCGCTGCTGCTGCTGCTGCTGCTGCTATCTCCTGCTGCAGCTGTGCTGCGCCGCATGGATGCGTTGTTGCTTGTCTGCAGCTTCTTCTCTGACGGGACAGTGAAGGAGGTAACAAACCTTAAGGCGCTCTACAGAGTCTTTGAGCGGTGCTAAATACACCCTAATGCTGCTGTTGCTGCTGCTGCTGCTGCTGCTGCTGTGCTGGCGGCACTGCTGGCCTGTCGGGCCAGATGCTCAATTCGGATCACTGTATCGCAGCAGCAGCAGTAGCAGCAGAGGCAGCAGCAGCTGTTGCTTTTACCAACGGCTAGGCCGCCCACAGAAATGCAGCTTCTTGCTGCACTGGCGGCAGCAGCAGCAGCAGCTTCCGCTGCTGCTGCTGTGATTTGTTTAGACGGAGCTGCTGGTTCTGTCCAAGGGCCGTCAAGGAACACCGACGGCAACAGCTTCTGCTGCTTGCTGCTGCAATGCTGAGGCAGCAGCATGTGCTGTCCGTACACCTGAATATTAGACTTCGCCAATGGCATGCAACAATTTGGTCTCTGCTGTTGCTGCTGCTGCTGCAGCGGTAGCAAGTCGCGGCTCTACATTTGAATAGGCAGCGACACTGTTGATATGCGACAAGAATAGCAGCAGCAGTAGCTGATGCGCTCTGTCGCTGTGCGCAAAGCAGCTGCAGCAGCAGGTTGCTGCCGCGCTGCTGCGCTGCAGCAGGTGTCTCTTCTGTATATTACCTGGAACCAAACAGCAAATCCCTCTTTTTCAGATCAGAGAAGCTGTCCCCTGCATGCTGCCGCTTCCGCTTTAGCAGCAGCAGCAACTTGTGGCTTATTACACGGCCTGTCGCCTGCACCAGCAGCAGCAGCAGCAGCAGCAATTACAGCGGATAGAACAGTAGTCGCAGCAGCAGGCCCTACCGTGCAATGGCAGGAAGGGTTTAGGGTCTAGGGTTTAGGGGCTGCTATGGTTGGGGCTTAACTAGGGTTTAGACATAGCTGCCGGGGTTTAGAGCTAGCTAGGGTTTAGGGCTAGTTAGGGTTTATAGCTAGCTAATGTTTAGAGAAGCCTACGGTTTAGGATTAACTAGGGTTTAAGGCTAGCCAGGGTAAATGCTAGCTAGGGTTTAGGGCTTGTTAGGGTTTATTGTTAGCTAGGGTTTAGGGTTGGCTAAGTTTTAAGGTTCGCTAGGGTTTACTGTTAGCTAGGTTTAGGGTTAGCTAGGGTTTAGGGTTGGCTAGGGTTTATGACTAGCCAGGGTTTAGGCTTTTCTAGGGTTTAGGGTTTTGGCTAGGGTTTAGGGTTTGTATGCGGACTTGTTTTCCTAGGAACCAGATGTATTTGTCGATGAGGGTTTTGAAGGGCTTTAATTTGTGCTGCATTTCGAAGGCGCGCAGCTCCACCAAAACATTATCCAACCGAATTGCCCCTGAAACCCTCACAAACACAAACCCTAAACCCTAAACCCTAAACCCTCGACAAACACCAAACCCTAAACCCTCATCAAACAAAAAGCCCTAAACCCTAGACAAACAACAAACCCTAAACCCTAAACTAATCCTAAACGGTAATCCCCAAACCCTCAATAGAAAACCAGAAACAAACCCTAAACCCTCAACAAGCAAAACTGCCTAAACCCTAAAGCCTAAACCCTAAACCAACTGATAAATCAAAGGAATGCCACTTCAGCTGCATCACAAACCTCTGTATGTAACAGCAGCAGCAAAAGGAGACACTCGGACGAAGCGAAAGTACACCCCAAGGCCGGGATCCTGCTGCTGCTGCATCTGCTGCTGCGGCGGCTGTGGCAGCGGCAGCGGCTGCTGCTGCTGCTGTGTCCTCGAGGGCTGCCACCGCGCAGCTTCTGCTGCTGGTGCAGCTGCTGCTGATGCTTTTTGCCCCCCTCCTTGAACCGAAAAGCTGCTGCTCCTGGAGCCAGTCCCTGAGACCGCATGCACCGCATCACAGCAGCAACAGCTCCAGCAGCAGCAGCAGCAGCGTAAGCAACAGTAGCAAACGTAGGCAGCAAGCTACACGAGGTGTCCAGACACCGCAACAGCTCAGTTCTATAGAAGCAAAACCTACAAGAGAGATGCGACTGCTCTCCCCGTGCTGCGGCTGCTGCTGCTCCTTGGCCCCTTCGCAGCCCTGCAGCATCAACAGAGGCAGTACCAGCTGCTGCAGCGTCGGCTGGTGAAGTGAGTTCTCCTGAGCTTTGACTGCAGAGACTTCCTGCTGTTGCTGCTGCTGCAGCAGCAGCAGGAGGCCACTTGAATGAAGGCGCGAGGAGAGCCACTGCATCAACAGCTTGCGGTGCAGCAGGGGGAAAGAAGAAGCTGTATATACACTCCACGAATGCAGACGTCAGAGACACCCGAACGGGGTCTATGTGCAGCAGCAAATAGTCAAAGACCTGAACGCCCGCAGCAGCAGCAACAGCAGCAGAAGCAGCATGGGTAGTCGCCCCTGGCGAAAGCCAACCGCCCCAAAGGCAGCAGCAGCAACAGCAACAGCAGCAGAAACAGCAGCAACGAAAGCAGCATCAGCACAACAGCCAGCAAGAGCAGAAGCAGCAAACAACAACGCTCAGCAGCCGCACAAGCAGCACCAGCACAACGGCCAGCAGCAGCAGCAACAACAGCAGCAGCAAAAGCACCAGCAGCAGCAGCAGTACCTGAAAGCGGCCGCAATCGAGAACAACGAATCTGTGGCTGCAGCGGAGTGAGACTGCATGCGCAGACAGTCTATGAGTGAGACCTTCCTTTTGTCTCCATGCTTCTGCGCCCAGAGTGTCCTCAGTTCCTGCTGCTGTTGCTGCTGCTGCGTCCTGCTGCTGCTGCTGCTGCTGCTGTGTCTGCAACTCAAACAGAGGCGAAATAATGCGTACGGCCTTTACCCCAGCCGGCAGCACAATCCCCAAGAAGTAAGAGAGAGTGAAGGCGGGCTGTGACAGCTGGATGCGGCGTCTCTCCTGCTGCTGCTGCTCCTCCGCTTCCTGTTGCTGCTGCTGCTGCTGTTGTTCTTGCTCTTGTCTTTGTCGCTCGCGTCTCCGCTGCTCTTGCTGCAGACCACGCAGCAACTCCTGCTTTGCTGCTGCAGCGTTTCTTGCGGTCGTTGCGATAGGGAAGGACTCAAAGTCAACTGCTGCTTTGGGGTTCCACAGCTCTGCTGCTGCCGCTGTTGCTGCCTCTGCTGCTTCTGCTACTGCTGCTGCTGCAGAGCTCCTCTGGGGGGCTGGATGCGAGACTGCTGCTGCTGCTCCTGCTGCTGCTGATGCTGCTGCTGCAGGCTCCTCATCTGCTGCAGCGGACGCGCTCTCGGCAGCAAACTGCTCGCGCAGCTTGAGAAGCAGCGAGGGCTCCTCTTCGGCAATGGTGTCGGCAGCGTCTGCTGCTGCTGCTGCTGCTGCCTCTGCTGCTTCTGCTGCCTCTGCTGCATCTGCTGCTGCCGCTTCTGCTGCAGCTGCTGCATCTGTTTCTGCGTCCTGAAGCTTCGACTCGCCGCTGCTGCTGCTGCTGCTGCTGCTGCTGCTGCTAGAACACAGCAGCGTGTGCTCGTCATCAGAGTAGGCCGCTAAGTTGCCTAGACCCCCGGATACTTCCTCCTCGCTGCTGCTGCTGCTGCTGCTGCTGCTGAGGAATTTGCTTTTCGTGCTTTCTCCGAACAATGGCCACTTTGCGGCGGAAGAATCTTCAGCAGCAGCAGCAGCTCCTGCTGCTGCTTCACGGGACTCTGCCGCTTCTGCCTCTGCTGCTGTGTGCCCCTCACAGGAATCAGCAAGTGCTGCAGCATGCATGCGGCTGCCTACAGCAGAAGCCCTGTGTCCTGTAGCAGCTGCTGTTGCATGAACGACAAGGCGATGCAGCTGCGCGGCTGGAGCAGCAGCAGCAGCAGCAGCACGCTGCTTCATTGCTGGCAGCAGCTGCTGTAGCTTCGCACGAACTCTGCCGGGAGCCTTCGCTACTGGGGCAGGGCGTAATGCTGCTGCTGAATGCAGGTCGCCTGCTGCTGTTGCTGCTGCAGTTGCTGTTGCTCCGGCTTCTGCTGCTGTCCCTAGGGCCTCTTCAGAACAAGAAGAAGCACAAGTTGGATGGCCCCCTGAGCCTGCAGCAGCAGCAACAGGCTCCGGAGCAGTAGTAGCAGCAGCAGCAGCTGCTGCTGCTGCTGCTGCTTCCGCTGCAGCCACTTTCCGGTGCAGCTTGTTTGACCAAGGGCCGAGCCGCCGCTGCTGTTGCTGGGGTTTTTGCAGCTGCGGCATGTCGCTGCCCGTGCCAGCAGCAGCAACACCAGTAGCAGCAGCAGCAGCAGCAGCTGCTGCTGCTGCTGCTTTGGGACAGAGATCTAAGACCCTCCAGTCTGCTAAATCCACTTCTAGCTGCAGGTTCCTCTCGTCCTGCAGCAGCAGCTGCAGGCTGCATGCAGCATCGCTGCAGCAAATGCAGCAGAAGGGGAGGTTGGTGACGCTGCTTAGCAACGAGCAGCAAACCTGCAAACAGCAAAAGTAACAGCAGCAGACGAAGAAGCAGCAGATGCAGCAGCAGCTGACGCAGCAGCAGCTGACGCGGCAACAGCAGTAGCAGCAGCAGCTGGTGATGCAGCAGCAGCAGATGCAGCAGCAGCTGATGCAGCAGCAGCATCAGATGCAGTAGCAGCTGCCGCAGCATCATCAGCGGCAGCAGATGCAGTAGCGTCTAACGCAGCAGCAGCAGATTCAGCAGCAGCAGATGCAGGAGCGCCGCAGCAAATGCAGCACTAGCACCGCAAAGGGCTGTTTGTTGTGGCAACTAGTTTAAACCGCAGCGAGGGTTTAGAGCGGCATTACAAGGGTTTAGGGTTTTAGTTCGGGTTTAGGGTTTATTAGAGCTTAGGGTGTAGGGTTTAGGGTTCGCTGTGCGTTTACTTCTTCAATGAGGATTCCTATGGAAATTTGGCGGCGCTGCTGCTTGGCTGGGGTTTGCTGCTGCTGCTGCTCAGACAGTGCAGCAGCTGCTGCAGTTGGTCCTGTCTGCTGCAGCTGCTGCAGTCGCGGCATCGCGGTGCCTGGCAGCTGCGAGGGGCCCATATCTGCTGCTGCTTCTTCCTCTAAGAATGCATGCAGCAGCTTCCGTGCAGCAGAGGGACGCAGACGCCTATGCTGCTGCTGCTGGTGATGCTGCTGGTGCTGCTGCTGCAGGTGATGCTGGTGCTGCTGCTGCTGCTGCTGATGCCCGTGGGGCTGTGGTGCTCCTGACGTATTCGCGTTGTCTGGAGCTGCTGCTTTTGCTGCTGCTGCTGCTTCTGTTGTATTCTCGTCTACCCTGCTGCTTCCTTCAGACATATCTTCTGTTGCCTGCTGCTGCTGTTTGTCTGCAGCATGCGGATGCGGAGCAGCAGCAGCAGGGGGTGGAGTTGGATACGCCGCTCCTGCAGGAGCAGCAGCAGCAGGTGCTGCTGCTGCGGGCCTTGTCCTGCTGATGTTGCAGGCCAGCAGCATGCGGTGCAGCAGTTGCTGCATCATCGCGAAGCTCTCAGCATGAGCAGCAAAGAGACAATTGCCGCACAGCAACTTGCAGCTGCAGCCGAGTTGAGGGAGAGACAGCGAAAGTAGACAGCAGACTTCCTTAATACACAGCACAGGCCGCAGCAGCTGCGGCACTGCAGCAGAGCTGGGGCTGCTGCTGCTGTTGCTGCCGTTCTTTGCCTCCCCCCATACGCCTTTTGCATGCGGGTCTTGCTGCTGCGCTCCAGGCTGCTGCGCGGCCGAGTCGGCGGGCAGCTGGCTGCTGTTGCATTTGCTGCTGCTGCTGCTGTTCTGCCCTGGGTTGGCACGACCCCCTGCTGCTGCAACAGGTGTTGAAGGGGCTGAGGCTGCTCCTGCTGCTGCAGCAAACGGTGAGGGGTGCTCGCTCTCGCTGCTGGTAAAGCACAAGGACGCGTGCTGCTCTGCGAGGAAGTAGCGTGTGGGGCTTCTGCTGCTGCTGGAAAGCCCCAATCCCCTGCTGCTACGCTGCCGTGACGGATTAGCAGCAGCAGCAGCAGCAGATGCAGCAGCAGCTAGCGGCAGATGCCACAGCAACCCCGCCACGTGAAGAGCGCCTACGGAGCCGCACACGGGCCCCACACGACATACCAGATCTACCAGCAGCAAGTGCTGCTGCAGTTGCTGCTGCTGCGCTTGCTGCTGCATTTGCTGCTCTTGCTGCTGCTGTCTTCGCCCCGCTGCAGGAACAGCAGCTGCGGCCTCCGCAGCAACCTCCAGCCTGGCCTTGGCAACGGCAAGGGGAGTAGAGAAGACAAACTGAGCTGTCTGTACAGCCGAGAGAGCAGAGCGGAGGTCGCTGCTGCTGTGGCTGCTGTATGTTTGTTGAATCAGCTCTATGGGGGAACAGAGGGCAGGGTCTTGGTCGGGAAGAGGCAGCAGCAGCAGCGACGGCAGCACAGCAGGATGTGCTGCTGCTGCTGCTGCTGCTTTCGCTGCTACTGTGGACCTCCCCTCTGCCCCTTCTGCTGCAACACCGCGGCAGCAGCAGCCGCAAACACCGCGCAGCTGTGAGGAAAGCTTAGATGTAGAGTGGCCCTTAACGAAATCCGGGTGCGCCAGGTGGGGCTTGCTGCTGCTGCTGCTGCTGCTGCTCTTGCTGCTGGTGAGTTTTGGGCGATGGCTGCGGGGTCTCTGGGCTGCTGCTGCTGCTTCTGCTGCTGCTGTCCAGGCAGCAAGTCGTGCTGCAGCTGCTGCAGCGCAAGGCTGCTTGCCGGGGCAGCTGCGGTCACCCTCCAGGCTTTCTGCTGTGTCAGCATCGGCCCCTGCTGCTGCTGCTGCTGCGGCTGCTGCTGTAGCTGCTGCTGCTGCTGCTATCCTGTTGTTGTCAGCCCACATCCCCTCTACCACCTGCGAGTGCTGCTGCAGCAGCGGCAACGGATTAACAGCCATTGCTGCTGAGACTTGGCAGCACTTCCCTTCTGCGGTGCAGCCGTCTCCCGTTTCCCCGTAGAGTACGTCTGCTGCTGCTGCTGCTGCAGGTGCTGCGCGGCTGCTGTTGTTGTTGCTGCTGCGGTTGCGGCTGCTAAACGCAGCGACCTCCTGCACCAGCTGCTGCTGCTGGCTGCGCTGCAGCTCAATGTAGTTTAGGCTTACTTGGGGGTATATACACCTGAGCGTCAAATCCATTGCTCCATAGGACATCTGCCGCTGCTGCTTCTGCTGCTGCTGCCGTTTGCGACGGCGAGCGCTCCGCTGCTGCTGTTGCGGGTGCTGCTGCTGCTGCGCGTTCTTCGGTGGCAGCAGCACGTGTAAGTACGGCTCCAGCTGCTGCCGTGCTGCATCCGCGACATCTATAGACCTGATAATAAGAGCGAGGCTTGTGGGGGACAGCAGCAGCACGGGGCAGTGCAGTAGCATGCAAGCCGATTGGGAAGGATCAGTCTGCTGCTGCTCCTCCTCCTCTTCCTCCTGCTGCTGCTGCGGCAGCTTCTGCCGCTCTATACGGACACCCGGAATGCGCAGCACGGGCAGCAAATGGGGAGACGGTGTTGGGAGATAGAGAGGCAGCGTGAGCCCCCATAGACGAGAAACAGCAGCAGCAAACTGCTGCTGCTGTTGCTGCAGTTGTTCCTCTGCTTGCCGCTGCTGTGCGTGTAGAACCCTGCCAGCGCCAGCCCGCTGTCTGCGGCTGCCGTTGGTGCTGCTGCTCCTGCTGCTGCGGCGGCTGAAGTGCAAGTCGTCACACTCGAAGCTGAGCAGCAGATGCCGCAGCAGCACGACGCTCTGTCTCAGCTGGTTTATCTTGATGTCCTCCAGAACATCAGCACATGTGGAGAGGCGGGTCCCTTCTGCTGCTGCTGCCGCTGCTGCTGCTGCCGCTTCTGCTGCTGCCGCTTGTGCTGCTGCTGCTGCTGCTGCTTCGGATGCCTCAGGCTTCGTTGCCTCCGAGGAGGACGGGGCTGAGTCTGAAGAGCAGTAACAGGCGTCGCTGATGCTAATGTTGCTGCCGCTCTTGCTGCTGCTTAAGTTGCTGCTGCTGCGCCATTCCTCCCGCAGCAAGCCGCTCCCACTACCTTCTCCCGACCAAGTATGCAGCCCTTCAAACCACAAACCCTGCTGCTGCAGCTGCAAAGACACCTCGCGCCCCAGCCTCTGCTGTTCCTGCTGCTGCTGCTGCTGCAGCTGCAGTTTCTGCTGCTGCCGATGCTGCCCGCCTGTTCGGTTTTCCCACGATACGCTTTTCCAGAGGTCTCCCTGCAGCAGCAACTTCCGCTGCTGATGCTGCTGCCGCTGCCTAGGTGAGCGCGTCTTCGTGCTGTTGCTGCCTGCTGCAGCCTCCAACTCGCTGCCGCTGCTGCTGCTGTCTGTCACGCCTACCCACTCGGAGAAAGTTTTGCTGCGGAGGCTAGCAAAGCCTTTGCGTAGCAGCTTTACTGGGCCACCGGTCCTGTGCTGCTGCTGCTGCTGCAGCAGCATTTTACCTTCTAAACTCCCGCTACCTTGCCGCGAATACTGTCGGAGTAGACTGTCCGTGGCATCGGCTGCAGCTGGGGCTGCACCGACGGCAGCAGCAGCAGCAGCGTCGGCTGCTGCTGCTGCTTGTGTTGCTGCATTGAACTCCCTGCTGCGGCCGCGTCCATAGGCGTACCCCCTGTAGCTGCTGCTGCTCTCTGGATCCACGGCCCGGTGTCGCCGCAGCAGCAGCATGTCATGCAGCTCAGCAGCAGCAAGACTGCAGCGAGCAAAGGCAAAGCGGAAGTGCAAGTCTCGTGTTGCAGCTCGTAGCTTGACGAGGATATCTGCTTGCTGCCGAAGCTCCCTGTACACCGCAACCAACCAGCTGCTTCCTTCCTGCTGCTGCTCCGGTTCATCTTGCTGCTCCAGCTCCTCTTGATGCTGCTCCTCCGGGGGCGCGCTGCTGCAGTAGTCAGGCCAAGGCCCGCTGCAGTTGCTACCGAAGAGCAGCTGCAGCAGCAGCATAACGTGTTCTGGAGTTACATTGAGTGACAGTTGCTGCTGCTGCAGCTGCTGCTGCGCGTGGTGTCTCCCCCAAATGTGTACAGGGCTACGCCTCTGGTCTCTCGTGTGGTGTTCCTGTTGCTGCTGCTGCTGCTGCTTGTCTTCATCTATGCCCCTAACGAACAGCTGCGCTTCGACCTTCAGCTGTTGCTGCTGCTCCTCCTCTTGTTGCTGCTCCTGCTGCTCCTCCTGCTGCTCCTCCTGCTGGAAAAAGACGCTTGCGCGTGCGAACACTTGCCCCAACTGCAGCAGTGGCGGACACGAAACATCAGCAGCAGCAGCAGCAGGTATCTCTGCTGCTGCCTGCTCGTTGACCAGGCAACAAAGACCGCGCCTCAGCTGTAGCAAGACGTCTGCCGACAGCAGCTGCGGAAGCAAAAAGCTGCTGCATGCTGCTGCTGTTTCTGCTGCTGCTCCTCCTCCTATTTCTGCTCCTGCTGCTGTCGCTCCTGCTGCTTCCGGAATTTCGCTGCTGAACGCGCGATGCATTGCTGTCTGCTGGACACGCGCACTTGCTGCTGTCGTTGCTGCTGCTGCTGCTGCTACTGCCGCGTGGTACCTGACAGCTGCGCCCAAGTGCAGCGCCGGCAGCAGCAGCCGCAGCAGCAAAAGGCCTTCCAGTGCGAACTGCAGCTGCAAGTCTTGCAGCAAAATAACCTCAAGTTGCAGCTGGGTCTTCTGCTGTTCCTTTTGCTGCTGTTGCATGGCGCTGTCTGTCTGGCTGGTGATACCGGGTGGGATGCTGCTGCTGCTGGTGCTGCTGTAGCAGCTGTCTCGATAGCTGACGCATGCGGTGTGCTCTTCATGGATAGCCGCAGCAGCAGCAGCAAACGCCACGGCCTCACTCGGTCCAAAGACTTTGTGAGTCCATGCTGCTGCTGCCGCTGCTGCTGCAGCTGCTGCTGCTGCGCTTTGCGTAAATCGTACAGTAACGTTCTGTGGCTGTAACAACAGCCGGCGCACATCTTCCGCTTCCCCGTCTACAGTGTTGCTGCTGCTGCCGTTGCTGCTGCTGCTGCTGCTGCTGCTGCTGTTGCTGCTGCTGTTGCCTGAGGGGCATGGCAAGGACTTTGCTGAAGTCAGCTTAAGGGAAGCAAACTGTACATCCACTTGGTCGGAAGACAGAAGCAGCACGGGAGACTGCGCTGCTCCTGTAGCAGCAACAGCAGCACCAGCAGCAGCGGACCTGTCCGCACACCCGAATAACTCTGGATTGGTCTTGCGGAGTCGCGTCAGGTGCTGCCGCACCAGCCGCTGGTCTTGCAGCAGAAGCCTTCGCTGCTGGTGCTGCAGTCGCTGCTGAAGTTCGTCTCCAAACAGCAGCAGCTCCAGAGACTGCACGCGCAGCTGCAAGGTACGATAGGTGCTATGAGGAGGCGGCAGCACCAGGACTGCTGCTGTTGTTGCTGCTGCTGCTGCTCTTAGGAAGTCATCAACGCAAGCTGCTACTCTATCCACCTTGATTGCTGCAACTGGGGTGAATGTACACCATGTGCTGCTGCCGCCGCTACCGACGCCCGTCTGTTGCTGCTGCGAAAGGCGCCGGAGGAGGGCGCGCTGTAGCGCGTGCCTCCGTTGTTGTTGCTGTTGCTGCTGCTGGTACTGCTGCCCCCGCTGCTGCTGAAACCGCTGCAGCGGATTGCCGCAGCGGCCCACAGCCACCCAAGAAGTCATGTCTACTGCAGCACGCCGATGCTGCAGCTTCTGCCGCAGCAGCTGCACCACTTCAGGTGTACGTACAGCTGGCACAGCAGCACGCACAGCAGGGTCCGCAAACGGACAGAGAGCAGGCTGAAGCGGAAGCGGAAGGGTTTCGTCCTCGTCTTGCTCGTGCTGCTGCTCCTCTTGCTGCTCTGGCTGCGGCTGCTGCTGCTGCTGCTGCCTTCCGCTGACGTCCCTCAAGTTGCTGCTGCAAGTTGTCAAGGAGCTCCGTGTACACCTGGTTACCTCAGCTGTCATTTGCCTTCTTAGACCAAGAAGAGGCAGCTCTTTAATGCTCTCCCTGCCGCTGCTGCTGCTGCTGCTGCTGCTTCTGCTGCGGCGGCGGAGGCTGCAGTTGCTGCTGCCGTCCACGTCAGTAGTAACTGGTGTCTCCGCAGACATCCCAACAACTGAACGATCGCGATGCCTTATGCGGCGGCTGTCTCCGCTGTCCCTGCTGCTGCTGCGTCCCCTGCCGCAGTGGTTGCTGCTTTTGCTGCTGTTGCTGCTGCTGCTGCTGTGGTTGCTCCGGCTGCTGCGGCTCCAGGCTGCGTCTCTGTCCCAACAGGATGCTGAAGAAGCAGCAGCAACAGGCTGCAGCAAGCCACCGCGTGCAGCGTCTCGTCCGTAGGCAGCAGTGGTCGCTGTTGTTGCTGCTGCTGCTGCTGACCTCCGTAAACAGGCCACGTACACTTGGGAGAAGCAAACGTACATCGGAGTGACATGCACTGCTGCAGTGCCGCCTCTGGAAGCAGCAGCAGCAGCAGCAGCAGCAACAGGGGAAAGGAGCTCGTGGGGTTCGTAGCTGCAGCGGACAAGACGACCGCCAGCAAGGGAAGCTGTCTTGTGGCGCTGCAGCTGCTGCTGATACGCCACTGCTGCTGCTGCAACCTGCCGGACAAGGGGCCCCACTGCATGCGCTGCATCAGCTGCTGCTTCAGCAAGACATGCAAAGTCAAGGGTCTCTGCATACAGCACAGTCGCCCCCTCAACAGACGTACACACCCACTGCTGAGCGTCGCTATACAGCGGCTGCTGCTGCTGCTGTTGCTGTTCGTGCTGCTGCTGTTGGTGCTGCTGCTGGCTGACGTCCCCTAGCTCCCAATGCCTGCGGTGTACTGACACCCGAATGGTATCGCCTCTAAAGAGAGGGGGCATCGACTCCCTGTGCTGCCGCAGCCCCTGGTCCTGCTGGGCCGACTCTTGCTGCTGCTGCTGCTGCTGCTGCTGCTGGAAGTCCCTGGCTAGGTAGTGGACTCGGGGAGATTTCACCAAAATATCAACATGAGGGAAGAAAGTCTCTTCGGTCTGCTTCCCTTTGCTGCTGCAGTCCTCGCTGTCATGCGGTTGCTGCTGCTCCCTCTGCTGCACCTGCTGCTGCTGCTGCTGCTGCCTGCGCGAGCCTGCCGATTCTGCTGTTATTTCTGCCAGCTGTCGCAGGTGCGCCGCTTGCAGCTGCTGCATACGCTCGATTTCCTGCTGCACTAGCAGGCGTAGCACCGAGGGGGTTTGCTGTAGAGCGACGGGGTGTATGTTCACTGTTACTTCTTCTGCCTCAACAGCAAAACGGCGAGCAACAGAGACAGAGACACCACCCACCTGAATCTGCAGCACGGGCTCCGGGCCCCCCACCAAACGGTCGTCCTGCAGCAGCAATCGAACACCACACACAATGCATGCACTGTTGCTGCAGTTCATGCTGTTACCGTTGCTGCTGCTGCTGCTGCTGCCGCCAGCGCGTGGCATACAACAGGCTTGACGCAGCGCAGCTGATGATCGCCCGCTGGTAGCGGGCTGCAGCAGAAAGCCTCATCCAGCAGCAAGTGCTGCAGCAGCGAGATCTTCAGCAGGATCCGCAGCAGCAGAGGCAGCAGCAGCAACACAAGTAGCAGCAGCAGTGGTCGCAGCAAAGGAAGCAGCAGGAGTTTTATTCTTACCAGTTTGAGAGCTGTAAGGGAAGGCTGCAGCAGGTCATGCTGCACCGCCTCTACAAGAGCAAAGAGCGGCAGCAGCAGCTGCTGCTGCAGCGCGAAGCTGCTGGCTCGCTGCACTGACACCTTCACAGACCGCCCGCTCTGGGGTACCCAAATGCACAAATCCGACAGAATTGTCTCTCCAGTCTCTCTGCATGCATGCAGCTCGCACTCCTGCAGCTGTCCCTGCAGCTGTTGCTGCTGCTGCTCCCGCTGCTGTTGCTGTTCCTGCTGCTCTTCCTGCTGCTCCTCCTGCTGCCCGTGAATCGGCGAGTGAACTTGAAGGTGCAAAGAACGAAAACACGACAGTGCAGAGCAGGGGCTCAGCTCCTCCATGCCAGTGCCGCTGCTGCTGTTGCTGCTGCTGTTGCTGCTGCTGTTGCTGCTGCTGCTATGAACGTACATGGATTGCACGTGTACTGGCAGGGCAGCGATGACAGCTCCGCCAGCGAGAGAGGAGTTGTGAATATGCATTGTAGGGACGAGCAGCCGCAGAAGTGCTTGCTGCTGCTTCTGCTGCTGCTGCTTGCCTTCGAGCTGCTGTGGTTCTGATTGCAGTTGCTGTCCCTGCTGCTGCTGCTGTTCCTGCTGCTGTTCCTGTTCCCGTTCCTGCTGTTCCTGTTCCTGCGTCTGCTGCTGTTCCTGCTGCTGCTGCTGTTCCTGGTGCTGCAGGTGCAGCGCAGCAGCAGGGGAGTAGACAGCAAAGTTGCGTGCAAGTAAATGAAAAGACTCTGGAGTGAGGCCTTCAACGCAGGTAAGGTCCTTCACAGCAGCAGCAAAGGCGCGGAGGCTCGGGCGCCACTCGAACCCAGAGAAAAAGGGACAGCTAGAGGCCAAAAAAGGCAGGTCTGCTGCTGCTGTTGCTGCTGCTGCTGCTGCTGCGGCTGCTGCAGCTCCGCTCGCTCCTCCCCATCCTGCGTGGACTCCCCAGCCGCCCGCCGCTGCATCCGCTGCTTCTCCTCCTCCTTCTCCTCTCTCTGCTGCTCCGCCTGATGCAGCGGAAGCAAGCCCCGCTCCAGCGGTCCCGATGGGCGACTCACTAAACATGTCTCCGCTGCTGCTGCTGCTGCTGCTGGTGCCAGCAGCAGCAGCAGCAGCAGCACCCAGCTGCAGCATCTTCGCGCGGTCTTTCCAGTGTCTGTACACTCCACGGAGATGCAGCAGCAGCATCACCCAGAACAAAAGGCCTTCTTCTCGCCAGTGGAGCCAGCCCCCCGGCAGCACGATCCTAACGTGCTGCTGATACAGAGGCCGCAGCTGCACCTGTCCGTACACCCCTATTCTTGTCACCTCGCTCAAAGGCTTTATCTCCACGCTGCTGCTGCTGCAGCTCACCAGCAGCACCCCACACCACCCAGTCAAAGCCCATGCGCTCGGGATCCAACGATCCCCCAAGCATTCGTCATCACTGAGCAGCCACACGCAGCCGCTGCTGCTCCTGCTGTTGCCGCTGCTGCTGTAAGCTTGCTTTAGGCGCACCAGTTCACCCGCGCCAACGAAGAAAGATACAGCTGCAGCTGCTGCATTCGTGGAGACTGTTGCTGCTGCTTTTGCATGCGCCTTATTTGCTGTTATTCTTGCTGATGCAGGTGAGGGTGCTGCTGCTCCCGGTGTCAGGGTTGCAGCTGCTGCAACTGCTGCAACTGCTGCTGCTGCTGCCTCAGGAGCCTGGACCGGGACATTTGTTGCGATGTCGCGTGCAATGGTTTGTGAGGGGCCCGGACAAGAGAGTGAGTGAAGGGCTGCAGCTGCCTCTGCGGCTGCTGCCGTCCTGCGCGCTGCTGTTGCTGCTGCTTCACCTGATGTGTTCGTTGCTGCAGTTGCAGCAGCAGGAGCAGCAGCAGAGGTGTTGTTGCAGGAGGGGACGTTAGCAGTGGAGAGCCTGCAGATGCCCGTAGAAACGGCAAAGCGTATTATTTTGCTGTTGCTGTTATTGCTGCTGCTGTTGCTGCTGCTGCTTGCGCCGCCACTACCGTTTTCTTTGTTCATGGCTGCTGCAGCCCCCAAGCAAGATAATGGCGGCATGCAGTCCCGTTGCTGCTCTTCCGCAAGGCGCTGCTGCAGCTGCTGCAGTTGCTGCAGCTGCTGCTGGAAGCCGCCGCTAGTTGTCTTGAGCTTCTGCTGCTGCCGGCGTACTAATGTCTCTAGCTGCAGCAGCACTCCGTCGGCGTGCAGCAGCAAAGCGCTGCTGCTGCTGCGCTCGAGTACGTGCACCAGCAAACGCGGCACCGATACCAGAACAGGCAGCGTGTGCTGCTGCATGTTGCTGTCGGTGCGGCTGCTGCTGCTGCTGCTAGTGCTGCTGCTCCTCCTGCGCGCAACTACCGGGCTTCTGGGTGTTTGAGTGTCTCCAGTTTCCTTACTGTCCAAGGAGTCTCCTCCCTGAGGGCTGCTGTTGCTGCTACTGCTGTTGCTGCTGCTGTTGCTGCTGTTGTTGCTGCTGCTGTTGTTGTTGTTGCTGCTGCTGCTGATGCCGCTCCTACACCTCCAATACGCCTCAATAACCCTGGCAAGGAGATTGGACAGGAGGTTGACGGCAACAGTCCCACTGGTGTGAACATACACCGCGCGCGCAGTGCATGTGCTGCTGCTGTTACTGCTGCTCAAGCCAGAGTCAAACAGCACAGTAACTGCTGCTGCTTCTTCGGTGTGCAGCACAGGCGGCAGCAGTAGCGCAGCAGGTGGCAGCTGCTCAGGCAGCAGAAGAGCGCCCCGTGCCCGGCAGGCAGCCTCGATGGGCGAGAGCCACCTCTTTGCTGCTGCTGCTGCTGCTCCTGTTCCTGTTGCTGCAGCTGCTGATGCAGCTGCTGCAGCACCGGGAGCAACGGGAGCAGCAGTTGCTTCTCGGAGCCCTGAAGCAGTTACGGTGTCAAGACAGTACAGAGACATCAAATGAGACAAATACGTGGGAGCAGAGACAGATGCGTCTTGCCTGTCTGCTTCCACGGCTCCGCGCCACCACCACCTTCTCGCCGGTGGGAAGCTGCTGCTGCTGCTGCTGCTGCTGCTCTGGGAAGCTGCCGGCGAATCAGGAGCATTCACGGGCACATGCACAGGAGCCGCTATGTCCTGGCAGCTGCTGCTGCTGCAGCTTGCTGCTTCCCTTTGCACGTCCTGGAGAGTCGGCGGCCGTTTGTGCTGCAGCCACCCGGCTGCTGCTGTTGCTGCTGCAGCGCCGGCTGCGGGACGGCTGTCGCTTGTGTGTGCTGCTGCTGCAAATTTTGCTGAGCTGCGAGCAGCAGCAACAGCAGCGGTTATCAGGTCAGATGGCAGCACGGACAGACAGCCTGCTGCATCCACAAAGCAGCGGCAGCAAATGCCTTTTGGTGCTGCTGCATGCAACCGCAACGACGCAAATGCTGCCGACGGCAGCAGCAGCAGCTCATTGGCCGTCAGCAACACCCCCACGCTGCTGAACTCGCTCTGCTGCTGGCTGCTCTGTTGTTGCTCCCGTGATCGCTGCTGCTGCTGCTGCTTCTCCGCTGAGCGCTGCAGCTGCTGCTGCAGCTGCTTCTGTTGCTGCTGCTGCGGCGGCGGCGGTGGTGGCAGCACTATTAACCCCAGCAACTCAATACAACCTGCCCTAAATGCGCAGGTTCTAGCCACTGCATGCAGCAGGCAGAGCCGCAGCACGAACTGCAGCAAACTGGGGCTTGGTGGTGATACTGCTGCTGCTGCTGCTGCTGATGAAGTGGGTGCTATCTGGGAGTCTTGCGCTCCCAACATCCCGGCCGATCCTGCTGCATTTCCTTTGCTGCCGCTGCTGCTGCTGCTGTTGTTCTGCAGACGGCAGGTGACCGATACTCGCCCTGCGCTGAGCAGCACACGGCTGCTGAGGGGCCGTTTGCTGCTGCAGCGACTCTGCTGCAGCGCCTGACGTATCAGCAGAAAGCAGCCAAAGAGGAAGGAGAAAGGCGCCAGGATCTCCCGTAGGAGTCTGCCGTTGCCGCTGCTGCTGCTGCTGCTGCTGCTGCAACTGCTCCCGCTCGTGATGCTGTTCCTATCAGCGCTGCTGTTGTCGGAGCTGTTGCTGCAGCAGCTGCTGCTTCCTGCTGCTTTAGGGTCTGCTAATCCTGGTCGTGCCTCCCCGTTGCACTCGGCGGCGTTGTCACTGCTGCTGCTGCTGCTGCTGCAGGGGCTGGGTGTCTCTTCTCCCTCCTTATGGCTGAGTGAGAGGCGCAGACTTGAAACCACAAGACGGGTCTCGCTTCTTCTGTGGGTGATGCAGCTGCTGCACTTCCCTATCTTCTTTCTGCTGCTGCTGCTGCAGCAGGAGACGCAGTGTTCTGTCACCTCCTCCTCAAGCAAAATGACGGCACTCTTCAAACTCAGAAAGCCACTGTGCTGCAGCGACTCGCAAGTCAAGTACAGACACCTTGTGCTGCTGCTGGTATTGTTGCTGCTGCTGCTATTCGTCGCAGCAGGAGGTGCGCCGGTTGCTGCTGCTGCCTCTGCCGCTTCTGCTGCTAACGGCAATCCCAGCCCATGCTCTACCTCTTCCGATGGAACAGCAGCAGGCAGAATCCGCTCTTCTGCTGCATTGGTGTGGCTCCTACTGCTGTTGCTGCTGCTGCTACAGGCGTTTCCGCTACTGCCTGTGTTGGTGCTGCTGCTCTTGTGGACCCTCTTAATAAGTACCCGTCTAAGCAGACGAGGAAGCAGGAAGGAGAGGATTGGGGGCAGCAGCAAACCAGCCAGCAAGAAGAACGCCAGAGACAGCAACGGCGGCACTAGAAGGTGCAGCAGCAGTTGCTGCTGCATGGTGCTGGCCGCCATTGCAGCACCAGGGATGCGTGTTTGGGCTGTACGTGGCGCTGCTGCTGCTGGATTCAGCCTGATCCCTTCGAGAAGCTCTACTGCCGCTGCTGATCAGCAGCAGCTGCTGCTGCAGCTCTCTGTGCTGCAACCAGACCAGCAGCTGCTGCTGCTCCTCTTGCTGCTCATGCTGCCGCTGCGGCGGCCGAGAAAAGAGGGCACACCGAGAAGAGCTCCATGCCTTCTTTGTTAAGGCTCCTATTATGCAGCAGACACGATTGCAAATGGTTTGCTGCTGCTGCTGTTGCTGCTGCTGCTGCTAGCCCTGCGTGGCACCAGGGCAGAGCCCTGTGCCCTTCCTTCGGGGAATTCCTCTGCAACAGAGTTCAGCAGCTTGACTCGTTAAGAGTCGTTAAAGTAAAAAGATGTCTTCGCGCTGCATGCAGGGCAGCAGCAGCCGCAGCAGCGACTGCTGCTGCTGCTGCTGCTGCTGCGGGATTCAGTAGCTGCCGCCCAGACGACAAAGCCGCAGCAACCGCTGCTGCCCTCACAGCACCCAGATTATATGTGCGGGTTAATTGACTTCCTCTTGTTTTTTTCAGCTCTATTAAGCCCCAGCAGCAGCAGCAGCAACAAGCCGTGAGCCCCCACCCCGATCCCCCGCTCCGGGAGACTGTCTCCTTTTTGAACTGCCTTCGAACGCAGTGCAACCCAATATATCTTCTAGTAGGTGGCAGAAGCAGGCCCACGACACCGGGGGGAAGGGATTATTCGGCGAAGGTATCTTCAGTTGCAAGGACAGCACCGACAGCCGCAGGAAAAGCAGCAGCAACACTAGCAGCAGCAGCAACAGCAACAGCAACAGCAGCAACGGGCTGTGGCAGCCAAAACTGACACACACAGAACCCTGCGCAGAACGCAACAGCTGGTGCCTCTACATGGCGCGTCCAGCACTCCTAGCTGCTGCGCAGTGCCCCTGTGTTGCTGGCTGCTCCCTTTTGCAGCGTCTGCTGCTTCCTGTGGCTGCCTCTCTTCCTTCCTGAGCTTCTCGATCTCTGCTGCAGCTGGTGGTGCTGCTGATCCTTCCCCCAACCTAGGCTCTGTTGGCAACATGTGTAATGGGTCACGCATAAGCAGCTGCAGCACCTGCGCAAATATAATGCTGCTACGTTACCTACCTGGGAGAGAGAGCTGCTGCTTCTGCTGTTGCTTGTACGGATTCTGAAGCAGAGACCATAGAAGTGACAAAAATAGCAGTAACATCACCAGTAGCAGCACTTTCCTAGAATCAGCAGGTGCACTAACAGCAGGTCCAACTTTGGCAGCAGCATCTTCTGCTCTCCAGTCCTAGCATCTCTACAGGATTTTACTTGCGCCTTAATTATGCAGCAGGTGCCGCTTTAGCTGATGCAGCAGTTACGGGGGCAAGTCGTGCTAGACGGGGTCTCCCAACCCCAAGAATTACCTGGAACGCCAAGCTACAGTGGTGCAGCCTGCGCCAACAATGGTTTAGGGGTAGCGGTATAGAAATTACATTTACGCATTCATTACTAGGGGATAAACTGCGTGCATACACTGCAGCGGCCGACGCTCGAGGTATTCCTGTCTGACACCGCTTGCTCGCAGCTTGGAGGCAAACATGTCAAAAAGTAGTTCCTTAAAGAGTAAATGAATCTTAGCGGGAAAGGGCTCAGGTTTGAGTATGGTGATGTTGTGCAGTGGAGGGGGGTAGAGAGGTTTTACTGGGTTATTTAGGGATTCATACAAAATCGCCACCGCATGGTGGTGCCGTGGGGGTAGACAGTGCAGCAGCAGGTGCTGTTGTGCGTATATTGCGTGAATAGAAGCCATACAGGTAAGACAGGCAATGTAGCATGCCTGTCATAAAGTCGGTGCATGCATTTCTACTTGCGTACAGCCTGGTTACTAAGGCCCAGGCAAGTGTTCATCACTTCTCTACGCTGTTTGTACAGGCATCAAGAGGGGGCTTGAATACCCTGGTTTCTGGGGTTGCCTCATTGTAGGAGGTCCAGGAAGCCGCATGGCAACTAAGCCACCTTGCTGCAAGAGCCCCAGGCCTGTGCACCGTTGTGCCCAGGACTAGTACAGAGTATAGGCAAGGTCAGATGGCTACTGCCCTAAGCATGTAAAATCGGTTGCACTTGGCAAAGGTCGTCGAATAAGGTCGAAGATGCATTTCACGGTGGGTACCCTCATATGGTTAAGAGTAAAGCTCGAGCTGCTAGCCCAACCCCGCAGCTAGCCAACCTGGAGTACAGCGTTAATTATTCGTGATCCCAAGATTAAATCTTAGACCCTTCACTCGAATGACGGAGATTGATGAGGATATGCCCTCCGGCGTGAAGGGGACCAAGGGATTTCACCATCAGTTAGATGCTGCGGCAGCACTTACCTTATAGCGGATGGTTCTACCGCCAGCCGTCTGGTGATATCTTGTGGTCTTTTTCCGGCATGAAATCCACGGAACGAAGATTTGAGTTGCGCAGCCACTAGCTTTAATGCATTCCGTTGGGGTAGCCAACAGGCGACAGGCCCTCCGGAAGCTCCACCATAGATTGAGTAGATCTGAAAGCTTTTGCAACAATTGAGTCCACTTCTGCTGTTCCTCGGATGTGTGAAATGCATTAAAGCGAGCAAAACTGATCTCTTCGTAAAATAGCATTAACGAACTGCATGCATTTCTCCGCCGGTACCGGCAGCACGTCTTCGCTGCGGAGCAGCCGCCTCGCTCCTTACTTCGAAAAGGATGTCAATTTTTTCCTTGTTATAGTAGAGAATGCCGAGGCAGTGGGGAGCGCTGAGAAGTCCACTAACACCTTGCTTTAATGCGCCTATACCACTACTGTGTTGCTGGAGACCAGGGTTTGTGTTCTGATGAACTGGTCCAATGCTAAAGTCTCGCGTCGTGCCATTGTGATCATTTCGGAATTGAGTATTTCACGTTCACGCTGTTGCCGATTCTCGTCGCCTATCTGCCATCGGTGAAGTGCAGTGTGTGAGAGTGGCCTGTACGAAGTTGTTGTTTTCTTTTTTTTGCGTACCCAGCTAGTGCTCACCGACTCTCTCTAGCTTTATCCAGCACCTACACTTCGCAGCTTTTAACTAGTAGCGCCCACTGCTTAGCGTCAACTGACAATTTCTACGAACTTGGATTACCACGAGGCATATCAGGAGTGGCTGTCTCCTCTGTGCGATGCACCACTGCGCCGCATGTTGCTTGGGTAACAGGGCGTTTCCCTGATAGCTTTGTTCTCCTCACTGATGGCGCTGGCCGAACTCTTGCTTCTCTGCTTCCGTCAATGCTTATGCAGCCCGGAAATGAAGTCATACTTGCTGCAAGAAGGAAGGGTGCGCCGTCCAATGCTCCCAGCAGCTTTCTTAATCCCCGATTCAGTGGCCGCCATGCGTTCTCGTTTCTTGTTCTCTATGGGCGAATATGGCATGCACAGTCCCAATATCCATATGGCGTGCTCGCTGCCTCTGATGCTTAAGGACCCCACCAGCGATGCCAGTTTCATCATCACACCCCACGTTCCCTCTCTGCAGCCCAGGAAATCATGGACTGTCTCTCTTTAGGGGAAAGATTTATATAAGCCAGCAACGCAGAAGCTCCGGGCCCACAGTGGGGTTTCTGTTTACCCAATACAGATGCTTCCAGTGGAACAGTCTATCAAAAGCTTCCCTTGTTCAGGTTTCGTTAACTAGCTCATGCTCGTGCTTATGCTCCTGTACCGCTCTAACGAGAAAGCTACATCTCAGCGAGCCCTTCAAACCTATTACTCCGGATGTGCTCCGGTGAAGCGAACCGCTTGCATTAACATGGAAACCAAAGTCTTGCCTCCCTTGCTAATAACGGATGTGGCAGCATCAACGGCAGCTCTTTTGTGCATTTTGAAGATGGAAAAACACCGCTAGAGAAGCAAGGAATTCTTACAATCCACCCACATTGCGGCGGTCTTCATATCTGGACGGTTGGCAAATCTTGATGAATTTTTCTCGCGGCCGAAGTATTCTTAGATGGATGGGCTGCGGACAGTGCTTCCGCTCCATTACTACGACTCGCCTAGCGGTTGGTGGCCTCCCAGCCTGAAGGGAGATCCTCGTCAATCTCCATTTAGAGAGGAGGTGGCCCGTTAGTTGCAACGTACCATGCTGTAAGTAATGCTGCACGGCAGCACTACTTGTAAACCAAGACAACCCCCCGTCGCTACACGCGCTCGCACTGTAGGCGATTGTTAAACACTTTCTCGGCCGTCAGTAGCCAAGTTGTATGTTACTAGAGATATAACGTACCAGCTAGGCGGAGCGGGACACACCCGTTAGAACCATTAGCCCATAATGGATACTAACTATACCCAACGGTGGCAGAAAGGCCACGTAGGTAGAGAGACACGCATTACTGAATGCAAGTATAAAATGTAATGTTGTAATAGCGGACCTGAAGAGGACAGTGCACGGAGACTGTAATACAGGACGATCTACGCGGGAGCAGCAAACAGTGGCAGCGGCCGCTGTAAGTCTGATAGTGGGTTAATCCAAATCAAAACTGACTACGTGAGTGGGATAAACACTTGAAGATCGAGGAGGCAGAGGGGACGATGTCTATGGTGCCTCGGCCGCTTAACAGCGACGGCATATATCACCACCAGCTGCCCCTTGCGGTGCCCCACAGCAGTTGGGGGAGGACAGGAGGACTTAAGCATCCATCGGACGTCCTTTGCTGCTGCTTTCTCCTTTTTTATCTTTTACTGCTTCTCTCTTTGCCCTAAGCAGCAGATTGGGGGCCCTCCTTGAGCCGTGACTCCCCGCACCAGCACCCGCCCGAGCTGGCCCTGTGCTGTGGCCCCACCCTGCAGTGGCACTTGTGTCCTTACTGTTCCGTCATTTCTCTTTTGTAGATCTGTGGGCTGCTTCTCTGCACAACCCATTCTCAAACGAAGATGTACTTCAGCAGCTTTCCCTTTGGGGAAGACATACCGGGGCATGGCAGGCCCAGGGGGCCGCCAAAGGAGCGGAACACAACCAAGTTCTACGAGCTGCTTGAAGTAGATAAAAACGCCTCCGTACAAGGTCAGCCTTCTTCACCGTATATTCATCATCATCGTCTGCGTCTCTTGTAGCAGTAGCAGCAGGAGCAGCAGTGGCAGCACTGGCAGTGGAGAGAAGTCGGCATGAGGAGCACTGGCTCGTACTGCAGTGGCAGCTCTCGAAGCACGATGTACTTTGGCTCTGAGTCTTTGCATTGTCTGGGGACCTTGCACTGGGGTGCATTGGCCGTATCAGCACTAAAAGGAGCATCGGCGGCCACCTTCGCTGCCCAACTCTACAGAGCCGCAGAGAGGAGGAGCAGAAGTTAGCTCGTGGAGGCTCATCTAGGCTTGTGACTGGGCCGTAGATACAGCATAATGTGAAAGATAGTTTCTGCCTTGTTAGTTGCGTTGTGGTTGGGTCGTGAACGTGGTTCACTTGCTCGTAATCCTGTCCCCTAGTGAGGTGTGCAGTTGCAAATGCGCCAGTAGCTGCATGCTCCGCTTCTACGTCCGCATGTTTGCTGCAGACATAAAGAAAGCATACCGCAAGCTGGCCATTAAACACCACCCAGACAAGGGAGGAGACCCAGAGAAGTTTAAGGAAATATCCAGGGCGTGAGCAGTAACCTCAGCTCTGCTGCTCAAGGCCCACCCACATGGGCCCTATGAGCGAAGATTTGTTTTTCAGCATGGGAGTGGGTGCAGGATCAGGAGGTGATGCTGCCTTTAATGTCGGTAGTTGCTGTTCGGACTGTTGATCGCAGTTTCTCCTTGTCTTGGTTTTCGTTTGGTGCTGTGATTGCAGCTATGAAGTGTTGAGCGACCCCGAAAAGAAGAGCATCTATGATGAGCTGGGCGAGGAAGGGCTTGAAGGGGGAGGCGCGGAAACGGACCCCTCAGACATTTTTGATTTGTTCTTTGGGGGGAGAAGGCCAGGCAGACAGCAGAGCAAGAAAAAGGGGGAAGACATTGTCAGCCCCATCAAAGTCACTCTTGAACAGGTAGACTATATGAACCATTCATAAGCACTAAGCGCGGTAGCAAGCAGCAATTGCAGTGTAATTGCAGTGTATCGTCAGCCCTTGTGCTCAGTCAGTCCTGCGCTGCAAGTGTATCTACACGGCTTAGCGCACTAAAGGCGGTTCCGTTGCGATCTGTTTGTAGATATACAACGGTGCCCCTCGCCGCATGGCCATCAACAAGGACGTAATATGCAAAGATTGCGAGGGGAGGGGAGGGCCAGCTGATGCCTTCATAACTTGCAAGGAATGCGACGGCTCCGGTGTGAAGGTCATGGTAGGTCTGCCCAAGCACATTCCGACGTTTGTTTGCTTCGGGTTGTTCCTCTGGTTTTCTGTGGAGTGCATGGATATGCGCACTGTGGTTGGCCTGCATAGAACTAGACCTTTGGCCGTGTCAGGGATGCTCTTGCGTTGTGTTTTGCTTATTGGCGTTGTTCACCTCTGTTGAGAGTGCGGGTGGTGTTGCCTAGTGGTGTTAGTATAGGAATCGAAGTTATTACTAAGTTGTTGGTGCGTTTGGGGCGTTCTCAATTCATAGATCCGCCACCTCGGGCCCATGATTCAGCAGACCCAGGGAATTTGCTCCAGTTGCAAGGGCCAGGGTCGCAGCATTGAAGCGTCCAAGCGCTGCAAGACATGCGGAGGAAAGGGAGTTTGCAAAGAGAGGAAGATCCTTCAGATCTTCATCGAGAAGGGTAAGTTGTCTTTGCTTTCACTGCCTTGTTGCCTTACCTCTGTAGACATGCAAAGGAAATGAAGCTGCGCCCGTATGGTTGAATATAGGGCTGGGTGCGCTGGTCTGAGAACTGTGAACGGGGGTATAATTGTGTTTCTTTGTCCCCGATGGTTTTGCTTGCAGGTGTGAAAAACCACCACAAGATTGTCTTTAGGGGGGAGGCCGACGAGCGGCCTGGGGAGATCCCAGGAGATGTTGTTCTTGTTGTGGAACAACAGGCAAGCTGTGCATAGGAGCACTCTGAGTTTTGTTTGGTTTTTGCTTGTTTTTATACAAAGTACTCGCGCGGCGGAGCGGGTTCGTTACAGCGGCGAGAAACCAATAGTGTATGGGAACATGCAGGATGTACAAAGTTTGCTTTTTGCGGCTTTGATGTCTTCTAGGAGCACACGCTGTTCAAGCGTCGAGGGAATGATCTGTTTATGACAAAGAAGATTACGTTATACGAAGCCCTCTGCGGGTTCAAGTTCCTGCTGACGCATTTGGACGGTCGCCAGCTGCTAATACAGGTTCGTCTCCGTCCCTCTTGTCCCTTTTCTCGAAGCGGGACCAGTTAAGAAGTATTGTTGACCGCGGGCCTAAATTGGCGTTTTCCTATTTCCTGGAAGGTCTACGCTGCCGCGGCTCGCGAAAACAGACAGGTCCTCCAGACCTCCACTGCTCGGCGGAGTGCCTACGGGTAGCGGAATTCGTCTTCTGCCTTAATGGCAACAGAGGGCTACAACAACTTGTTTCTCACAGCGTAGTCCCCTTATGTTTGTCCGTTTTCTTGCCGGAGGCTCATGGATGGAACTTTCCGCTAGCCACTTTGTACGCATTATGGTGTGGTGATACTTTCTTGTGGCCGTTTTCGATGACGCCGTGGTTAATTGAAAAGAACAAACGATCATTTTGGGGATGCCGAATTCGAAGGGAACATTCAAGCCATCTGTTCTCAGGGGAGTCCGGGAGAGGTCGTGAAGCCAGACGCCGTAATGTGCGTCAAGGGGGAGGGAATGCCGAACCATAAGAATCCATTCATCCACGGTGAGGTCGCGCGCTCGTTTGTTGCGTATGCGCATGCATCATGGACTACTGGCTCTCGAGCAGCGGCGGCTCGAGCAGCGGCGTTTTTTGTTCACATTTGCCTGTTGTACGTTTGGCCCTTGCTTGGTCTGCAGGGGAACTGTATATTGTCTTCGACGTCGAGTTTCCTCAGAAGGTGCCGGAGTCTTTGCATGCCAAGTTCCGCGAGATTCTTCCCCAGCCAGAGTCCACTCCCATGGTGAGTCCACGCACACGCACATGACTACCGCTCTGTACACAGAAAGGCCCGCATCGCGTGGTACTTTGATGGTGTAGCACGGCAGTGGATAGTTTCAGTAGCGACGCAAATGCAGTGTTGGATGTTTCGTTGTTACTGTTCATAGGTCGATGAGGATGACCCGAAGATCGAGCATCACGTCTGCGAAGGCGTGACCCCTGAGGAGCTGCGAGCTCGGCAACAACAGCAACGGACTCAGGGCTCAGGAGAGGCGTACGAAGAGGATGAAGACGAGGGTCATTCAGGTGGCCCGCAAAGAGTGCAGTGCCGGCAGCAGTAGAGGCTTCCAAATACAACGAGCTTGCGTCGCAGCTTTCCTAGTTGTGTTGACTTATTCGTGGTTGGTGGTGGTGCTGCAGCCTCTGCTGTCGTACTTGCAGAACTGTAGTGCTCCACCTTTAGTTACCGCCAGTGCTGAACAGGAGCAAGGCAAAAGTGTGGAAGTACTGTGGTTGTAGTTGTTCTGGTTGGTAGTCAAGGTTGTTGGCGGAGGGGATACGGCAGAGGGGCCCCAGCTTCTTCGGTAGTTACCGATGTGGCTGCTGTAGCAGCAGACGCCGGCATTTGTGTCGTTGCAGTGCTGCTGCAAGCAGCTGGCGCTCAAATGCGGGTAGCATCAAAACAGTTGGCGTTGCATAGTGGTGAGAGCCCGGAACCGCCTCGCTTTCGGAGCTTCTGCCTGAATAGACGTTCATTTTCGCCCGCTGAGTTTATATAATATATATATATATATATATTGACAGCACCTGCTCTACTTGCGCTCTGTAGGTTTAGGGTATGGTTCCCTGCAGCCATAGGAAGCGACAGGCTGTAGCCTTTCACACAAGGTGCTAGTGGCCGTTTTGCCCGTTCAAATGACAGTTTAAGCAGTAGTCATTTTACGGTACTGTTCAGTGGAACACTTGCATCGCATCAGTGGCCGGCGCTAAAACATAAACGGGAGTTAGCGATGTGCAGCTACGTTGCCGGGCTAGGCGTTAGGTCAGCGCAGGGCGCGTGAAGGCCACACAGCCACACTCGGTAACTCCTTACGCTTGAGTAGCAGCTGAATGGTTCAAGAGGGGAACTGCCTGATCTGCTGCAGTGGCAGCCCATTTGAGTATTCTTGTGCTACCGGAGGGGGAGCTACTGCTGTTCTTATCTCAGCAGTTTGTCTTCTGCAGCGGAGTAATCAGGGAGGGTCTCTGTTCTGCACCTATACTCGTAACCAGACGAACTTAAGTGTGGACAGGCGGAAAACGAGCACGCAGAAACTCCTACGCGCATTGAAGTGCTGGGGGCGCCTCATACAAGGGGAAACCCTGAATCCATCCCTTAACCTCTTGAAGATTGGAGGGGGTGACACGAGTGTAGCACGTCTTTGCAGCAGCAGTTGAAGGTGAAATCCTTATTAAGGTGCCGCAGCTATTTCGTGCGTCGCGCTACCATCTGGAGAAAAGATCCCAGGACGAGGGCTTGTCTTCCACTCAATCTTGCCAAAGCCTTAAGAAGAGCGATGCAGGCACGCATTACAGTTCCTTCGGCAGCAGGCAGCCGCCTCTGCGAAATGCTCCGCTACTTCTACAGGATGACGTGAATATTTTTACAGCTGCTGACGCATGTCTAGGTAAAACGAAGCAAAGCACGGTCTGCCAGCTTAAAGAAGGCGTGGCTCCTGGAAATTCGAGACTTCCTGCCTAATATAGATTAGACCTCCACTTCCCCGTTTTCTATGTTACATGTTATGCTCGTGCTGAAGTTTGGGTTTTCTATGCCTCCTTAAGGCGTGTGCCTTCACAACGGGAACTTCATCGTCCGAATGTTCCACACCCTTCGAAGTGAAGTTCTCGTTGAGGGCAGACGAAGAGGCTGCGGTGGGAGTGCATATTGTGGTCCCCCGCCTTCTGAAGATTCGTCTGTAGGATAGGCCTAACGCCTGCGCACTTGACGTCCGTATGCAAAGGAACCAAGCGCGAAAACATCTGTGGAATCAACAGAATGCTCTCAGTGCACTACAGCCTGTATATCTCAACTAAGCTGAGGGGACGCAGCTCACCCTCGTACTGAGCAAAGCGAGACCTGCACTGACGAAGAAACATTCAAAACCGCCGCACGCTGTTAGCCGCTATGTCTTTCAAGAGCCTAATTCATAACCAATCCAACCTCAATGAATGCAGTCTGATCTTGGCTGCCCTCTCGCTATGCGTTATCGGCGCGAATTCCCACTCATATACTGGCTTCAGAAAGTATACCTGCAGAAAGTGTACTTCCGTTGTGTCCAACTGTAACTTTTGCAAGTCAGCTTAAAAAAAGGGTTGATCCGCCGCGTCCCGAGTTCCGCTGGAAACTAAGGACGGGATGGACTTCTATGCCACTCCTTGCCCTGCTTAGAATAAAACGACTTTCCATTCCTAAAGCTGCTTTTGGCAAAGACAAAACGCATTGTTCATCAGTGCCCGCATCAGCGCCAATACATACATGGAGGATATGGACTGCCCCACAGACTAGGACAGTAACCGCCCTATACTAATACCAACATGGCTGGAAATGCAAGACAACGCGCAAGAGCCCCTCCGCATAAAAACAAGAGACACACTACACGCTGCTAGCCACAGGCGCTTCCAGCACCCACTGTAACCACATGCAAATGCACTCACTGTTCAGTGCACCCCTATGCATCTAGACGAACTTCATAACGTCAGCAATTGACTTCTAAACACTAAACAAAAGCAGATGCATGCACACAGGTGGCGCATAGACGGCTCAAAAGGTTTGGGGAGTTGCGCCAGGGCGCAAATGAGAAAGAATTGGGCAAACTATAGCCGTGTCCTGGACTGCCCCTTCGTCTCCCCTGTCACCTCCTGTGTTTTCGGGAAGCCTTCGTGTCGTGTTTGCTCCTGCGCTTCTCTGTGGCCTTTTCTTTCTGTTCTTCGTCTTTGCTGCGGGATTTCTTCCTTGCCCTTCCATGAGAAGATGCCTCGTCCTCTGGAGCTTCGGGCGAAGCCCCATTTTTTTCTGCAGGTGCCGGTGCAGCTGTTGATGATGCTGGAGCTACTGCATCCTCGGCGTCTTTCTGTTGTTCTAAACCTTCATCCGGGGCTTCCGTCCCCTCCTGTTCGTCTTCAGAATCACCGTCAGTGCTTTGGCTGCCCGCCTCCTCCCCGCTTTCTTCTTCTTGCCCGCTCCCGCTGCTGCTGCTTCTGCTGCTTCTGCTGCCGCTCTCACTGCCGCTTTCGCTGCCACTTTCACTGCCGCTCTCACTGCTACTGGCGCTCTCCGCTACGGACCCCGCCTCTTCCTTCATCCCTTGGACCTTTTTAGGATCGATCCCGTTCACAGTCTCGCCGCTAGCGGCTTCTTTTAGTTTTGAGCCCTCTTCTGTCCCTTCTCCTGCTGCGGCTTTATCTGCAACAGGCAAGGGCTCTTTCCGCTTAGAGGAGCGGTACTCTTTCCGGTCGCTTGAGCTGCGGCTGCTGCTGCTGCTTCGGCCGATGCTTCTGCTGCGGCCTCTGCTCCTGCTGTGGCTGCTACTTCTGCTGCGGCTTAGACTCTTCTTTCGCGCCTCCGCACTTTCGCGTTTGTCACGTCTGCTGCCCTTCCTGCCTCGCCTGTTGCTGGCGTGCCTTTTCTCCTTTCTGTCTCTGGATGTTTTTCTCAACCTGGTGCTCGAGTGTTTGTTGCTGTGCTTCTTGTGTCGGCTGCTGAGCCTTTCTGGGGTGGAGCTGACGCTTCTATGTCGCCTCTTCTTGCTTAATCTTGAATGCTTTGCCTCTCTGCCTCTCCGTTTGTCTGGCGTGGGGCTGCTGCTACGGTCTCGGTGTGAACGCTTCACACGGGAATGCCTGCGCCGCCTTGTGCTGTCGTGGTGGCGGCTGACAGTGCTGCTGCTGCGGCTGCTGCTGATGCTTCGGCTGCTGCTACGGCCCCTCCTGCTCCTGTGCCTGCTGCGGTGCTCGCTCCTGCGACGCCTGCCGCCGCCGCTGGACCTCCTTCTTCTCTTGAGGCTCCTGCTACGGCTGCGGGTTCTGCTCCTGCTACTGCTGTAGCTGTAGCGTCGCCTGCGGCCCCTGTAATACCTGTCATCAGGGCTCCTGCCTCTGTCTCGGCTTCTAAATCGCCGCCGCAACACGGAAGGCGTTGAACGCGACCTTCTTCTAAGCTCGGGGCTTCGGTCATACAAGCGTTTGCGTTCGCTGCAATAAAAAGGACAACGGAAACGCATCTAGGCGCAACACCGAAATGCAAACAGCGGAACAGCTCTCAAAGCTGGGTTCGTCACAGACACGCTCGAGGTGGGTTCGACCGACACACATACACATGCACATACATACATACATACATACACACACACACACACACACACACACACACACACACTCCGTCCTGAATGCTGCTACAGCATAATAGCGCGCCACAAGCACGCTCCCTGCCCGCGACAGCTCGCGCATGCACCGCTTCGCTGCACTGTCACAGCGAGATGTCCAAGCTGGGCTCTAGAGCACAAACGTTAACCGAGAAAACATGCTTGCTGGGCTGACTGCCGCTGCAGCTGTCGCAAGCCATCCCCATGCACAGACGCCAGCCAAGTTTCACTGTACGTATTTTCTCCCCTTGCGCACGGAGATGCGCACTGGCCACCAAGGTTCCCCTTGTGGATGTTTTCCTTACTGTACTTCTTCAGGTTTCTGTTGGGTTCGTTTGAATTGGAATGGTAGCTCACGAAGCTTTATATTCTAAACTCACGTAACTTCGGTGTAATTTCTCCGTTTTTCCATTTTTCTGAATAAAGTAATGAGCTTTCGAAGTTCTAATTAGCATTGCACCACTGCATGGCTTGCGCCTGGGTCTGCAGCACTTCTTGTTTGCTTCAGTTTGGTTTTTGCTTTACTTCTATCCCTGTCAGTGTCTGTCTGTAGATATGTCTGCCTGCTTGCCTGTATGGAGTTTCGTTTGCAGCCATACTGACTGTTGTTCGCTGCATTGCCGAAATGTGTGCTGTGCGAATTCAACGAGGTTTCGGCTAGCACTAAGAATTTCTGCTACTCACTATTCCTCATCTTTTCTCTCGTAAATAGTGCGCTGCAACACAAAAAAAACAGGAGAGAACCCACATGTATTTTATGATACTAATATAATTACATTCCAACACCTGAAGCCAGGAAACAACGGCTGTCGTACAGTCCGCGCAAACTCACAAACAATGGATTAGCGAATTTGAAGCACTCAACTGCATATAGTAAATGTAGAGAGAGTCTTGAAAATTCAAAATACTTACCATTTGTTCTGGGGTCTTAGGGTCGCTGTTCGCCATTTGAACTGTCACTCGGAAACCCATCAACATTTGGTTATTCAGTTCCTTCATCGCCCTCTCCCCGTCTGATTCTCTTTCATAGTCGAAGAAACAATACGATCTAAAGAAACAAGCACACGAGAAGCAATGCACAGCATAAGCTGCCCGACATCTCACCCCTGCATCCAGGCCCCCCTCCCTCCCCTCCCGCTGGCCCTTGCCTCCCTTGCGTTCATGGGCCGCCCTGAGTTGTGCAGTCAGCCTGTGGGGCAGAAATTATCTTAAAAGGCGGAAAATGAAGACAAGTGTTACCGTGGAGTGCGTTCCAAATGATGAACAGGCAAATACATTTCCTTGACCTGGCCAATCTTGGACAAGAAGTTGCGTACGTCGCTGGGTGTTGTTCCTGGGGCAACGCCTCTGAGCATATACGGAAACTTCCGCATAGTTCTTGCAGTCTTCGCATTTTCCACCAACCACAATTCCCCCGCCCGCGTAGGCGAAACCCTGTCCACCATTGCGAAGGCTTTGTCCTCAGATTTACGTGTAGGGGAGTCCGCAGGGGTCAAGGAACTCGCTCTGCTCCGCGACACAGAGACAGACAACCCGCGCCCTTGGGGCGGCGCTTTGGTGGAGAATTGCATCAGAAATCAAAGTGGCAACGCCGCTCCCCCTTCCGCACAGTGTCACGGGGGAGAGAACGCCTAAAGCAGCGAAAGCAAATTCTCAAAAACTATAGGCGCTGCAAGATTGCAAAAAAGATAAGCAATACAAATGCCCGTCGACCTGGGACTAAGACAGAACAACCGTGAGGATCCGAGGAGGCATCCCCGAGGCTAAGGTCTTGCCGCTACAGCAGCTGCAATCGAAGTGAAACAGGCTCTTTCTGTTATTTTCTAGTCAGTAAGTCCAGGAAGAATCACTGAGCCATAACATTTCCCTTTTTTGCCGAAAACACACAGAGAAACCAACGCCCTAAACCTTGGCCTTTACCCCGTCGCAGGACTTCTCACAGCCCCGCGCCCTGCTCGCATGCAAGAGCAGCGTAGGAAATAAGATGCGTAATCCTTTTGATTTGGGCACATGAATTATATAAATAGTTACATTTCATTAGTGATTTCCATAAAGTTTTGAACAACGAATTGCCCGGGCTAGACGCGCGCGCCGCGCCGGCGCGTTCAAGTAGTTCGGGAACTGCAGGCCATCACGCTCTCCTTCGGCGTGGAGTATACAACGGAAGAAATATGAAAAACTTACTTTACTTTCCATTCATGTGCACTCTATGCACAACTCGAGTATTGAATCTCCCCTGAGGAGGGTCGTGGGCGTTAGTGCTAAACAGCCAGTTGACCCGCTGGGCAATGTCCCAGCCTGGTGGGCACAGCGGCGCAAAGGCCTGGTGTAGCGAGACTGCGACAGCGACTTTAGCAGGGGATCAGCGAGAGCTGCAGTATATAAGGGCATGAAACAATTCCGCAATAGCAGCTGACCTACGACTAAGGCGTACTCGGCACAACTGCACAGGGGCATCTTTAGCGGATGGCCAGGCGTGAGTTGCAGCACTCAGCAGCACTCATTGCTGCAACACCTACTGCAAACCCACGCGCAAGCATAACCAATGCATAAACAAGTGCTGTAGGTAGTCAGTAAACACTCCGCCTCAGCATCCAACCAAGTAAAAATACACGGAACAACTGCAGATATCCACGGTACAATGGTGGTGAGAAGGCGCGTAGCAAGACTGCGACTACGATATTAGCAGGGGACCAGCGAGGGCTGCATTCTTTGCTGGCTACCCGGAAGTGAAGACCCACAGTGGACTGATTAGAGTGTCATCTTTCGCGGGCCGAGTATTCACTGAGTATTCACGCACGGTGCGGACAGGGTGCTGGGTTTTTGGGTCGCAGGTGCAGTTCCCTCGGTACTATTTGCCCTCGTAGTACCTTGGTAGGTTGCAATGAACGACGGAAGGAACGTCTACAACTTGCAGGGAATGCTGCGTTGCAGCCTTTGCCGCGCAGCGGCATCCACATCCAACATCACCCATATCCCACCTATTATGCTGACCCGTAGGCTTGGAAACGGTTCATGCGGAAATGCATCAGGCACGTTATCTCCGCTACATGGCAAGCAGGCAGGAATCACCCAACTGTTTGGTTCGTAGAGCAAGGCAGTGGAGCTGCTTGGTATGCTCAACCACAAGCTTACTTTGCATCATTAGCTATGCATGAGCAGCTGCTTTACTAGGTCACGTGATCGTGCTCGACACATGCTTCAATACCGGGCTTTTCCTAGGAGAGCCTAGCAGCAAAAAAGGGTAGTTTCCTTGTTAGTGCAGTGCTGAACATTCCAGAACAAGTAATTTCAGGCATCCAGCAACACTGCACTCCGCAGCTGCAACGCGTGCTGCCGAGTTAAGGTGTGTACATCTAACTGAATCAGTTGCTAAGAGCCCTACAAGAAGTTGCCCTGGTCCCTGGGAATCCACCGCTGTAGATGTCGCGTTCTAGTTCACAGTAGGTGTGAAACGAAGCTCTAGATAATCTTGAAGTTCTAGTGCTTCCTCTCGTACCCCAGCTGACTGATCACGCAGCAAGGTCTCCATCATTTGCTTCAGGTCATTCTGAAAGTAAGAACAAGAGTTGCACAACCGAAGCTCGGGTTGTCCTTTTACCACTATCATACGAGGGAACCATGGGAATCTATGAGGTGATGAAATGGGGAAACAGCTCACCACCAAGTCTGATTGACTGTTCCTTTCCTTTTGAACTAGCCTGCCCAAAAGCTTGACGAGGCCCAGTCTGCGTCAAACCACCCCCGTAAGAGGACACGCTCCCGACGCACGAAGTGTGGACTTAATTGCACAAGCTGGATCAGCCAAATACGTATCACTGCTCGACCAGTGTGGATGCATTTTCAGCGGGTATTCAGCCACTATGTGTCACCACATACCTACAACATGGCGCCGGGTCGTTCAGCAAGCTCTGCAGTAACGGCAGAACTACGATTCGAACCCTGTCGATTGGAAGGTAGTCCCATATTTGCTGCAAAAAGGAAAGCGGAGTCTTACTGTGGATGATAAGCACATCGAAACGTCGGTACGGCTTGTGCCCACTGGCATGCGAGGCAAGCTAAACGCGCCTTTAGCGCCTAGTGAACCTACATGTATATAGAATGCTACATCTTGACGTATGAAGGCATTTTTGCAAGAAAACGCCTGCTGTAGAGCTTGTACAAGGCGTTGCTCGAAAACAGAGTCCGCCCTCGGCATTGCATGATGTTGGTGGTATTCATCCTATCGAACAGGATACCGCAGGCGGCTTGTATGCACATGTGAAGAGGGTGTATGCTTCGTTCACCCCGCATGTCGCACTGGTTGATCGACCCTCCCCCACTCACTGCGTAGCGGCTGCCACTCGCAAGCGACATACCTCCGCTATAGACCGAATAGCAAACCCGGCCTCCTGCCTGACAGCCCATGCTGCAGACACCACAAAAATGACTGCGTCAACACTGGACAATGCGAAGTGAACAACTTCATAATATAGCCTATAAGAGACTTTCTGCAAGGGGAAAGTTGAACATCACAGGATTCACAGGATTGTTTAGGTTTCGAGAGTGGCAAACAGCCAACACTACGAGTTCTGCGCCCATCTGGCTAGGCGATAAGTGCCGTCCTTACTTGGAGACAGGAGCATAACTGTTAAGAGTTCCCACCAAAGCTCGTCTGCGTGTTTCTTAATACGGAGCCACATGAACACAAATACAGCGCAGGACAAAGCAACATCATGCGCATGCCTAGTTCCTATCAATCAGGCGTGGCTAAACTGCTGTTCCGTATGAGACGCCTACCACAGTTCGAAGGAGCAGAGGCAGCTGCTGAGCTAGAGCCGCTTGAACCCGCCAACAAACTTCTCCGTCCTCATCAGTCGCAAATTCGCCGCTTGATATCAGGGAAGACTGCAAGCAACCAGGCGCAAGCCATCTGTCTCAAAGGGTGATATAGTATGCCTGATGGGAGATCCGATATTAGGGCTGAGGCCAAGGCTGAACATATACGGCAGTTCACACTCACGACAAGTGCAATGTCCTGAGAAGAGAGGGAATCCAAAGATCCTAGAAATGAAATTTTCAGTTTCCAGTTGCCTCGCCTGCAGAAGATGGCACGTTTGGAAGTACTGACGGCTCTACCACAGAAGAAGTGAAGCAGCATTCCAGTATTCCAAATGCATTCGCCCAACTCCTTTTCCCATGTAAATATCTGGCAAGACATACTGAACCAGGTCCATCGCTAGCTCTAGGAAAGCACGCCTCTGCAGACCGGTAGAAAGCGGGAGGAGGCCAATCACTGCATCCAAGCATGCGCCTGCGGAAACGCGAGAAGCCTGCCAACCATGACGTGCAGCCATCATTCACAGGTTAGACGTTAAAAGGTCCTTCCAGTGAACAGAAGGAGCATAACAATCCGCATCTGCCACGAATAAAAGGAACGGGCAGGATAGCACCTGGGAGTCGACAGCCTTGACTTTCACGGCTAGCTTCAGCTATGTGATGTAGCTCCAGCATCCAAGGATCGCCCACGAAGGCAGTACTTCCCAGGTACTGAACAGAGCGGTAAGCAGCACAAAGCCATCTTGTGAAAGCTCCCTTGCAAACGGAGGCTCTGCTTAAACCGCTTGACGCATTCAACAACTCCAATGCAAGATGCAAGTTAGATACAACTCAAGACAAGGCCGGAAGATTAAGAGGTGAACTTCGAGCGATAAGCTGAAGGATGCAATTACTTGCGCCAGTCGTGGAAGAACATGCAAGGCTGCCAGCTTGACCATTGGCTGCAATACACACGCAATGGGGTGCGCCAGTCGATGTGTCATACCGTCAACTAGCGCGCAGAGTGCGCCTTACAACCACGAGCAGCACGGTCCTAGGGCATTTTGTTCTTCTGGCAGCTGAGGGGAGCTTGTCCCGATCATTCACACGAACTCACAGATCGATCGGTAAGGAATTTAAATAGAGAAGCTGTCATGCTGGCAACTTTTCCATCCTCTTCGCTAACTCCAGTGACTTCACCAGCTGAAAGATGTGTTGCGTTGCAGGAAAGAAGAGCCAGGTCTTCCAGTGCCAGGCACACGGTTGCGCGCACCCGCCAAGAGGAATCACCTGCAATCCCCGCACAGCACAGGGAAAATGTGTGTTGGGTGCAGAATGAGCTAAGCGGTGAAGCTTCTACCCTTCTGCAGCGCAGGGGAGAACTATGTAATTGCCTCACTGCAAAGCAATGGAAAGAAGTTGTTGCCTACTGCCCTGAATGCTGCTGCATTCCTCCGAGCCATTGCAGCAATTGCTGCGACTCCCTGCATCCTGCAGCTTTCCTGTGCACAGAATATCAGTAGCATGCCCCGTACACAGTGATTCATTGTCATATAAGTGCACCAGAGTGGAGGAGGTGACAAGAGGAAGATGTGAAGAAAAAATGGTAATGAATTTGCGCTGCTCAGCTGCAACTCACTCACCGGCCCAAATGCTATTCAAAAACTCACGTGAAGAGAAAGAGTAAATTTCTGAGTTGCCGTGTAAACGGCAACCATCAGTTCTCCGACTGCTCCGTCTGAGCTTCCGTCGGTCACGTCATCAGCAACATGCTGTGTTGACAATCCCTGTTGCAACACTTCCGTTTCCGCTGCAACATAATCCACAAAGAGCGGCAGCTGCTGACCAGCTGCCAGCTGCACCGAGCAGCTCTTATCCCCGCAAAGCGCAACATAGGAAGCGAACAGCGTTCGTTTCAGCTCCAGCAATGCTTTAAGAGCGCGCGAGTCCTCTGGCGTCCCTGGCACTCGCTGCTTCGACAGGAGGTCTGCCGAGCAGCGGCGCGTGCAGTGGAGCAGGGCGGGTATCAGTGCTGCAGCCGCCTGGCGGGGTGCGCTTTGTTTGTCTTCGCAGAGCTCTAAAACCTGAAACACCACTTTGTTTCCGAGAAGCTCAACATGATCACAGGTTGAAACGAGGGCTGAAAAGGCCTGGAGTGCCGCCGTCTGCAGTTCCTTGTCTCTATGGAGCATGATTCGAAGCAACAGGCTTGAAATGATGCTCAGACCTCCTGCCCAGATATAAGGGCACTCATCGCGGCCGTGTGTGAACTTGCCACGACCATCAAAGAACTTCCTCAGCTCGTTACAAAGAGTCGCCAGCACGTCCTCGTCATCTTCACCCTCCTCAAACTCTGCAGACAAAATCATGCACTATTTCAAAACCTTATTGAAGAATCGCCATCCGCATAACTCTACGGCTGTTCTTCCCGGTGGGCAGCTCCACACGACGGCCACAACTCGCACTACGGTTCATCGCACCTTCTACTGTAAAATATATGATACACCTTGTACAAGCGAAATAATACTCACGCAAAGGGTAGTACCCGCAGTACAGCTAAGCACTAAGACGATAGTTGCAATTAATGATAAGTGAAACAGACAAAGCAAGTAACAGCCAACAGCCTACTGCCCTCACCACGCAGCCCGAAAAGCACTCACGCTCTCCAGATCTGCAGAAAAAAACGAGAACTGCAGCGTCGAAAAGGCATAGTACAGTTCGCAGTTTGTAGGCTTCAAAAGATTATACCAGGCCAGAGGAACGCTGGCCAGCGACTCTCACCTTGAAGGAAAAGGAGAAACTCGTCAACGGCGCTGCCCAGTGCTCGAAAAATGCACGATATGTTCCTGCAGCCGCGCTTCCGCACCTGAACAGCAGTAAAGTAGGGAACACAAGAATATCAACCCAGCTGCGTGTTATGTGGGGCTTTGCCTGTTCCAGGAAATTCAAGTATCAGACGTGCAGATAACATACCCTTGGTGAGCCGCTCAGAAAGTCCTGCACGAGGGAAGCAGGATTACTCGGCATTTGATCCCCTTCAACCCCATCAGTGGTGGTTTTTGTGCTCCGCCGCAGCCCCGCGTCGTTCGCCTGCCCGTCTGGCAAGACAGTTTTCGCATCCTCAGCTTTGAGGTGGGTGCAAGGGGGATTGATTGTTCCTCTTCCAAACAGCATATCTTTGTAAACGCCATGCCAATCCATGCCCGCCTGTGTCATGTTCCTGTCGATGGCCGGTGATGCTCTTGCAAGGGAGTAGTGAGTTGCTACTGCTATCTTCGCGTTCTGCTTGTTGTGCAGTCCGAAGTTCCAGTGGAGGAGGGGAGAAGCCAGTGCAGCTTACGTTGGTTCGCTGCCGTCAACTGCACGGCACAGGTCAACGGCCACTGCTGGTAGGCCCCCCTAAAAGGATTCCAAGAGCATGGTCAAACAAGAGCCCCTCCTCCTCGGGTGGTGAAAGTGATCGTTCATGATGCTCAAGTGAACAAAGGCAAAGTTTAGGGAACGTTGTCGCAGGATTTATCTGGAACAGAGAAAAGCCAAAGTACTAGCTGTTGCCGCACATAGGTCTCGTAACACATACAGCTGCTCGACACGGCCCATAAGGACTCCGCCTAACTGCAAATCACATTAAGTTCCTAAAATCACCAAAAAAATACTTCCTGAGAAAATTACGTTGCCGAATATCTCCTCGGAACGCGTTGAGCCAGGGTCACACTGGCTCGTTCAGCCCCAAACACTGCCACCAGTGTCTTGTTGGTAAATCTATCTGCTACGACTTCAGATATCTTAGAAACCCTCCAAGTTGCAGCCTTTTCTCGTTTCATTCCAATTCCCCCCATGCTTTAGAACCATCCTACCTTCCCTGCCTTGTGTTATTCCTGTCTTTAGATTTGTAGCAAGCACTGTCGGTAAGTGCATCGTAGCATGTCTGTCTGAAATTGGTAGGTGTACTTCTACTTTCGCACAGGCAGACTATTGCGGACCAATTTCGTGTTTAACAATTGTCAGCAGTGGGGGAGCATCGGCCAAAACGGGGCGGGTAAGTGCTCGCATGTGGGGCTGCCCTGCAAGAGTTGCAGGAAGGTGTGCTGCAACTAGTGGCAGGGCAGCTCCTCTCCGAACTAGCATCAGGAGCTTGTGGCCTTGTTCCCAGGGTGCCTGGAGACTGGCGGGGGAGTCATGCTTTTTTGGAACTCTTCAGTCTTATGGCGCCGTTGCAGGTTGCGACAGCCTGCAAGTGTAGAATTCACTCTCTTTGCACGTGGCAACACTGCCTAGTTTAGACTGCCAGGGCTGGGCGGCCAACCGCGCTCACCACTACAGGGCGGCGTAGTGTATGGCACTGATTTGTCGTGTTGGCGTTGTGGGTGAAAAGATGAATTATTAGAGGTCTTCTATAGAGGTATTCAACGCCCTCTCCTCTGCTGCGCAGTGGAGCTTGGTCAGTAACTGCCTTCCGGCGGGGAGGGCAGCAAAAGCTGGGCGCTTAGTCACAACGGAACGAGCTCAGTATCTCTGCAGCGCATCCAGCAAGAAATGTTTACTGCGGAAGCGCTTCGTTGAAAATGCCGCCGCCTCTGCGAACAGTCCAGCTGTGACGGGATCCCCCTTATATCTGATGAATATAAGATATTAAAATTAACTTGAGGCAGAGTTGCGGGTGACGCTGTCACATCTTTCGGTCGCATCACTGTACTGCACGATGCTTGGGGGCCACGGCGTTTGCGTTTCCCTGGTGACTTTGTTTGCTTCCCCGGTAGTGCTGATGCTGCGCGAAGTCCCTCTGTTCCTGTTCCTTCGCCTTTTTCCTGCGTCTGCAATACCGAATTGTGCGGGCTTCTTCTTTCTTACAAGAAGAGCAGGTGAGCCGGTTTGTGCTTGCCCACCGCTGCTTAGGTGCTGAGTTCCCCCGTTGCTGTTGGTTACCGCTTCTTTCTTTTCCTTGGCAACGTTGGCATTTCCAGCCTATCAATAGGCTCCATATATGGGTTATTTCTAGTCAAGCCTCCTCAGAAAATACGGTGAAGGCGTGATTTTTCTTCTCTCTTTGATACGGAAGTACTTCATTGGCTCGCCAGTGTCCACAATTCCGCCAATTAATTCCCCCCCCTGCGACCCAGTCGGTTACCGATCGCCTCTCGCCGGGAGACAGCCCTGCTAGGAACCATTCATGTACAAGTTTCGGGTCGAGCAATGGGCATCTGTTCACCAGGAACTGTACTTTTCCGTGTAGCACTCTATCGATTGCTTTCCTTGTTCTAGTTTCTGCCACAGCCTATTCCGTCGTATGTCCACGGGCGGAGAAAACCAACACCGCCGCGCAACTCATAAGCCTTCCATACCCCTGGAAAGTGGTACCCTTGCATAGGTATAAGCACTATTACCGTGCCTCTGCTCCCAATAACGAAGATGCCTCTAACAACTGCAGGTCTTCGGGTGCATTTTGTAGGCAGAAGTACACTTCCAGGGCAGCAAAGAACTACACCACTATCCCCGCATTACGGCGCACGTTACATTTAAACCCCTGCCAAAGGCGGAGGCATTCTTCAAGAATTGCCTTTGCTGTTATCATATTCAGCTAGATGGTATGCATATACTGACCTGGATAATAATGCGAAGAGGCTCCGGACTGTTGGCCTACTCCCACCGCAGGGCAGATCCCTGTTAGTCTCCAAGGGCAAGGGAAGAAAGGGCTCTGGTTTTGAAAGGATTTCTGGAGAGTACCTAGAGCATCTCCTTGTAGATTTAGTGCATCTTCTGGACTAGTCACTGCTGTACATCAGGCCGCCCTGCTGTGCTGGTGAGATTCGTTGTACGCACCTGTCCCGATGAACCATTCGGTGCTCCCAGGTGTAATGAGACTCCGCAATCTTATCTGAGAACAGTCTTGAGCTGCATTCGGGCCAAAAGAGTTGAGGGAAGACAAGCTAGAAAGCAGGTGACATCCCTTTCAGTTCCCAGACGTCCTGGGCACAACGGGACGAGAGCCTGTTGCTGGCGAACAGGAAGCTGCTTGCCATGAGTTGCAATGCACCTCGCCGCAGCTGAAGATGCAAGGCACCTTCACATGCAAGCACCACCAACCCCGTCCTTCCTGTCCGCCCTAGCACTGCAGAGAACTTCCGCTCTGCTTACGCGCAGCCTGCCTACTGCGCTCAACTCAGTGGTCATGTACCAGGTCCGTTCAGGCGAAGCATGACAACTAACATCGCCTCCACTCTCCAGGCACCCTGGGAACAAAGGCAGGAGCTCCTCAGCCTAGTGCGCAGAGGAGGAAGCCTGCTATGTGCCGCTGCTCGCCCTGCTGCAATTCCCGAGCACCGCTTCCACAGATGCCCCCACATTATTGACAATTGTTGAACACTAACTTCAAACACTTACTTGGGCCTTAGTAGCCAGCCTGTACACAAGCAGAAATATAAGTACTAACTTCGGACCGGTCCCTCTACAATTCCTGCTGTGGATGGGAGCAACGCCTCCGCCTTCGGGCAGCCAGTGGATGTTTTTGCGCTGACTAAGGCGTACTCATTAGTTATCATAGTAAATTTAGCTCCCATAAGCAAACTGCACTAATTCATTGGCAACGCGCGTCAATTCTTGGCGCGTGTTTCTCATGCAGCCGCCAGCCCCGACTGCGAACGTCCTGATCCACGATAGCAGCTTAGCTCAGAGGAGAGTTTGTTTATTTGGAATGCTTATTGCTCTTTAGTACTCAAATTCTCTCCCTCCAAAAGTGTAAATTCTTCTTGTTCCGTTCCAGTTCGCGTTGGAACTGGGCATTGCACGGCCCGCACGCCTCGTGCTGCGTCGGTAGTTGTGGTGAAACCGTGCGTGTCCACGCTCTAAAATTAACGAAATATATTTCGTATACTTATATGGTAGGCCTGTGGTGTGTGCAGCACACGCCAGACCTGCGGCATCTCTTCCATTGTAGAACCGTTCAGTCAGGGGGGCCTGCATAAACAAAGCAACCAAAGCCTTTTCCGAGAAAAGATGTGCTCCCTCTTAGAACAAGCTCATCCTAGGCAATACACACGCAGTCTTCCAGTACGGACTCGGCTATCCATCTCCGTAGGCTTTTGACTGGCCTCGCTTGGCGTGGCTTGACAGCGGTGGGCGTTAGCACTGGCAGGGCGACCAGCTAGAGGACCTTCTGCCGCTTACATGCATGCGCCCAACACGCGCGCCGTTTGTAATATCTTTTGCGTCGGGGATCTGGCATTCTCTGCAATGCCCACGGTGGTGCGCCGCTAAACTGAAACTTCCTGCCCACTGGCTGGCCCGATCCCCCCGGAGGTCGCCAGCGACGCCGTCGGCTTGAGCACAATGGAGGATACGCCGTCGAAGGATACACTGTCGGAACTGTACCCACAGTGCGTGTCGCTTAGGAAGGAACTGGATTCCCTTCTCCGGACAATATCGTCCCCGCTAACTCTTCAGGCACCGGTACACCAAGGATGCCGATCATATGGTGCACCATCAGGCCGGGAAAACGCAGCAAAGGGCGCAGGAGGACCTTTTGGTGCCTGGGATGGGCGAGTGATTGGGAGCTGTAGCGTGGCCAAGCTGCAGCGGTTCTCAGCCCTCACGCGCCAGTTTTGCATGCTTGTCCTCCGTCTGCAAGATGCGCTCGCGTCTTCCAAGTCCGGTGGACTGTCACGAAATATGTACTCAATGTGGGAGAGACGGATTCAAGACATGGTGGCAGATGCTGAGAGCTTCAGGAGAGAAGCAGAGGGCCGCATGAACCTGGAACAACAGCGGGTCCAGGAGGCGATGCGCGACCGGAAAGCACTACTTGGTGATGCTGACAGCAGTAAGAGGTGGGGGGACGTGCGCAACGCCGAGCTTATGTACGCTAGGGAAAGGGACCGCCTACAGGAATCTCGCACAGTGCTGGACTCGGTGTTATCTCAAGGTTGGGGGGTTGTTGGGCAGCTCGTCTCTCAGAACGCTTCACTCAAAAGCGCGCGGCGAAAGGTGCTTGATATGGCCAGTAGTGCGGGCGTTGCTTCCACCTTACTGGGAGCAGTTGGGCGAAGGCAGCAAGGAGACAAATGGCTAGTGTATGGTGGAATGGTTCTAACCCTCGTCTTTTTTTTCGTAGTGTACAGACTAGTCCACCATGGCAGCATATTCGGCTCTGCCAGCATGGCTGAAGCGGAGAATGAGGCTACTTTTAGTTAATTTACTCACGCTTATTAGGGGTCACCTCACTCTTCTTTTGTTCTGTGGCTGTACAGCTCAGCAAGCAACTGGAAACTTGCATTTATGCATGTGCAACCCTTAGACGAACTTCCTATGTACAAGTGCATCATTTGCCTGGCGGCTCCGGGCATCTTCGATTTATTTTAGCGTAAGGCGCTGAGGCGTGCTCTAGACGTACCGCGGCGCCTCCACAGGTATGCACGGCACCCTAGCGAGTGTAGAAGCTCTTCCGAAAACTCCCTGAAAAACGTGCTCAGAGGCAAGCGTTGAATAGAATGTATAGCTCTTGCGGGAAGGTCAATTTTTAGACGTTTTGAAGGTGGGTAGGTTGCGGCATTGTTGGAAGCGTAGTTTAATTGCTATGCCGCGTGACTTCACATTTGACTGGTCGCTTGTTATGGTGTAACGTCATCGCCCACTGATATTCTCCGTGCGCACAGCAGCTTGAGGATAGAAGACGTTGAAAAGCTATGTAGTAGTATGATAGGTCAAATGTATGATTGACAACACCAGAAGAGCGGAAGTACCTCTACAGATTATTGGCCGCCCAACCGTCGGGGGTACACAGCCCATTTGTTTAGTCAGATGAGGTGAGGGGCCAAAAAGTAAGGCAGTAATGCACAGATTCTAAAATGCACGGTTCCTTGGCTGCCTAGGAGGAGCCGCACGCTGTGCGTCGGTTATTGTTGTTGGCTTGGGAGGCAAGCGCAAGTAAAGTTTCCGTCATAAGTACGGCGTGATGTTATTTTTCTCACTGGGATAGGCAAGCACACTCTGAGGTTTAGGTAGCTTCTTGTGCTGATGAAGTGCTATAGTGCCATTCGGTGATGAGCGTCTAGCGTTTGAAGCCTTTGCCGTCGACACTGTGTTTATTTCCACGGCTTTTTCATAACAGGTGGAATTTAAAGATAAGATTAAAACTGTGCGCATTCTGTTTCGTTTCTCCTCCGAGGTAAAAGGCATCCCCGAACAACGACGTTGAACACCTGAGGATTGCTCGTAAAGTGTACGCGGAGTAGGAAAGCATGGGAACTACGCTGTTGGAGAGGAAGCAATAGTGCAAATATTCTCTGGAATATACTATATGACTTCTAAAATCGTTGAAACGCAGTATTTTTTCCTGTTAGGCGCTCCTCCAGTTTCCACTGCATCCAGGACGGTCGCGACTTCTTTTGGAAAGGAATGGAATAAGCCGATTAGATGCACGAAACGATAGGCACCCATAAAAGCCACGAAATTACGATGGTATGAAGCATTGAGAGCTACAATACTTTGTGAAATGCGGATTGGGCTACAGACATCTGGAAGTCGTCAGCAGTGGTTGGCATGTTGTACAGGACGGTGACCCCACAGTTGCTCCTTGCCGAATGCGCATGCATGTTTCAGTGTTTAATTCATTTTGAAACGCTCATGTACCGCGGCAAATGGGTTTTATGCCGTGTGTTGTGGCGAAATCCCCCCATGCTTACCGAATTTTTCATCGTAATCTCCTGTAGCCAGTCCTGCGGTGGACTGGATGGAAAACTTAGCGTTTCCCCGTCGACGAATTTTTGAACCGAAAGCTTAGCAACCAAGTGACTTTAGAAATGGTCAGGGCTTTCAAAAAAAGCGTCCGCAGGCAAATTCTGCTACGAATGGCCCCCCGCTTCTGGTCCTTTGCGCTCTGCCTTGCTGTTCTTGCAGAGTATCCACCTTGCGCGGCCTTACGCGATGATTCTCAGATAACCGCTTCAAATGAAGAACAGAAAAATGGAGGTAGTGTCTTTCCTGCCACCAGAGAAGGCGTCGAGGACCCTTTTCCGGAGCACGTTGACATGCCCAGGAGATCCAGTGGCCCTCTGCGCCACGTATCTGCAGGTCCTGGAAGAGCCCGTGGCAGCATTGTCCATCCTGGAGACGAATACAAGCAACACATAGAAGAAAATTCCTCTGAGACTGCTGTTGTGTCCCCTGAAAAGCTTCCAGCTTGGAGGAGGAGCCTCCGCAACGGCGAATCTTCAGTTTTGCCGAGCAGGACTCGCGCGCTATCGCAAACTGAGAGTGGTGAACACAACGGGGGTGGCTCTCCACTACTGCATGAAAATGAAGACGAATGGGAGGCGGGAGACAGTTTGTCATCGGAGGCCTCTTCTTTCCGATCAGGAAGGCTGGAATTTTCACGGGAGGCTCCCTTGAGCACGTCGCTTGACAGCGAGCCCGAAGAGGGCATCAGTGCGTATCCAGATGAGACACAGAAACGCGAAATCTCGTCTGTGGATGCAAGTGCTGATACGCGGATAGTTTTTGAAATGAGACGCGGAAACAAAGGTCTGGGCGGCAGCATATCTATCCCGTCGCCCCTGGCTCACAGCTTGCTGTATCGAACGAGGGATATAGCAAATCCCCTTAACTTTGCCAACTTCCTTGCAGAGGGCCAAGAATGGCTCATTCCAGGTACAGGGAGCCTGTGGGAGGGCCTTGGACGCCATGTGGATTCACTTTTTTCGGGGCTGTTCTTGAAGACAGCCAGCATTTTACCAAACTATAAGCGCAACGTGATTATTTGCTATAAAGAGTACAAGCCTTCAATGTGGATTGAAATGTTCGGCCAAAGAAATCAATTTCTTAGGCAATTGGCCTCGCTTTTTCAAGGCACGCATCGCATGCAATCTGTTTATCTTCGAAATCTCGGGATGGAGATATTTGAAGTGCCTCCTTTGTGGCGAGTTCGTGAATTCATTGCCACGGTTCTGAAGCTGGATAATTACGTGAGCCACGTATACACAGACCACCTGGTAAGTGACTTCGACGACGAAGTTCAAGTGCCTCTTCCGGATGATTCATCCCAAGAAGAAATAGCTTCAAAGCCTTTCGATCATCGTCAACGTGATACCAGAAATGCAACTAATGGTGGGCATACAGCGCGCCAATATAAGGCACCGAACCGCCGGTTGGAAGTTATGACGAATGACCCCTTTACTTGGCAGCAATGGGCTATTGTAGACAGCGGTCCTACCAGATGGGGAATCGAAGCCCCCAACGCGTGGGAGGTCTGGACAGGTAACGGCACCAATATGAAAAGCTTTAGCCGTCCGAGAGACGATGGGTATCACATATGCTTTGCCCATTCATATGCATGGTAGCTAGCAGCCTGGATAGATTCGTTTGCTTTGTTTTGCATGCGTGGGATTCGTCTTAGGCCAGGGGCTGAAGCCGCGATTCACAGTTGCCGTGATAGACAGCGGTGTCGACTACGAGCACCCAGACTTACAGAATCAGATATGGCGGAACCCAGATGAAATATGTGGAAACGGCATAGACGATGACTTTAATGGGTTTGTGGATGACTGCATAGGCTGGGTATGCTGGATTATCTTACTTCAATGGGGCTTCCCAATTTAGTGTGGATGGAGAAAGAGGCTAAGTAGATCCTTGCAGTGCTTCATCATCCAGTCGAACTGGACAATCGCTTACCTCTCGCTTGCGTTCTTTCAGGATTTTGTAAAGGGGACCAACTTACCTATGGATGATAACGGTCACGGCACCGCTTCCGCAGGAATCATCGCCGCTGAGCCAAATAACGGAATAGGGCTCACTGGGGTTTGTTGGGGCTGTGATATCTTGGTACTAAAAGCACTAAATGAGGACATAAAGGGAACCATAAGTGCATTTGCCAGATCACTGGACTATGCTATTGGAAAGGGAATTATGCTGTCAAACAACAGCTATGGGGGAAGAGGCAGCGGATTTAGAGGGCTTCAAGAGGCTGTACAACGAGCCCGGCAGGCAGGAATGATTGTTGTCGCCGCTGCAGGGAACTACAACGGCAATAACGATAACGACAAGTGAAGCAATGCGCATTTTTTCACAAGATTAATGCTCATATCAGCAATAGCTGAACAACTCTGGACGGGACCTATGAATTCAAGATTACGTCTTCAAGTGCCGCATCCAAACTTCGGCGTTGTTTCCTGTGGTGATGCTTTGCGCAGGCAGCCCGTTTTCCCGGCATCGTATGATCTAGACAACGTTGTCTCCGTTGCAGCCATTAGCCGCAATGGCCAGCTTGCACCATTCAGTAGCTATGGAAAAAGGCAAGTTGACGTCGCTGCTCCAGGGGCTAATATAATGACGACTTCGGCCAGAAGAACCTACAGATCTGTCAGTGGCACAAGCTTTGCTGTCCCTATGGTGACGGGCACCATTGCTCTCCTGTGGACACGCCGCCCGCAGTTGAATTACCGCCAAGTCATCCACCGTTTACTTCGAAGCGTGAAAAAGAATCCTCACCTTGAAGGTGGGTGACTGACGGCATCCCACGTGAAACATCCTAAACTGCTGAGAAGACCTTTTCCCTTTCTAAATTTGATTTGAAGCTGTGAAAGCCGGAGCAAGCTTGAGTGACACTATAAAAGACGGCGGGTGGTTCCTGTTTTTGCTTACTTTGCGTGTTCTTATTGCCCAGTTCCCACATGCATTTGCTTTTCTTTTTGCTTATTGCATTCCAGGAATGATTGCAACAGGAGGAACTGTTGACGCCTGGAACACCCTAGCAAAAGAAGACATACTAGACCCGTATGCCGCCCTTCCCGTTCTTCCCATGACATGTGCTTCAGCTTCGTGCAGTCAATACGCGACCTGTTCAGATGCTCAAGGAACAGCGAAGTGTGTGTGCAATCGTGGATTCGAAGGAGATGGAAAAGTGTGCAAGGATATCGACGAATGTATTTTTAGTCCATGTGGGCCTGCATCCGTGTGCGTTAACACAGTCGGCAGCTATCAGTGCAAGTGCCGAAAAGGATTCCAGCAGACTCAGGAAGCGTGCATAGATATCGACGAGTGCAGCCTTGGATCGCAAAATTTAATCCCGCTACCCTGTCCACTGCAAGCGCAATGCTACAATTTCAGCGGAACCTTTGATTGTATCTGCCCAAGGGGAACCGCATGGAATGGGATCTCTGGACCTGCCGCACAGTGTCTCAGAATAAGTGAGGTGTTGCAAAGAGAAACGGCATTGAAAACATAACAAGAACACAGACCACTCTCCTAACCTCTTCAGATTTGTACGGACAGTATCTACTCTTCCGGTAATCTGGGGTTGGCTTGCTTTCTGGGTAGTTTTGCACAAGGCTCCGTAGTAAACTGGGGGATGTGCGTGTACAAGTATCATGTCAGATTCCAGGGTGATATGCTGCTTTATTTTCAGATTCCCCAAATCGGGGGCCTTGTACCCATAACGGGGGCTGTGGAGCTAATTCCCTGTGCCAAGCTCTTTTTACTCCACAGCCGACGCGAAAATGCAATTGTGTCAATGGATTCAAGCCCTTGCGCTTGGGTAACCGGGAGATCACAGTCGCCATGGCAAATTCCCAGATGAGCTCATTCGACAACACAGTGTGTATTCGTGAAGACATCTTACCAGAAGAACAGGCCTACTACATCATAACTATGCACAGAGAACGGCTTCAGCACAGACGGATGTCGCTCTCAACACAAACTGCAGCAGGGCACGATACACCGACAAATGTGCAGACTACAACACAGTATTCCGAGCCCCCTCGCATGGGATTTTCTATCCAGCAGAACCTCAACCACGCGCCTGCAGCGAACATCCCAACTCATTCTACAGCCGGACTGTTGAAGAAGGCGTGGGATTCAGGTGCTACTGCCCCGGTTCAGGGTCTGCCACTTTCCCCCCAAGCAAGCATGCCACATATGGTCTCTGCTCCCACAGACTTCCATACATCAGTTTCCAACCACGCACCAGCTTTGCAAAAGCAACCGATGGTGCCATTGACAAGAAGCTCCTGCTTGCTTGGGGTTTGCTTCCGGTAGTGGATTTGGGAGAAGAGCAGCAAACAGCAATCATCGTACCACTAAGCCACCCGTTAAAGCCACCATGTGTGCTGAAGCCAAGATTAGATAGAACTGGATCCGGACGGGCGGGCTAGGAAGCGTCTTTGAGGCTGCCCATTCACCCCAACCCCAGAGTTGCCAAGCGCAAAGGAGCCTTTGCAGCTCTTCTCCAAGGTACATTCAACTCCGAGAGGAAAAACCACTCCAGCATCACGGTGGCCTTCCTCTTCTAGGACGCATAACATCCTCCACGCCACTGGGCGAGTAGCTGGGAAATCACCAGTGCTTTCTACCCACTCCCCTCAAGTACGAACAAATATCGCATGAACCTCTAGTATGCCACGTAGCTCGCAAGAAACTTGATCAGCTCTTGCTTTTTAAGTGAAACAACACCGCCTGTGCGGCAGTCACGACACAGGGTTGCCAGGCTTTCGTCCCACAGTACTGCCGAGCCACTATGACTTTTTCCATCAACAAGCCTACGATTGGGTATGTTATGCTCAATTTTGCAAGTTTCAAAACCACAATTAATTCTGTTTCGGAAGGAGCACCTCTCAGTAGCTCAACGAATGCCCCCTTGGCGCAGTTGCGCCTCTAGCGGGAGCCTTCTGCGCTGTACAGGAAGATAGGGTGCCTAATCTTACTCGCCGCCTTCAGTTTTATCACTCGGTAGACGAAATAAAGGGGGAGCGTAGCAGCCCGCGAAGGATGCCGGTGGCGTCTCCACAGCAACTGTGGACGGGCACCCTGTGAGACACCGACAGCAACTGCTCCGCGGCATCTGCAACTCTATACAACAGCATATTTTTTTGGAGGCTAACTATAACTGTTTACGACCCTTTCGTCCCACCCACAAGGGGATTGGCAATCCTCGCCTTCGAGGCATTTGGGGGTCACCGTGGAACTGCTTCTTCCCGGACTCTGGGCCGTTGGGAAAGCGTGAGAAACTGGAAACGTCGGTCTAAAGAGGTGTAATTACAGGAGTTATTTGTATGAAGGGAACTCTAGTAGAAGTCTTGCTCACGATATCAACGCAGTTTCCTCACTACGTGCAGGGACTGAAGGTATGCTAACGCGCTCGAGCCGTAGCTGGACCTTCGCAGGACTTCATCCCCCGGGGCGCATCCTCGGCAAAACAGAGGACAAGAAAACTGCAGATATTATCAGCGAGTCTTATGCTTGTTTCTGCAGTATCCGTTGCGGGCGGCCACACGCTTCCCAGAATTGCAAATGGATGCTTGGAATGACGATCAGTGACAATACGCTGTTGACTAGCGAAGGCAAAGTGTTTCCTGTGCTTTGCCTGAAAATTTTTGTTCCACCTAGCAGTTGAAGGGAAGATGCCTGGGGTACGTGTGCAGCGCCTTATGCGGCTTATCGACGAGTCGCGCCCGTTCCAGCACGGATCGGATTGTCATGCATCCGCACGGAAGCTGGAAATGGCATATCATGAGATATGCCTGTTGGCAGAAACATCTCTAATGGACCTCAACGCTGGTAACCGTTCATGAAGCAGCAAGCGAAGCAGGCATTTTCCTCCCTACATTTGGCAACGCAGTGTTAGTTTTGGACACGCCACCAAATTGATGGGTGGCATGCTCGGAGCTTTGTTGGCTTAAGTTCTAGTCTGTGCAAGGCAGGAATTCCCACTATTGTGGCATGGTGGATGTGTGCCGTCCTTCCTTTCTACCAGACATGATTCTTACCTTTTGCATGCAAGCTTGCGCGCACGGCGACGAGGAGAAAGCAAGTCACGTCTTCCAGGTTGGCCGCTGAGCAGAGAAAATCGTCTGGCAAGCATATTTGACCTTCAGTTGGCTGCTCGCTTCAGCATGCCCTAGAATGGAGCGTTGCTCCACAATGTAGAGCTCCACTCGCGTATTGTTTGCACTGCCGACAGCTCTTCGACCAAGTTGGAATTCGATCCCCGCGCACAAAAGCATATGGGCTTCTCTTACGGTAGGCTGGGCTTGAAAACTCTGCATTATGCATGCGCGGGCTGCATGTATTTGCTTACGAACAGAAAGGAGTCGATACAGCGTATATATCGCATTTGGTCAAGCACGACTCTACGGCTATTCGTGCATCTGCGACCATTCGTGAGTTACCACTCTTTGCTCTGCAGGGCTTACTTGGAGACCAAGCAAGCTCAACCGGCAGCTGTGAAAGGGATGGTGACTGTAGATCAACACGTAGAGGCGTTTAATTTTGTTGAAAAGGCTCTTGCTATCCTGGAAGAAGTGACGCAGTCAGTCCCGTGTTGAGACTAATTAAGTTCCTCCAAACTTTCATTCTACTGTGATCGTAGAATAAACCTGCAACTGATGTGTCATTGCTGAACTTCGCCATTATGGGGCTGGCGACCATATTTCCTTTGCGACAGAGCAGTATGATGCTCATATATCTCGCGTGCGTTTTACGTGCTATTAAGGAGCTTATGTTCCTCATTTTACTCTCCTTTGGTACCAGAGTGGAAAATTTTACCCAGCATGCCGTTAAAGTTATTCTAGTACTCCTACGGCCATTCGCAAGACCGCTTTGGGCTCGCTATTTTTGTAACAGCTTGGAAAGGATCCTACCTTTTCTGCAGTACGCGGCTTACCGCCCCCCAGTAGATAACTAATGACGAACTCCAGGCCAGTGCATGAGCCGAGCTAAGATCACATTAAGTGGCATGCTTTGTAAGCCCTTTCAACTATTGTGGAAATGCTGTTGCAGACTTCAAGACTCGCGTGTCATATCGAAAGGCTTAGGAAGAGCCGGCAGAGGTGGCCTGGCAACGGCTCCGCCAGCGCATGGAGGCCTAGGCCAAGGAACTGCCTGTAGACCAACAACTACGGCTGAGTTGAGACTTATCGTATCTTTTCTCCTTCATGCTGCGTTTTGTTTCGAAGATGGAGGCAGACGCGCAAGAGCTCAAAAGGTCAAGCGACGAGAAATCCTGTTGCAGTCTGTACCTGTATCTGCAAGCAGTATCAATGCACAGTACATCTGGACTACGTCCTTCTGAGTAACTGGACTTTCAAAAAGCCGAGCGCAGCGCGAGAGGCGAATGAGTGAAGCTGTGATGAGCGCTTTAGGCCATTGAGGACGCGATGCAACTGTGTGCTGAGGCCAACGCCGCCCACGGGCACGCATCGCAGTGGCTTAAGCACCACTACATTTTGCAACGCAAGCTAGCCATGTAAGTCATTGACCAAGAGTTCTTTTTCGCAACTATTTCTAGCGGCTATAGGCCTCCTAACCAGGCTATGGGAGCTTCTGAAGTTCGGCAACACCACTTTAAAACAATTTGTCGTGAGGAAAATCGGAAGCAGCAAATGTTTCTTTGATGTTCAAGGATTCGTGGTGGGTTGGGAGGAAGGCAAGATGCAAGTGGACCAATCTCAACCAAGGCGGAATTCCCCTGTTGGGCAAGCGCAGTGGAAACAGCTATATCAATCGGCAGACTTGCTGCGAAAGCTGTTGGGTCATCTGGGTCGCAAAGGGAGAATGCCGCAGGCCATAAAATGGAATCTGTGTGCAATGAGCTTTTGAAAGCATGGACAATTTTGGATCCGCAGTTGCCACCGGTTGTCCGGAACGCACTTATTGCCAGGGGAACAGCAGAAGAGGTTGATAACCAGATTTACCACTTACAAAAGTCCGTTGAGATTCCTCGAAATGCTGGGGAGAACGAACACTTTGCAGGCTATTTATTAGTAAAAGCAGCCCTGGGACAAAGACTTTTTCCTCTTGCTAGAGCCATGACGAAACGTTTGGAAAGGTAAGGCTGTTCCGATCATATGTTTACCGCAGATATATAGGTGGGAAGTTATTGCACAATTGGACATGGCTTCTCTCTCTTTATTCAACTTGCTCCTCTTCTAGGTGGCAAACTGGAACTACGAGCGCCGCTGTGCTACAAAGGATGTTGGAGACCGAGACAGAGTTGCGTCTGCGTGAATTTCTTTGTGAGCTCCGTCATCAGGAAGGTACAAGCTTTGCTCCTCCCACCGACCTTTCTCTGCTGTCTGTATCGGCTCGCGAGCCAAGCCCCATACGGGATCTCAGAGTGCAGGCGGTCCGCCGTCTGGACGAATGCCTTACTGCAATGGCTCATCTTAGTGAGAATGGAGATCTGGTGGAAATTTGCGTTGCTACCTTGTGGAATATAGCAAGGCCTTGCCTAGGTCCAGAAACTCGGCGCCATATCTACAGAAATATGCAGAAGGTCAGCACAGAAGACTGGCATATGGCATTAGAAAAAATTTCTCCACCCTAAAGTTTCCGGTTTAGGGATGCTCCGAATGGCCCATATGCATTTCGTGTAGGCGAGCAATGCCCTGGACCGCTGTCAGTCAAGCCAGATGTCACTTCGAGTGCACCTTTTCCATCAACTGGCGCAATGCGAGGTGGAAGAAGAACTGTTTAAGGCAGCACAGGCAACTATTAGCAGGGCGCTAAAGATCGAACGTAGTTGTTGCCGTGCTGCCTGCAACAAAAATGAGCTTGCATTAACCAGCCAGCCCCTTACTAGCGCTTCAGACAACCCAGTATTGTCAACTACGTGTACTGTTGAGGTCGAACCGAGCCTGACGCAATTGACAGATTCGCGGCCACTGCGTTTATCTTTAGAGCGAATGGCCCAGGCAGTTAGTAAAATGATTTTGGCAGTGGGAAACTTCAGTCCTGTGGAGCAAATCCAGAACATAGCGTTCCGTGACCGGCACGATCATCCAATTGGAAAGATAATTGACATCGCCGAAGACCTTCGTAGACGAGCATTCCATATATTGGCCGATGAAGAGAGCAAAATCTGTAACCGTCAGCTACGAGTGGAGCCACACGGCACAACAAAGCGAGCTGTTGGCTCAGCACAACAGAGTAGGGCTTCAGCTCATCCGAGGCGAATGCTTTCCTTGAGAGGAGAAAGCACGATAAAGAAGATAATAGCATCATACGGTCATCTAGTTAGCCGCGCCCAAGAACTTGGAGATGATCGAGCCACGGCGAGGGCTGCAGCTGCGATTCTTTCCATGATCCATGGAACTGAGAAGTGCTTGGATGCAGCTACCCTCAATTTTGAATCACCAGAGACGACGCCTCCAGTTGACTTGCGCGTACGACTGAGGCCCCCGCTTGAAACTGAGGTGGCGGTGCACGTCACCGAGGCTGCATACGCACTGGTATGTATCTTTCGCATAGACGAATGTAGCGCAACAGAGCTGTAGTGTTTGGATACCTTCATGGCAGTCATTGTTATATGACTTTTCCCCGCAGGCGCTATGCTGCAGCAAGTTGAAAACGTCTGGCTCCTCCGGGAATGCCGAAGTTAGTACTGTGGGAATAGCCACTGATGACAGTGATCGTCTTCTAGAAGAGCAGCCCTTGCTTTCAAAGGAAAGCGGCAGTGGTTCAACTACCAAGTCTTGCGACAATGCATTATCGGAGGAACAACGAATCCACAATCTACTTTTGTTTGGTGCGAGGCTTAGGTATGTGCATATCGACGTATAGTAGGTCGATTCCAGCGGGCAGGCCGCGCCAAGAAAAGCAAAGTTTCTGGTGGCTCTTGAAGGAACAACTCCATGCGGCCTGCTGCCAGTTCATCTGAGATGACTGCGATGCTCTGTCTCGGTGTGTTGCCTGCAGCGATGCCTTTGGGCAAGCATGGCTCGTCTTCAATGCAGCCGTTCACACATGGAATATATACAGATGTTTGCTTTTTAACGGTCCGACGAGAGTGCCGGAGATCAGTAGACTGCTTCCAGTTCTGAAAGAACTTTTTCAGCGGCTTTTGGAGCAACCGCCAAATACCTGCGACGTTGTCGTACACACTTTCACCGAATTTTGTTCCCGCTCTGCTCTTGTAAGAACATCAACTTTACCCTGCACTTCCTAACCCACTGGTACCTTTCTTAAGCATGTCGTTGGTGTAATGTGTTAGTGGCCAATTGCCAGGCACTTCAAGACTTTGGACTGGTTCAAGAGTTTTGTTCAAAGGTTCCACTCTGGAACATCTCGAGCAGGCGCAAGATTTTCGGCGCATTGCTTCAAGATGTCATGCTCCAAGAAACACCACAGCCTGTTCTTTCACGGCTATTGAAGACGTCTTCCAGTTCGTTGCAAGATACTGCCGGCGGATTGGACAAATCATCAAAGGCAAAACAGGCAAAGGTGCAGACTGCAGGAGGGGCTGAAAATGCATCAATGCTCAAACTAACTCCAGACATTTTGGTGCTCCTCCAAATCGAGGTAAAGACACCATTATGCCCACTACGAGCAAACAGGTTCCGTTTGCTTCTGTTTGATTCACCCTGCGGTTGCGAGTCAACTGCTTGCCACAGAGGAAAGTTGTTTGTATGTACGCTGCATGCATATTATATGCTGTTAGTTCCTATTCAGAGGGCGATATTAGAAAGGGAAGCCTCAACGAGAGAGCATTTACTATTGCAGTGTGGCGATATGCTGTGGTCTGCCACCACTGCCGTGGCTGCATCCGTTTCTGCGGAGCTAGCGGGGCCGGTTGAATTGCTGAGGACAGAATTGTGGACTCGACTTGCTGCTGCATCCCTCTCTGTAAACTGCCAAACCATCCAAGGACTATCAGTAGCTTACGCGTTCCAAGCGCTTGGTGAAAAGTGCTCTGTAGTCCCGTACAAAATTTCTTCCAATGTGAAGCATAAACTGCAACTCTGGAGGGGCGTGGCGCATGTTGTGGCCGGACTAGCGCTTCTTGCTACAGACTTTACAGTGTGAGCAACAGCAGGTGCATACCAGTTTGGCTTTCTACATTCCAAAGGGTAACGCGCGTATGATCCAATCCAGCTGAACAGGACGTGGAGTGTTTGTGTTGATAGGGCCGGGAACATGTGGGCAATACGCCACCTATTGCAGGCCTGTGAGTACGGGAAGGAAGCTAATTGTGTGCCACTACTTCTTTTTGCTGCAAAGGCACTGTGGAACGCGGCTGCACCAGTAATGGGAGATGAGACTAATGGGGAACAAGCGTCATTGGCAGTGAAAGCCGCTTTGTACACGATCCCCACTAGTTATCGCCCTGCGGCTACCGCTCTGATAACTCGCATGTGTATGGGACTCCTTTGGTTCCTACCTTGCGCCAGGAAGTGGGATGAACTCTTCCGAACGGCCGAAGGCGCAATGGTACTTGTTCCCAAAGTGCTGCACACTCCCCTGATGAAATTGCAGATCCTCGCTCTGATCCGTACAGAAACGCCTAATTTGTTCCCCACAGTGTGCAACCTAGCCAGAAGTGAACCTTCTAGCGAAGCGGACTTGTTGCTGTGTTTCGCTCGGCTTGCTCAAAAAACTCCTGGCCTTACATCCATGGTAATGGATGCTTACGAGGGGGCGCTCACTTTATTTGAGATTGATAAGGACCCGCATGGGATTGTTGTTCACTTGGAAGTTGCGGAGTGGCTCCTTAGCATGCGTCGCCCCTGGGCGAAGGCCAGTTCACATATTCGTGCTGCGTTGGACCTGCTTAAAAATGCTGAATGCCAACAAAAGGTGAGCAGCCCAAAGCCCAAAGAGGGGCCAAACCAAGTCCTGCACACACTGATGAGGTGCGTCGCGATGCTTTTGCAAACTCTTAAGCCTGCTCTCAGCTGTGTCCGAGGTCTGTGCAGTGCCGACTACCATGGGACTACTCAGGGGCAGACAACGACGCTCAACCGAATTCAGCAGCTTGCTCGACCGGTTTCATGAGTCTCGGTTGCGCTCTAATCAGACTCGACCATTTATTTCTACTGCAAGCGCAGGCACTCAAGCTATTTTATTCTCCAGATACATCAGAGACTGCAGATGCAATGCGACAAATAATCAGTCTGTCTTCTCAAATGCTTGACGCGTCCACGGAGACTCCCTCGGAAAAGGCAAGCGAGAACGATAGGGAAATTGCGGAGAGGGAAACTAGTAGCGCCGAATCTTCTGGAGAACACACAGAGGTGAGTCGCACCCCTAGGGCGAACATTGCTCCGTATTCCAAATGTCTCGTCTGCGTCGCGGCGTTGCCAGGGGTTTGGAGAACACCATGGTTACGGTGACCTCAGCAATCGTGAAATGAGTTGCGCTCCACTAGGCCCTTCCTCGACGGAAACAGATTTTCATGCGCCTATGGGCCTTTGCTATTGCTGCAGGCGGCTCGACAAATTGATCCTTGGGCGTCAGCCAATCTATACGAGCCGGTTCGCTTCGTGCATTTTGGTTCAAGGGGCAGATGCTTAGCTTCTCCAGAAAGCGCATGCGTCGACAACCCTAAAAGGGGGATATTTGGGGATAAAGGAGGCCTAGGATCACTTCTGTCATCACGAATGCACAGGAATGCTGGGTCGATCCGGGAAATCTTGCTGTGGTCCACCAGTCTCACATTAGCATTCCGCCTCTTGAATACAATAGAAGCCCACTTATTTGAGCTTGGACTAGAAACCTGGGCCCTACGGCTGACTAAATTACGTGCAAAAGTTACAGAGGCATTCCTTTTGCTTTCATTTCAGTCAAATGCCTCAACCTCTACTGTTGGCTGGTCTGAGAGCATGCATCCAGCTGTGTCGCTTCTCGAAGCATCGTTTAACATACAAATCTTCAGAGCTGCAGTCGCGTGTCGTTTTCTAGATGAAGCGCAGAAATTGCAACCCTTTTTCTCACCGTCGTCCCTTCGTGAGTGGGTAGCAGCCCTTGGTCCAGCAACTAAAGCAGGAGAAGGGTTTTCAACAGCTGTGGGGAGGCAAGCTTGCTGCTTCTCGGTCGTGACTCTCCATCGTACGTGTTGCCTCATTTCCATTGGGGAGTTGTTGGTCACCTTAGGAGAACAGTGCTTGCTGATTGGGGAAGTTGGCATAAGCTCCCTGCTGGGCTGTGCTGCCTCATTCTACTTACCAAGTCCGCATTTTTTGAAAGATTGCAGTCCCAGCCTACAGGCCCGGCAGATAGCCCTTCTTGCGACCTCCCGCTGCCGCCAAGGCGATGTTGATGGTTCGCTACAGCTGCTCGACACAATTATGAACTGGCCAAATTTTCCCCAACTTGAGCTTCCAGTAGGCCTCGTCGTTGTTGAAGCTCTGTGGGTACGTTGCATGTGGTCGATAAGCCTTGTTTACAAAGTTGCTGAATGCATGATGCGCACCCAGTTAACGTCGTGACAACGAACTCAAGATGAGCTGCACAAATTGGGCAACACGTCCGATAATCTTCCGTAGTTCAGCAATGGCATTGGATGCTTCAAGGCAAGGTTGCGCTCTATATTCTTACGCAGAAAATACATGCTGCCAAAGGAACTATTTCAAAGGCCATTCCTGTAATGAAGCAAATTGAAGCAACCCTGAGCGAGTTCGCCTGCGCTACAGCAACTGGTATTAGTTTTGAGAAAAACAACGCCAACATATCCCGTACTTCGTCTGCACACTCGGGGTCTCAGCAAGCGCCCAATTCTAGTGTGACCCGAAGCGAAAAGGGCGGTAAAACAAGTACCTGTTCAAATCGAGTACACCAATCTCGATGCGGCAGAGGAGCTGCTACAGCGGAGGTCCCTCAGTGGCCATTAGGTCTCACAGTGTGGAAGCACCGTCTTAAGGGGCTAGAAGCGGACTATTTCTTTTCATTGCACTGCCTTGGTTGGACGGCAGAAGGAGGTAGCTTGCACATTCACTGGAAGCGGACGTTCCTTGAGGCTATGAATCTGCTGTCCAGTTTGCTCGACCGAACTGAAGAACTCGGTTTTCCACTAAAGCCTCTAAGAGTTTGTGCCTCCAGTTGTCTTCGTGGAGCTCGTTTCCTAATGGCAGCGATGAGATTTCTTTGGACAGATGGAAGGAACTATATACCTTTTCACTGGGAAAGGCGTCAAAATCCCCCTGTCTCCCCCCATCCCGATGGTTCACCACTTGTGACCCCAGCAGACCTACAGGAATGCTGCGAAGCGCTTCACAGAGTTCTTGCCGTAAGCCGTTTCAGGCAACTCACAGCGTAGCTTTTTGGCCGCTTGCTGTGGAATCCACGGATTCACATCTTTAAGGGTTCCTCAGGTTCAGCGCTTTGAGCGGTGTTGCTTTCGGCGAATGCGCGTCGCAGGGACTTGATCTGGAAGCAAAGGCCATTCTGGACTTTGTTGCCCATGGCAACAAATACTATTTCACTCACCAATCTGCCCTAGCGTGGGCTGATATGATTGCCGTCGCCAGCGCCCAGGTGGTATCCTTCCGTCATCAACTTCAGCTAGCGACGCTGGAATTTTGGAGAGCCGATATGCATCACGTTCTTGACGGATCTCAGCAACTATGTGTGGGGACTAGCGGAGCTAGTTTCCCGTCGAAAGCTGCCCATTCCAGCCACGGAAAAGCTTCTACAGATGAAAAGCGCCGTGTGCTGCAACAGTGGCTGTATGAGAGCCAGTGCGAAGATGCACTATCGTCATCGCAGATGAAATCTCAGGAACGGTGTCTTGAAATGGCTGTCAAGGAACTTGAAGCCTTGCGAACTGTTGGCATTTGCCGTCGTCAGACTGACAAAAAGCATAACTGCGGCGAAACCTGGGGCAACTCCTTGCTTGACGTTCAGTGGGCATGCCAGTGTGCGATGTTGAGACATCAGCAGTTGTTTCTACAAGCACGCCAGAGAGTAATTGCACAGGGGAGAGAACTACACGATGTAAGGAAATGTTTTGACCTCTGTTTGACCATTGTTGAATGGAATGCATGCTTTAAGCCTTTCCGTACGACCCAACATTCACACCCGAGTAGAGTTCTGGTGTACCGGCCACAAATCACAGGCTGTCCGGCTTGTTGGCGTGTATTCAGCTGTGCCCCTGGGTCCAGGATCAAACAGAATCGCATGAAAACCGGGAACTTTGGATAGAAGACTTCCGAAGCGCTGTTGCTCTAGTATGCCGACACATCAGGAGCCGGCGTCGTCGCGATAGCATTCACTGGTTCTGCCTCAAAAACACTACAAATGCATGTGAGCATTGGTTACCTGAATCCTGTTCTAGAACATTTCAACTCGCGTACGATCGACTGGCTTCACCCTCTATCTTGCCTCAGGCGGACAAGACCCCAAAAGGGCAACAGCGGTCGTTGAATTATCTGGCATCTGTACTGGCGAGGGAACCTCGAGAAGGCCGCTATCATTGTATTGCAGCGCCTGAGCTAGAGCAAGCCTTCATGTCCTGCATTGTTAGTGGCCATTTCACTGAGGCCACACTCCTCGGTGAAGAGCTACTAAGCAGCGTTTTTGGGAACGGACACTTAGACCAGCTGGATCGAGGTTTCTCTACTATAGTCACTTTGCAGGCAGCACAAGTTGCTCAGGCTTCAAAACTGCTGCAGCTGCAATTTACGTGCCCATATATGGCCGAAAGCGTTGTCACAGAAGAGCTTCGGATTTTGGAAGAGTCCTGGAGAGAAGCAGGAGCCGTGCCTCAAACCCAAGCTATCAGAAGGTGGGTTTGCAGCGAAGCAGTCCCCATCAGCTTACAGCAGGCGTGCATCAGTTATTGCGGCAGCTATGAGTTCATAATTCAGGAAGTGTTCCTTTGGGAGAGCAATGCAAGCAACATGCCACAAAACGTGGCTAGGCTTGCGAAGCTTTGCGTGCTGACTCACCCTCCACACTGCGCTACAGGATGCTTGACTCTCGCATCGGCTTCATGCAGATGGCAACCCTTGCCGATTTAACACCTTCAACAATTCTAGATTCTTGGCTACCGCGTAACCTTTGCGTAGCTTGTCTCCACTGTGCAAGAGGTTTCGTCTTCTTTGCCGTGGCTTGCCCGCCGGCTCAGTCAGAGGGGTCTCTTGGTACATGGCGCTTCTTTTTGCAGCGGCGTGCACTCCCAGAGTGCTTGTTGCTCAAACCCGAGAATGCATCAGTAATGCAGGATACACGTGGAAACATTGATGCTCCCAAAACTACGTTTTCATCTTATCCTGACCAGGTTGATGCTATCGTGGAGGATCTCTTCGATGCACTGGATGCACAGTTGCTGTGTTGGTCCTTGGCAGCAATGCTTAACCAAGGGCAATCACCTACCCTCGGCGAGTCAAGAAGCCATCTGCTACTACTTCCAGACATTCGGTTGTCGCATTTCCCTTTTGAGCGTTTGCCAACCTTGAAGAGGCTCTTTGGGCACCGCGTAACGAGAGATTTCAGCTTGCACATGTTCGCCCGACGGATGCAACATCATGAGTCACTCTCTGTTGCATCACAGGCGAAAAAGACAGTGGCTGAAATGCATACTGGTTTTGCCCGGGAGTCATTGGTATTGCTGCCAGAGTCTACAGCGTATCCGAACCTTCAAAACATGGCAGAGAATCAGCATCCGCCTGGGACAGAAGAAGCTCAGTTGGACATGCCATTCGCTGACGGCGAACCTCCAACAGCTACAGACGTCGAATGCACTAACGGGTTACTACCTAATACAGTTATTCCACCTCTTCATACACCACAAAGCTCTTCCAACCGTGATTGGCGTCTTCCTGTCGTGGCGGAGCTAGCAGCATTCAAGAAGTCTGCATCTGCAGATGCAAGCCCTGCACTTCCGCCGTGCACCAGCTTTGTTCCCGAATTGCTTTGCTCTAAATCACCCCAGGTAGCCTGGATTCCGTCGCTGGAACAAATTGCGATAAATTGTGACGACCTGAATCGTGTGCTTGCTGGGATGAATTTGACGCATATTTCTCTACTTGGCCTGGTACCGATGAGACGAGTACAGCCACAACCCGAAAACGGTGCGCACGTCGGCCGCTGTTCAGAATATACCCTTTACTGTCACGAACAGAAAGTACTGGGACTTTCCAAGGAAATTGAGACTATTCTCATGCTCAGTGTCAGAGGTAAGCGCGCCGCCTTTTTCTTCGCTCAAGATCCAAGCTGGTTGGCAAGAAAGACGGCTTATATTACAATACTGACACTATTTGAATGCATCGTAAGGGGTGGCTCCTGCAGCTGCGCACAAGCACTTGCGCCTTTTCATTTCTTTAGGAGTGGGGACAATTGCTGCTGTTGATGAAGTTCTCACCGATCAGCAGAGGGTGGACCTAACAAAGAAGTTTCTAGCGGAGGTAGCCGGCGCTCAGACACAAATTTGTTCTGCTGTGTGAGTCGAACGAAAGCTAAGGCTTGCTCGCAGCCTCCGCATCTAGTCACTTGAAGACGTGGAAGCCGATGCAAGTTTTACAAGACAAAGTTGCCTCACACCCTGTTACAGTCTTTTCAGCCGCAACAGCCACGGAAGGCAGCTTTTCAATTTAGAAGAAGCTGGTAATCTGCAAAGTCGTCTTAATGCGCTGCGCAGGGATTCACTATCCACTTCATCCGTGGAAGGGGGGAAAGCGCGCTTCTGCACAAAACGGCAAGTACAACACAAAACTGAACAAGCGGAGCACGAGCGTTTCGCCCCTGCCGAGTTTCCGGAGTACAGGCTAGGAACTGAGGGTTCAGAAAAGGGAGGTCTGGCAAGAGGCATGCGCATCTATGGACTTCCGTGGATCGGTCGCTTAGCATCCCAGAAGAATGCTTCAAAAGCAGAGCTCCAAAAGGCCTCCTCACAACGGGGTCGAAAATAATTTAGGGATTCCCACCCTCCCCAGGGTTATGCTAACGTCTGAAACTGCCAACTTTGTAGAATGAGGACTCTTGACTGCACCATGAAGCTAACAGTTAGCTCGTCCATCTAGGCAAAATGCTGAATCGCATTTCTTGTCTTGGCTTTTGTTTCCTACTAAAGTAACAACGACCCTCTGGGAGTGTTCATGAGGCTTCGTTCTGTATAGAATGACCAGTGACAAGCACCAAAATAAAGCTGGTGGCAAAGTGTGGGGCTTTCATTCAACGATCCAAGGCCGTGGGGCATGACTAATCAGCAGACTGTCTCAACGACATACACTCAGCTTTGGCAAACTAGGTCCCGCTTGTAGCGCGAAAGGACCAGACAAAAACTTTATAGAGGGGCGCGGCACAGGCTCCCTCCAACTAAAGGATTGAGCTCTCGCTACCACTCACACCAGACTGAGGTCTAGTTATTATTGACGCTTGCATAAGTTGACTTATTAGCAGGCTCACCTCAAGGTCATCATTTTGGAAATAATCAGCACAAAGGGGTATCTAGTCACTTTTTTTCATGTGGTAGAAATTTCCGGGCGCAATCTTTGTCACTGTTTTGCTACTGTCTGGCCCTTGCTGGTATTAGGTATGATGTGCCAAGCATACTGCCAAGATTTGGCAGGACGATATGAGGCATATTCCTTCCTGTACTAGGAAATGATTCCTCCCTATTGCCGCTACAACACAGCACAAGCTCAAGTTTTCCTATGTGCCTGTGCGCAGCGAACTCTCGTGCTAGCAGATGACTCGGCGCACCGTATGTTGGAGGCTGATCAAAATACGGTGAGCCTCTTAATTTCTATTCTCCAAACGTCTTCATGTCTCCTTCAGTGCCGCTCAAGGCATATGTTTTGGGATATGCAGATATGCAGACGCCAGATGGTACGGACTTTGACGATGCTGACTGCTTGACACTGACAGATGCCTTGTTCTGTAGCCTTCTACCCATTTACGCTCAGTGCAGTCGTGGGAGAGTGCACTTGTACCATAGAGGCTGTGGGTGTGAAGACTGTTAGGGATGAGCGCTCCATGCAGAGCGCTCATCCCTAACAGTCTTTCCGCCTATCTTCACCTACCTCTCGAGGATACTGAAATGCTGAGTGCCGCATGGCAATACTGTACTTGCCGTGTGCAGAAGTATCCATTTCAGTTGTGTCAACCGATCCAGCATTGTGGCAGTGAACAGATGGACAATCTTGCACACCTGCTGAGGACCATCCAGAAATACAACCTTGCACCGGCTGATCCTCCAAAGCATTATTCCGTGAAATATTCATATGACCGGGGGGCCTCCCGTACGCTGTAGATACCTCGCCCAACCTCGAGCGCAGGGAGGTGTCTACATTGCGCTAGAGACTAGCGCACGTACTGAACCTCTGGACGCTTATCAGGCCATCGTGAGGGTGACTCGACTGTTGGTAAATTTGGGCGCAGCTGCACGCTCTACAGCGTTTTGAGGTGGGTAGTGAGTATAACCAGTCTAAAATACAAGCACATCATCCCTCTGTGCGCCTCTACTACGGCTTCTCAAGACGTTCAGCAAGTCGTTTCTTGCACTATATCCAACTACTCAGCTACAAAACTGCCTTGCAGAAGGCAGTTCCATGCGCCTCCATTATCTAAAAAAGATGCCTTGCACGGGTGGAGCGGCAGTTACGTGGGTGGGCCATCTTCTGCCTCGAATGACTGGCCCTCCTAAATCCCATCCTTTTGCAAGTCACATTACTGTATAAATTCGACAACGAGGTAGCCACGAAGAAGATGCCAACAGCGAGCAGAAATACAGCGGACGAGCAGCCGCGCTGCGATCACAACGTTCGTCTTTGCCGCTGTACACACAGCGCTACCACCTGCCCTGTACAAATTAGTGGCAAGTACTTGACATATTCACTCAGAAGCGCTCTTTGCGTTGTAAAAGTCCTTGGGTGCCCTTGAGGCCGCCACATGTTCTACGGTAGGCGAAAGCCCTCAAACGTCCACAGCCCTGTGGCTTCCGCTGGGGTCGCCACATCGCCAGAGCAGGCATGTCACATTTGCGTGTATTCCTCTATTATATTTGATTGCATCTTCACTTTGCCTTCAAGAGAGAAAATGGCATGTATGGGTTTCTCTGCTCGGTAGACCCGTCTGGGGGGCCCCATCCCTGGGCCCCCCCAAGCAGTTAAAGTCGTCTGAATTAGTGAATTTACCACTAGAGAGGACTGCTTCAGTGACCGGATAGATGGCACTGATATCTCACGACACGGAACAAGGGGCTAGAACTGGTTCGAAATGCCGGGGCTCCTTGGGTCTTGGGCTTGGCTGGGGATACTGAAGCACCAGCAACCGGGGCAAGCAAAACAGCAAATGTTCCTCCTTCTTCTGGTTCTCGTAGATTTATGCATTGACGTATCAGCGTCTGCTATCGTCTGCTTCTCTACTTCAAGTCATTCTGACCCCGCCTCCACCTCGTTTTCCGGCGGCGCCTCGGCTTGGCCCGTATTCAAAACGGCGTTTCTTGTGCCCTCCAATAGCACCAGAAGCGCACACAAAACAAGCGTTCCTTGCGTGCCTTTGCAGTTTCAGCGTGTTAGCCACCGGCAAATGGATAGCCAAGCAGCTGCTCGGCACGCGCTGCCAGAAGGACTGGTCAAAGGCGACCGCACTCCCTGGATCAATCCCGAGCCATGCAGTCACAGGGAGTGCTATTCCTTACTTACCAAGCCAGTGATGTTCATGAGAAGGTTCCCAGCCGAGGGAGAGGTCTATGGAGGCCCCCTAAGTCTGGTCATGAGGGCGCATATCCATCGGTCCCACAGCAGATTGGGAAGGCCTCAGTCCCACAGAAAGGCCCTTTTACGGAATCTTGCTACTCAGGCAAGCCTCAGTCACAACATAACCGCGTCAGTTTGGCTCATTTCTTGTGTGTGACGCGTTGCGCTGATGAATAATTGCTTTCTCCGCCGCTCAAGTGGTGGCTGAGCAGCAGTACGTCGTGAGCGCTACAACGACCGAGCAGGCCGCTAATAGTGATTGGCGACCCTTCCGTTTTGCTTGCAGTTAATAAGACATGGGAGCATCATAACGACTGTGGCCAAGGGCAAGGAGCTACGTCGAGTGATTGACTCTAAAATAATTCTGGCGAAAAAGGGGGGACTTCACAGTTACCGCCAGGCCCTCGGTTTCTTTTACGACAAGAAGCTTACGAGGAGCCTGTTTCAGCAAGTAAGTAGCAAGCACGTCACAGTCGTTTCGTTGATAGTCAGACACATTCTCTGCTTCTGCGGAGTGCCGTTGTTTCTTGATCAATACAGAATGCGCAATTGTAGCAGATACCTTCAAATCCCTATTTTGAAGTGGCCAGCATTCGACGTTAGCGGTGCCACGCCTTCGTTCTTTGTTGGAGGTGCGAAGTCTCCTGCTGTGCGTTGCGTTTGTTACGAAGGCGCCGACGCGGTTCGCTCGAAGAAACAACGGATTTTGTAGATGCACGCCACTGCCGTTTCCCCGTTTAGGTGATGCGGCCAAAATATGCCGAGTTGAACTTCTGGACTAGTTATTGCTTAAGCATTAGCCAGATGCCTACAGATTTTAGGAGAATCCTGGATATGAAGTGCCACTTCACCGGACTTGTGAACTTTGCCGGCATATGACGAAGTGCTTCCATACAATTTTCAAGCGCCCGCCTTGCTGTGGGGTTTCCTGAGCAATGTTGTTGTAACGTTGGGCTACCAAGACATAGTTGCATGCTGGTACTATTATCGACTTGCCACTAACCACTTTCTTTCACTTGCTGTTTTTTTTTGGTGGCGCGGATTTGTTGACACGGTGGATGCAAATGCGCCGGCTGGGCTGTCCCGGGTTGGGCTAGGGTGAGGTGACTTTCGTTGTCGTGCGTATCCATAGACGGGCACTCATAGAAAATGCCCACAAAACTTAAGTGTGATGAATCGACTGGCTATGGGGGCGTGTATTCGGGCTCAGGAGCAAGTAACTATGGGGCTGCACGGCACGCCGACGGCGGCCTCCCACCGGTTCGGTTTCACGGTGTCCCGTGGAGGCACCGTAGAGTTTATTGCAGTACTTTTTAAATCGACCCCTGTTGGTATTTGATTCTGAAGCTTGTTACATAGCTTTGAAGTGCACATGCATCGCTTCTTGCCCTTGACTACACGCGCCTACCATCGCCAGGACACGGTTGGCTGCGGGCGGTGGAGTCTGCTTATTTCGTCCGAGCGAGCAGAATTGCTACCCTTCCCATTAGGCTAATTTTAAGCTTGGCAGCAAATCCTTCTTAATATAGTTTTTTTTCAGAAGTGCCATCGACCGGGCATTGTGGCCCCCGGTCTGCGACTGGTTCTTGGCGGTCTCCAAGCAACGCCGGTTCGCGGCGGTGATTCTGTGTTTTCTTGCACCGACGGAATCGCACCGCTCCGATTTCTCCAAAAATCGCATTTTAATTTGTTGGTTACACATTTTCTCACTTCTCTCGGTGCGCAACAGCGTTGCCCACTTTTGGTTTCCCGTGGGTAACAGGCTTAATGCATGGTTAATGCCCCAGCACTTACGCGACAAGTTTGACCCTATATTGTTGAAACGGAACTTGACAAAGTTATCAGTAACAAGTACATACGGGATTGAACCGAGAGCCTGCAAATGGCGGTCCTTCCGGAACTAAAGTCGGATCGGCTGCGTATGCAGCTCAGTACTGTCGGCGAACGATTCGCGGGCTTCAAGACCTCCATTGCAGATGACTCACGCAAGAGGAAGCAAATAGATGAGCAGAGATATCAGGTAAGTTTAGAACAAAGAGCGCCTAGTTGATCCAGTCATCCTGGGCGACGTACAGGCCAACAGTGGAGTGGACTCCACGTTTATTCCCCGTAGAGCTCGTTACACCCATTTTTGTCATTTCCGCCGGCAGGAAATCAAAGATTCAATAGTGGCTGTGGAGAAAACCCTCAATCAAGAGATAAAGAGGAGAGTCGATGCTAACAAGACACTCCAACAGATATCTGAACAAATGGCCAATGAAATGCTTGACCGGTTACAACTACGGATAGTAAAATACATAGAGAGCCTTACGGTAAGCCTCTTATGTAGTTCAAGGTAACTACGCTTAATGCAGAAACGTCGCTGAAATTAGTGCAGATTTAGCTGATTTGTGGCAGTTAGAGAAGCCTCTTGATCACGCTAGTGCCAGTAGATACGGTTCAACGCATACCTCGAATGTTTAGCGTACTTTTGTCGGCACTTACATAAAAAATGCGTATGCTTAAAATCCAGGTGTCGATGGACATGCTGATAACACGGTGCGAGAGTCTGGAAAAGGGGCTCGCCCAAATGAAAGGGGATCTACCCAGCAAACTTGCGGTGGGGCGAAGCAGCCTCTTGAGGCATTGCCGCTTGACATACCCTTTTTCGTGCACTCATATACGTAGTTGCAAATTCTGTCTGCTATGGCTGGATTGTTTTCTTCTGGAATTTCCTCCTGTGCTGTTGGCTGCAGCAAGACTTCGCAGCCCTCCAACGTGAAGCAGCCACCCTTCGTCAGGCCTTTGCAGCTGAGACGAAAAACAAAAACGAACGCGAGAGTCTCGCGTGCAAGAAGTTGGGGGAACTCCAACTTCTTGTAGACTCAAAATTTGAGGCTGAGATTGCAGTTAGGCAGGAACAGCTAAATCTCATAAAGAGGGAGGTTGAGAGGCTTGTCAAGTACGCGAATACTTGTAGCATCAGCAAGCTTTCCTCGTTCTTGAGATGGTCACCAGATTCTCCCTTTTTAGAGTAGACGTAGGTGGAAACTCCCACCGCACGTCACTTTTCAGAAGGCATCCAATTCATTATGGTCGCTTGACGCTAAGGCCTGCTGCTGAGTTGAGGGAACTGGCGACGGCTGCGTGCGCTTTCAGGGGAGACGAAGCTCATGAGCAATTCCGCGCCTTCATTATGGAGGAGTTGATGGCTCTTAAGAATGGACTGGCATTAGCGACGCAGGCGCGAGAACAGTCAGACGATGAGATTATACAGGTATGTGAACCATTGGGTGCGCAAATGCCTATCAAGGGCGCCCACAGTGAAGCACTAGCGTGCAACACCGTTAATGGCGCGTTGCACTGAGGCACTAAGCATTCAATAACTAAGCAGAGAGAAGAAATTAAGAGTATTAGAGGGCAAAACAAGGGGGAGCAGGAAGTAATCAATCTGCTAGGGGCTCGTATCTTGCATGGACTACACTTGTTGGAGATAACACTGCATATATCCGACTGCTTTTCTGAATCCACAACGTACGTCATTTTCGACTGTGCGACCCAGGCGATTAACCAGTATACTACAGCGCTTCAGAAAGGGTTGCGGACAATCAACGCGCTGTAGTTGCCAAGCGGTGCGGCATCTTGACCAGATCAACTCACATCCACATTCCAGGGTGGATGCCAGTTGATCTGCTGAAGATAATTCAGGGTGATTGGTGAGCATATGCTTGAGTCGAATTGTGCAAGCATGTTGTAGATTCCTGCTCCGTTTTGGATTTGCATTCCTTGGCTGTTCGATTGGGGAGCGGTCACAAACCGTGAAGCTTTTGCGGTAGCTGATTTTTTCGGGGGAGGACTTTTGGCACTTTGTGCAGTGGAACCTGCCCACTGGCAAAAAGCCGGAGACGCTTCCGTTTTTTAGCGTAAATTTCTACTCGATTTCATGCATGCGAATTTAAAAAATGTAACTGCGGATAAAAGTGGAGCTGTTGTATCCACGGGAATTCCACACAGGGCAGTATAGCAGTGAGACAGATGCACGAACCGACCAGGTCCATTTCTATTTCGTGGAGGAAGAAGGGAAAAACCCACTGGAAAGAAACGAGTATGACAATGCACGGACAAAACTTGGTGATCCGTCAACATGCTTGTGCGCCAGACTCGATACGCACCTCAAGAGGTGCATAATTTCCCTTTCATCTGCCTTCCTGGACTATAACAGAGCAAATGATCAAGCTGCTTTACTTCTATAAGAGCCCTATCGTCTCGGGTGTCCCATGTCCCCCGAAGTGCCAGCATTCGGGTGCCCTGAGGAGGCGTAGCGGGGGACAGTGCAAACATACATCATTTTGCAACCCTTGCCGAATATCTGGTTGTCACAGCCGAAAGGGAAGAGAAAAAAGTGGAAGTTGGCAGATTCACCGGTTCGGTGCAAAGGGCCAACGCCGCCTCAAGCCCGGGCGCAGACTGGAAGTATCGTTTATTTCCATCTCCAACTGCAAAGTTCCAGTATTTTGCTGCTCAATAAGACTAGTAATGCTTTTGAACAGAAACGTCTACTTATAAGGGAGCATTTCAATCCTAAACAACCTGCAGGCGAGCTGTAGTGGACTCTGGATTCTGCCTGGCACGACGGCTGTGTGGCTCGCAACGCTGCCATGTCCGGAGCAAGGTTTCACTTTCGTCCAAGCATTACCCGTCATTCAGTCTGAATTTTTCTTATTTAAAACTACAGGCAATAACACTTCTCAGTCTTTGCTTCTGTACCTTGTTTGCGCCTGATTCGTCTTCATCACATACAGAGGCCAGCGGCATCATTCTCGAGGGCAGCCGACCAACACCGACGAAGTAGCCCTTCACCGCACAAGATGGCAACAACCACTTATCCTTCGCCGTATCCGGCGTATACAGAGACATATCTCACCCCGGAAGGGTATATTCAAGGTGCGTTTCCTTTGGCGAATTGCTGCATTCGCTGTAGTGAGGCAGGCGCGCAAACACCATGGAGGTGCCGTACAACCCCTCATGCCTCCATTCTCGCTGCTTGATTCTCATCATATTGCTTTTGCAACTCAGATGGAGTAGTGGGGTGCCAATTTGGCTCCTTCAGTTGAAATCGATTCTCAATGCTGGCGCTGCAGCCACGCCACTGGGCCTCGAATCGTTCTTGGAAAATCGCTTCATCTTCCTTTTCCCAAGCACCATCCTATAGTATATTTGCGAAATCTTTTCTCATTCTTGTTTTGTTCAGGGGACAGCAGCATTAACAGCATGGCGTACTACGCTGGTGGCCCGGACCCGACGCAGTCCTGCGCTCCTGTCGCTCAACAGATCCACCATAAAGATGCAATTGAAGTTCAACAGTTTGACCCCATGCCAGCGTACAATTACTTCCCTCCAACATCTCCTCCCCTCTACGAGCCCGCTGCTGGAAGCCTGGGCATCAATTACCAAGATCCAAAAATGCAAACTTTCTGCCATGCATTCGGCAATGACTTCTCCTTTTACAACACCACCGCAAACAGTGGGATGCCTCAAGGTTATCACATCGCCATGCAAGGATTTCCAGAGGCAGTGGAAGCTCGAGCAGCCATAAAAAAGGAAATACACACGCCACCATCCATGGTGCAACAGGCGCAGCCAGATGCCCAACAAGCCAAAAAGAACAAAAGAAGGTCAATGGCCTGCTGCTGAAGAGGAAACGCAAAGCGTGAGTCTGTTGGCAATCCCAGCGTACAATTAGTGCCCTTCAACATCTCCGCACTACGAACCCGCTGCCGGAAGCCCGGGCATCAACTACCAAGATCGAAAATGCAAACTTCTGCCATACATTCGGCAATGCCTTCTTCTGCAACACCACCGCAAACAGATGGATGCCCCAAGGCTATCACATCGCCATGCAGGGATTCTTAGAGGCAGTATATGCTCGAGCAGCCATAGAAGAGGAAGTACAAACGCCGCCGTCCATGGCGCAACGAGGACTACCTCATTTTTTGGTGTTTCGACGGCCGATTAACAGGCGATGAGGGCGAAACCGTCCCTCCAGTCGATGCTCATCGTGCCGCCTTTTTGTACAGATGTTTGTCGTACTTTTGTTAAGAATTTAACAAACCTTACGGGTTGAGAGCCACTACGAATAGCAGGGGGGGGGGGGGGGG